GAGGCTAGGGGAGAGGGAGAGGGCTAGGGGGGGAGATGGGTAGAGAGGGGGGAGAGGTTACGAGAGGGGGGAGGGGAGAGGTTAGAAGCTAGCTAGGGGGAGAGGGGGAGAGGGAGAGGCTTAGGGGGAGAGGGAGAGGCTGGGGAGAGGCTAGGGGGAGAGGTTACGAGGGGCGAAGGTTAGAGAGGGAGAGGGGCGAGGTTAGAGCTAGGGGGGAGGGGAGAAGGTAGGGAAGGTAGAGAAGGGGGAGAGGGGGAGAGGGGAGAGGTTAGAGGTAGGGGGAGAGGGTAGAGAGGGGAGGTAGAGGGAGAGAAGGGGAGAGGGGGAGGGGGGGGTAGGGAGAGGGGAGCGTAGAGAGGGGGGGGAAGGGGGAGAGGTTTAGAGGCTAGGGGGAGAGGGGGAGAGGGGAGAGGGCTAGGGGGGAGAGGGTTAGAGGGTGAGAGGGGGAGAGGGGAGGGGGAGAGTTAGGGGGAGAGGGTAGAGAGGGGGAGAGGGGAGAGGTTAGAGGATAGGGGGAGAGGAGAGGTAGAGGGTAGAGGGGAGGGGGAGAGAGGTGAGGGGGAGAGGTTAGGGAGAGAGGGGTAGGAGGGGGAGAGGGGAGAGGTTAAGGGGGGAGAGGTTAGAGAGGGGGGGGGAGAGGCTAGAGGAGGGGGAGAGGGGGAGAGGTGAGAGGGGAGATGGGAGAGGTTAGAGAGGGGGAGAGGGTAGAGAGGGAGGAGGGGGGTAGAGAGGGGAGAGAGGGGGCAGAGGGGTTAGAGAGGGGGAGAGGGGGAGAGGAGAGGGGAGAGAGGGGAGAGAGGGGGACGAGGTTTGAGAGAGGGGGGAGAGAGGGGAGAGAGAGGGGGAGAGGGGAGAGGAGCGGGGGACGAGGGGAGAGGGTTAGAGAGGGGGGGGAGAGGGGGGAGAGAGAGGGGAGAGGGGAGAGAGGGGAGAGGTGGGAGAGGTTAGAGAGGGGAGAGAGGGGGGAGGGTTAGAGAGGGGGAGAGGGGAGAGAGGGGGAGGGGGGAGAGAGGGGGAGAGAGGGGAGGAGAGGAGAGGGGGAGGGGGAGAGAGGGGGAGAGGGTTAGAGAGGGGGAGAGGGGAGAGAGGGGGAGGGGTGGAGAGAGAGGGGGAGAGAGGTTTTAGAGAGGGGGAGAGGGGAGAGAGGGGGAGAGGTTAGAGAGAGGGAGAGGGGAGGAGGTTAGAGAGGGGGGAGAGGGGGAGAGAGGGGGAGAGGGGGAGAGGTTAGAAGAGGGGGGACCGGAAGCAGGGGCAGAGAGGGCGGGAGAAGGCGGAGCAGAGGGGGAGGGGGGAGAGGTTAGAGAGGGGTGAGGGGGGAGAGGTTAGAGGGGGGAGAGCGGGAGAGGTTAGAGAGGGGATGGAGGGGAGGAGGTTAGGGAGAGGGGGAGCGGGGGAAGGAGAGTTAGAGAGGGGGAGGAGAGGGGAAGAGGTTAGAGAGGGGGAGAGGGGGAGAGGGGGAGGGAGACGGGGTTAGGAGAGGGGGGAGAGGGGAGAGGGGGTGAGTAGGGTGAGAGAGGGGGAGAGGGGGAAGAGGGTTTAGACGAGGGGGGAGGGAAGATGGGGGTTGAGGGCGAGAGAGGGGGAGAGGTTGGCAGAGGGTGAAGAGGGGGGGGGAGAGGGGAGAGGTGAGAGAGGGGGGAGGAGGCCGAGAGGGGAAGAGGTAGTTAGAGAGGGGGAGAGGGGAGAGAGGGGGAGAGGGGAGAGAGGGGGAGGGGGGAGAGGTTAGAGACTGGGGGGAGAAGTAGATGCTAGGGTAGAGATTGGTCAGTAGGTTGCCCCCTAACCTCTGGTCCATCAGAACCAGAGACACAGTTGGTCAGTAAGTTGCCCCCGAGTCAGACACACACACATGCACTGTGATGTATGGAGGAATGAATGAGTGTCTGATATAAGGGGTTTCCTCTTTTCCTACCTGTCTGATCCACTGAGACACTCCAGACTCCAAGATCTGGGAGGGATGGGATCCGCCAACTCCTCTTCACTACACGGAGAGGAGAGGAGAGGAGAGGAGAGGAGAGGAGAGGAGAGGAGAGGAGAGGAGAGGAGAGGAGAGGAGAGGAGAGGAGAGGAGAGGAGAGGAGAGGAGAGGATGAATATAATTACAGGGCTTAAAGTGCCACCAAGTTTGTGGACAACAGTCAGTCATGATGCATTGTCGTTTTAAATAAGTTATTTGAAAAGTTATAAAATAATAAAGTATTTTGAACAAACCCGTTAGTGAGAGAGAGGAGATCATCAATCATGAGCTGAGGGATCGGCTCACTTTGCGCTCTGTAGACAAGACAGAGAGGACTTGAATAGAAGAGCACAATGGTTTACAGCTAACAGACTATTATAGCAGCAGCTAACAAACTATAATAGTAACAGTTAACAGACTATTATAGCAGCAGTTAACAGACTATTATAGCAGCGGTTAACAGACTATTATAGCAGCAGTTAACAGACTATTATAGCAGCGGTTAACAGACTATTATAGCAGCAGCTAACAGACTATTATAGCAGCAGTTAACAGACTATTATAGCAGCAGCTAACAGACTATTATAGCAGCAGCTAACAGACTATTATAGCAGCAGCTAACAGACTATTATAGCAGCAGCTAACAGACTATTATAGCAGCAGCTAACAGACTATTATAGCAGCAGCTAACAGACTATTATAGCAGCAGCTAACAGACTATTATAGCAGCAGCTAACAGACTATTATAGCAGCAGCTAACAGACTATTATAGCAGCAGCTAACAGACTATTATAGTAGCAGCTAACAGACTATTATAGAAGCAGCTAACAGACTATTATAGCAGCAGCTAACAGACTATTATAGCAGCAGCTAACAGACTATTATAGCAGCAGCTAACAGACTATTATAGCAGCAGTTAACAGACTATTATAGCAGCAGCTAACAGACTATTATAGCATCAGCTAACAGACTATTATAGCAGCAGCTAACAGACTATTATAGCAGCAGCTAACAGACTATTATAGCAGCAGCTAACAGACTATTATAGCAGCAGTTAACAGACTATTATAGCAGCAGTTAACAGACTATTATAGCAGCAGCTAACAGACTATTATAGCAGCAGCTAACAGACTATTATAGCAGCAGCTAACAGACTATTATAGCAGCAGCTAACAGACTATAATAGCAGCAGCTAACATACTATTATAGCAGCAGCTAACATACTATTATAGCAGCAGCTAACATACTATTATAGCAGCAGCTAACAGACTATTATAGCAGCAGCTAACAGACTATTATAGCAGCAGCTAACAGACTATTATAGCAGCAGCTAACAGACTATTATAGCAGCAGCTAACAGACTATTATAGCATCAGCTAACAGACTATTATAGCAGCAGCTAACAGACTATTATAGCAGCAGCTAACAGACTATTATAGCAGCAGCTAACAGACTATTATAGCAGCAGCTAACAGACTATTATAGCAGCAGCTAACAGACTATTATAGTAGCAGCTAACAGACTATTATAGCAGCAGCTAACAGACTATTAAAGCAGCAGCTAACAGACTATTATAGCAGCAGCTAACAGACTATTATAGCAGCAGCTAACAGACTATTATAGCAGCAGTTAACAGACTATTATAGCAGCAGCTAACAGACTATTATAGCAGCAGCTAACAGACTATTATAGCAGCAGCTAACAGACTATTATAGCAGCAGTTAACAGACTATTATAGCAGCAGCTAACAGACTATTATAGCAGCAGCTAACAGACTATTATAGCAGCAGCTAACAGACTATTATAGCAGCAGCTAACAGACTATTATAGCAGCAGTTAACAGACTATTATAGCAGCAGCTAACAGACTATTATAGCAGCAGCTAACAGACTATTATAGCAGCAGCTAACAGACTATTATAGCAGCAGCTAACAGACTATTATAGCAGCAGCTAACAGACGATTATAGCAGCAGCTAACAGACTATTATAGCAGCAGCTAACAGACTATTATAGCAGCAGCTAACAGACTATTATAGCAGCAGCTAACAGACTATTATAGCAGCAGCTAACAGACTATTATAGCAGCAGCTAACAGACTATAATAGCAGCAGCTGGCTAGCCATCACACACACACTTCACAACACCTGTGTAAGACCACATTTAATTGTGTGTCAATAGTTGACTGATCACTTCCTCTTTTGGCTCTTATTAAGGTACTTCGCCAGCAGAATGGTGTTTTAATATACACTGAGTATACAAAACATTAACAACACCTGCTCTTTCCATGACATAAACTGACCAGGTGAATCCAGGTGAAAGCTATGATCTCTCATTGATTTCACTTGCTAAATCCACTCTAAATCAGTGCAGATGAAGGGGAGGAGGCAGGTTAAATAATTATTTTTAAGTGTTGAGACATGGATTGTGTATGTGTGCCATTCAGAGGGTGAATTGGCAAGACAAAATATGTAAGTGCCTTTGAACAGGGTATGGTAGTAGGTGCCAGGTTCCACCGGTTTGTGTCAAGAACTGCAACGCTGCTGGGTTTTTCACGCTTAACAGTTTCCCATGTGTATCAAGAATGGTCGACCGCCCAAAGGACATCCAGCCAACTTGACACAACTGTGGGAAGCATTGGAGTCAACATGGGCCAGCATCCTTGTGGAACGCTTTCGACACCTTGTAGAGTCCATGCCCCGACGAATTGAGGCTGTTCTGAGAGGGGTGCAACTCAATATTAGGAAGGTGTTCCAAATGTTTTGTTCACTCAGTGCAGAAGTACACAATGACAGCTGACAGCAGGGGTGTATTCACTAGAAACCAAACGTAAGCAACCGGACGAAACAGGGAGGGACTAACCTGAACGTGTCCAATAAAAAAAACACTCGTTTTCTTTGCAAAACATTTTCAATTGCAAAACATTTTGTAACGGTTTGGTACGGTGTGCCCTAATTAATACACCCCGTTTGTAACCCGCTGTAACCGGTTTCATATCACCCACTATGACGTGAATGAGGAAGTGTCTCTCTGTGGTTTCCTACCTGTCCTCTGGCTCTGCAGGCTCTGCTGTCTCGGTGCATACTGGGTCAGGGACTCTGGAGCTATGGGGGACAGGAGATATACTTTGTGTTATTGGACTACAGCTATCTAGGATTCAAACTTTACAACTGACTCTTGGAGGTTCTCTAAAGACAATGGGGTGGACCAACTTTAATAGTCTCACCCAGAGCACTACCCATAATGTAAATAAAATGGTCTGGTCTCAACACTACACACACTGTGGTGCAACATATCTGATAATTGTTTAGTTAATACGTCAAAATGTTTCTATCTATACTTATTCAAATGCATAGATACATTAATGAATCAATACTGTACCTGGATGAACCTGTGTCGAAGGAGATGAGCGTGTCCGACAGGGCGGTTAGTGTGTCCACTGGGGCAGGATCCGTCTTCACTGGTTTGTATGGTACAGGGGACACTAATACAGGGGCCACTGGGGGGACTATTTTCAACAGGACACTACTCTCTGGGGACAGCTCAGTGGCCACTTTGGTATGCCCTGGCTTCATGCCCTCATAAGGGTCAATCACTGATGAGGTGTCAACTATGACAGGGGTTGGAAGGAGGACGTCTTTCACACATACATGGATGTCCTCCACAAATACAGGAGGGACATCTTTCACACATACAGAAGGGACGTCTTTCACACACACAGGAGAGACGTCCTTCACACACACAGGAGAGACGTCCTTCACACACACAGGAGAGACGTCCTTCACACACACAGGAGAGACGTCCTTCACACACACAGGAGAGACGTCTTTCACAGATACAGGAGAGACATCTTTCACAGCTACAGGAGAGACATCTTTCACAGATACAGGAGAGACATCTTTCACAGACACAGGAGAGACATCTTTCACAGACACAGGAGAGACATCTTTCACAGATACAGGAGAGACATCTTTCACAGACACAGGAGAGACATCTTTCACAGACACAGGAGAGACATCTTTCACAGACACAGGAGAGACATCTTTCACAGACACAGGAGAGACATCTTTCACAGACACAGGAGAGACATCTTTCACAGATACAGGAGAGACATCTGTCACAGACACAGGAGAGACATCTTTCACAGATACAGGAGAGACATCTTTCACAGATACAGGAGAGACATCTTTCACAGTTACAGGAGAGACATCTTTCACAGATACAGGAGAGACATCTTTCACAGATACAGGAGAGACATCTTTCACAGATACAGGAGAGACATCTTTCACAGGAGCGACATCTTTCACAGGAGCGACATCTTTCACAGATACAGGAGAGACATCTTTCACAGATACAGGAGAGACATCTTCACAGTTACCAGGAGAGACATCTTTCACAGATACAGGAGAGACATCTTTCACAGATACAGGAGAGACATCTTTCACAGATACAGGAGAGACATCTTTCACAGATACAGGAGCGACATCTTTCACAGATACAGGAGCGACATCTTTCACAGATACAGGAGAGGCAGCTTTCACAGATACAGGAGAGACATCTTTCACATATACAGGAGCGACATCTTTCACAGATACAGGAGAGACATCTTTCACAGATACGGAGAGGACATCTTTCACAGATCTACGGAGAGACATCTTTCACAGATACAGGAGAGGACATCTTTCACAGATACAGGAGAGACATCTTTCACAGATACAGCAGGGGCATCTTTCACACATACAGGAGAGGCAGCTTTCACAGATACAGGAGAGGCAGCTTTCACAGATACAGGAGAGACATCTTTCACAGATACAGGAGAAACATCTTTCACAGATACAGGAGAGACATCTTTCACAGATACAGGAGAGACATCTTTCACAGATACAGGAGAGACATCTTTCACCGATACAGGAGAGACATCTTTCACACATACAGGAGAGACATCTTTCACACATACAGGAGGGACGTCTTTCACAGATGGTGCAGCTGGTTCTTCAGGGACAGAGAGAGTCTCAGTGAAGACAGAGTCATCATTGTCTGTGATCACCACCCTTTAGACACACAAGAAACAACATTTCATTTTATTTCAGACAACGTCATCATTTTCCATGAGGGACAAAACAGGACAGGACAGTCCTTTGAGAGGCATCAGTTACCTTTTAGCCACAAAATATGGAACATCTGTGGTCGGGGAGGTTTCTGGTGGTTTCTCTGTAGAACTGTCAGGAGAACAGGAGATAAGACACAAACAGAGGAATAGAGAGATGGAGAGAGGGGGAGAGAGAGAGACAGAGAGCGAGAGAGAGAAAGAGAGAGAGAGAGAGAGAGAGGGGTATTTAACCAATTACATACTCATATTTGTTGGCGGCTGAGAGGACGTAGGAGCGTTGTCGGACTGAAGAGGTCCTGAGCACGTTCATGGCTGCTTCCTCCCTGATGGACAGATGGAGAGAGAAAGAGGGAGACAGGGAGGAGAGAGAGAGAGAGAGAGAGAGAGAGAGAGAGAGAGAGAGAGAGAGAGAGAGAGAGAGAGAGAGAGAGAGAGGTGGGGGGTAGAAAGAGATTAGACTTGTTTTTCCTTGACGTGACGTCTATTTTGTGAGGTAAAATAAGAGTTTCTGCATCTGAAATGGCACCCTAATCCCTATACAGGGCCCTGGTCAAAAGTAGAGCTCTATAAAGGGAATTGAATGCATGTCTCGCACCGTTTCTCCTTCTCCTTTGGGGAAAGCTGGTCCTCAGTTTGAACTGGGAGGTTTGAGGTGCGACGCACTGTGTGAGGAGCTCTGGAAGGAACGACACACACACACAGTACTTATCAAACACATCCCCTGAAGTCACTACAGTTATCTCTGATAATCCTTTACCACACACAGTATTTATCAAACACATCCCCTGAAGTCACTACAGTTATCTCTGATAATCCTTTACCACACACAGTATTTATCAAACACATCCCCTGAAGTCACTACAGTTATCTCTGATAATCCTTTACCACACACAGTATTTATCAAACACATCCCCTGAAGTCACTACAGTTATCTCTGATAATCCTTTACCACACACAGTATTTATCAAACACATCCCCTGAAGTCACTACAGTTATCTCTGATAATCCTTTACCACACACAGTATTTATCAAACACATCCCCTGAAGTCACTACAGTTATCTCTGATAATCATTTACCACCCACAGTATTTATCAAACACATCCCCTGAAGTCACTACAGTTATCTCTGATAATCCTTTACCACACACAGTATTTATCAAACACATCCCCTGAAGTCACTACAGTTATCTCTGATAATCCTTTACCACACACAGTACTTATCAAACACATCCCCTTAAGTCACTACAGTTCTCTGATAATCATTTACCACACACAGTACTTATCAAACACATCCCCTTAAGTCACTACAGTTCTCTGATAATCCTTTACCACACACAGTACTTATCAAACACATCCCCTTAAGTCACTACAGTTCTCTGATAATCCTTTACCACACACAGTACTTATCAAACACATCCCCTTAAGTCACTACAGTTATCTCTGATAATCCTTTACCACACACAGTACTTATCAAACACATCCCCTTAAGTCACTACAGTTCTCTGATAATCATTTACCACACACAGTACTTATCAAACACATCCCCTTAAGTCACTACAGTTATCTCTGACAATCCTTTACCACACACAGTATTTATCAAACACATCCCCTGAAGTCACTACAGTTATCTCTGATAATCCTTTACCACACACAGTACTTATCAAACACATCCCCTGAAGTCACTACAGTTATCTCTGATATCCTACAGTTATCTCTGATAATCCTTTACCACACACAGTACTTATCAAACACATCCCCTTAAGTCACTACAGTTATCTCTGATAATCCTTTACCACAACAGTACTTTCAAAACACATCCCCTGAAGTCACTACAGTTATCTCTGATAATCCTTTACCACACACAGTACTTATCAAACACATCCCCTTAAGTCACTACAGTTATCTCTGATAATCCTTTACCACACACAGTACTTATCAAACACATCCCCTTAAGTCACTACAGTTATCTCTGATCATCCTTTACCACACACAGTATTTATCAAACACATCCCCTGAAGTCACTACAGTTATCTCTGATAATCCTTTACCACACACAGTATTTATCAAACACATCCCCTGAAGTCACTACAGTTATCTCTGATAATCCTTTACCACACACAGTACTTATCAAACACATCCCCTGAAGTCACTACAGTTATCTCTGATAATCCTTTACCACACACAGTGTCATACACTCAAACACGTTCACTGAGTTTACTCATAAGAATTGCATAAGGTTTACTCACATTCTCTTGTAGCTCTCTGAAGGCCTCTTGGTGAAGCTGGATGGTGACCCACTGCAAATAGAGGGACACCATGTAATCAAGCCATCTAACAGGGCATTGGCTGTCTAAATGACAGACTGAGTACACAGAATAGACTCTACTCTATTTAATAGAGTCCCTGCTGCCAGTAGGTCTCTGACATCACTGCTGCCAGTAGATCTCTGACATCACTGCTGCCAGTAGAATCTCTGACATCACTGCTGCCAGTTGAGCTCTGACATTACTGCTGCCAGTTGAGCTCTGACATTACTGCTGCCAGTTGATCTCTGACATTACTGCTGCCAGTAGATCTCTGACATCACTGCTGCCAGTAGATCTCTGACATCACTGCTGCCAGTAGATCTCTGACATCACTGCTGCCAGTAGAGCTCTGACATTACTTTATTTACCTGAAGCCATTGGATGTAGATGAGATGGCAGCAGACTTGGTGTCTGTCTTGGTGAAAATCCCTCTGAAAAAATAAATAAGATTATTCACCTTTTAGATTATTCATAATTAATGAATTTAATACATTGAATAAGCTGTTGACCAAGTGATGCAATGGTGGAGGTCTGTTTTACCTGATAAGGTATCCTGCAGATGGTGCTCTAGATTTAGGAAAGAAAAGTTTATGGTCAGTTTATGATGAAGAACATGTTTTGTTGTTTGTGTTTTGAGGTGGGGTGTCAGTATGTAGTGTTGAGGTGGGGTGTCAGTGTGTAGTGTTGAGGTGGGGTGGTCATTGTGTAAGGGGTTGAGGGTGAAGGTGTTTAGTGTTTGAGGTGAGGTGTCAGTATTTAGTGTTGAGGTGAGGTGTCAGTGTGTAGTGTTGAGGTGAGGTGTCAGTGTGTAGTGTGAGGTGAGGTGTCAGTATGTAGTGTTGAGGTGGGGTGTCAGTGTGTAGTGTTGAGGTGGGGTGTCAGTGTGTAGTGTTGAGGTGAGGTGTCAGTGTGTAGTGTTGAGGTGAGGTGTCAGTGTGTAGTGTTGAGGTGGGGTGTCAGTGTGTAGTGTTGAGCTGAGGTGTTAGTGTGTAGTGTTGAGGTGAGAGTGGTCAGTGTGTAGTGTTGAGGTGGGGTGGAGGTGGTTAGTGTGTTAGTGTTTGAGGTGGGCGTGTCAGTGTGTCAGTGGTTGCTGTTGGGGTGTCAGTGGTGTAGTGTTGAGGTGGGGTGTCAGGGGTGTAGTTGTTTGAGGTTGTTGTTTAGTGTGTAAGGTTGAGGTTGGGGTGGCCAAGTGTGTAGTGTTGAGGTGAGGTGTCCAGTATGTGGGGTTAGTGTGTAGTGTTGAGGTGAGGTGTCAGTGTGTAGTGTTGAGGTGGGGTGAGGTGTTAGTGTGTAGTGTTGAGGTGGGGTGTCAGTGTGTAGTGTTGAGGTGGGGTGGGTGTGTTGAGGGGGTAGGTGTAGTGTTGAGGTGGGGTGTTCAGTGTGTAGTTTAGTGGGTGTAGTGGTGTGTTGAGGTGGGTAGTGTGTTGAGGTTGGGGTGGGTGTCAGTGTGTAGTGTTGAGGTGAGGTGTCAGTGTGTAGTGTTGAGGTGTGGGGTTGTCAGTGTGTAGTGTTGAGGTGGGGTGTCAGTGTGTAGTGTTGAGGTGAGGTGTCAGTGTGTAGTGTTGAGGTGAGGTGTCAGTGTGTAGTGTTGAGGTGGGGTGTTAGTGTGTAGTGTTGAGGTGAGGTGTGGTGAGGGAGGTAGTGTGTAGTGTTGTAGGTGGGTGGGTCAGTGTGTGTGTGAGGTGAGGTGAGGTGTTAGTGTGTAGTGTTGAGGTGGGGTGTCAGTGTGTAGTGGTTGAGGTGGGGTGGTGTAGTGTTGTGAGTGGTGGGGGTGAGGGGTGTTGAGTGTGGTAGTGTTGGTGAGGTGAGGTGGGTAGTGTGTAGTGTGGAGGTGGGGGTGTCAGTGGTGTAGTGTTGAGGTGGGGTGTCAGTGTTGTGAGTGTTGAGGTGGGGTGGTGGTCAGTGTGGTAGGTGAGGTGAGTGGTGTTAGTGTGGTGAGGTGGTATGTGGGTGGTTGAGGTGTGTAGTGAGGTGTAGTGTGGTGAGGTGGGTGTGGTGTCAGTGTTGTAGTGGGTGAGGTGTAGGTGTGCAATGGTGATGTGGTTTGAGGTGGGGTGTCAGTGTGTAGTGTTGAGGTGGGGTGTCAGTGTGTAGTGTTGAGGTGGGGGTGTGTCAGTGTGTAGTGTTGAGGTGGGGTGTCAGTGTGTAGTGTTGAGGTGAGGTGTTAGTGTTTACCTGTCTTCTGCAGGTCTGGTGGGGGAGGGAGGGGACTTGGAGGTGGGGGATTGCACTGGGCTGGTGTCTATAGGGGCTCCATTCAGACGATTCACTCTAACTTCTGCCATCCTGCTCAGAGAGGGGGAGGGAGGGAGAGAGAGAGAGGGGGGGGGGGATAGAGAGAGAGAGAGAGAGGGGGGGGGGGGGGGACGTTGAATACGGTCCATATGAGTCTAACCTCATCCCCAGGTTAATTGCTACCGCACGTAGAGAGATCTGGCTGGTAAACGAGACTAATATGACTAACTTCATCCTAATGACTTAGTTTCTCTGTTTGTCTGTCTGTCTCACTGTGGTTTCTCCTGTCTGTCTGTCTGTCTGTCCATGGTTTTTCCTGTCTGTCTGTCTCACCATGGTTTCTCATGTCTGTCTCACCATGGTTTCTCCTCCTCTGCTTCAGACTGGGGTTCACTGCATCTCTGCATCCAGCTGGCATCTCCCTTCAGCTTGGTCCGAACCTTAGTGGCCCTGAACACTGATGCTCTGTCCCCCTCTGAAACACAAACAAACACAGTGCACACGTTAGACATAAACACACACACACACACGCACGCACAAATGCACATAATAAAAAACAATCACACACACACGCCATCTGAATAAGAACACACCTTCATGATACATACTTCACATTGAGCACACAGATGGAATGGAGGAAACTATTTTGTAATAAACATGGTATCCATCACCTCATCCCATTGGCATGAAGTTGATCTACTACCACACCTTACAATGGTAGGAAACACACTATCACACACTCATCATATTGAAATCCCCTCAGTCAGTCAGTCAGTAACCCAGTAAACTCACCTTTTGACATAGTCGTCCGTTTGTAATCTGGTTCCTATGACTCCTCTACTGGCTCCCTGAGTACCACAGACAGCAGAACAGACACAGGTTAGTAAGAGAGGTCCGGTCCACAAACAACCCCTAGTCTCTGTCCCACTTGGTCTTTGTGTATATCTGATAGGATTGGATCTCTTGGTGTACAGTATTGGTATAGGTGCTGGACTGACACACTCAGGGTTGCAGGTTAGAGGCCCATTGGGGCTACCCCTCTAGTTTGTTCTAGAACTGTTAAATCTCGGTCAAAAGGAGGGCCACAGTATCCCTCACCTCCCTTAAGGAACAGGAACATGTGATAGGCATTCCACAGTCATCCTTCAACTATGCAGGTGAGCCGGTCCTACCACTTTCTGCCAAACTACCAAACATACCCTCTGTCAGCCAAAGATAGATGGACACACAAGCATGAACGCACACACACACGCATGCACACACACACACACACACACAAACTGGAGCAAACATAATTTCTCAACGTAGGGTCTTAGAAGCAGGGTTCGAGATGTTCATGAAAACCTTGTCTGCTTGCTCTTTCTCCCACACACAGTGCATTCGGAAAGTATTCAGACCCTTTGACTTTTTCCACATTTTGTTACAGACTTATTCTAAAATGGATTCAATACTTTTTTTCCCCTCAGCAATCTACACACAATACCCCATAATAACAAAGCGAAAATAGGTTTTTAGAATTTTTTTGCAAATGTATTAAAAATAAAAAACAGAAATACCTTATTTACATAAGTATTCAGACCCTTTGCTATGAGACTCGACATTTATCTCAGGTGCATCCTGTTTACATTGATCATCCTTGAGATGTTTCTACTACTTGATTGGAGTCCACCTGTGGTAAATTAAATTGATTGGACATGATTTGGAAAGGCACACACCTGTCTATATAAGGTCCCACAGTTGACAGTGCATGTCAGAGCAGAAACCAAGCCATGAGGTCAAAAGAATTGTCCGTAGAGCTCCAAGACAGGATTGTTTCGAGGCACAGATCTGAGGAAGGGTACCAAACAAATTCTGCAGGATTGAAGGTCCCCGAGAACACAGTGGCTTCCATCATTCTTAAATGCAAGAAGTTTGGAACCACCAAGACTCTTCCTAGAGCTGGCCGCCCGGCCAAACTGAGCAATCGGGGGAGAAGGGCCTTGGTCAGGGAGGTGACCAAGAACCCGATGGTCACTCTGACAGAGCTCTAGAGTTACTCCGTGAAGATGGGAGAACCTTCCAGAAGGACAACCATCTCTGCAGCACTCTACCAATCAGGCCTTTATGGTAGAGTGGCCAGACAGAAGCCACTCCTCAGTAAAAGGCATATAACAGCCTGCTTTGAGTTTGCCAAAAAGCACCTAAAGACTCTCAGACCATGAGAAACAAGATTCTCTGGTCTGATGAAACCAAGATTAAACTCTTTGGCCTGAATGCCAAGCGTCACATCTGGAGGAAACCTGGCACCATCCCTACAGTGAAGCATGGTGGTGACAGCATCATGCTGTGGGGATGTTTTTCAGCGGCTGGGACAGGGAGACTAGTCAGGATCGAGGCAAAGATGAACGGAGCAAAGTACAGAGAGATCCTTGATGAAAACCTGCTCCAGAGCACTCAGGACCTCAGACTGGGGTGAAGGTTCAACTTCCAACAGGACAACAACCCTAAGCACACAGCCAAGATAATACAGGAGTGGCTTTGGGACAAGTCTCTGAATGTCCTTGATTGGCCCAGCCAGAGCCCAGACTTGAACCCGATCAAACATCTCTAGAGAGACCTGAAAATAGCTGTGCAGCGACGCTCCCCATCCAACCTGACAGAGCTTGAGAGGATCTGCAGAGGGGAATGGGAGAAACTCCCCAAATACAGGTGTGCCAAGCTTGTAGCGTCATACCCAAGAAGACTCGAGGCTGTAATCGCTGCCAAAGGTGCTTCAACAAAGTACTAAGTAAAAGGTCTGAATACTTATGTAAATGTGATATTTCTAAAAACCTGTTTAAGTTGGAAGTTTACATACACTTAGGTTGGAGTCATTAAAACTTGTTTTTCAACCACTCCACAAATGTATTGTTAACATTTACATTTTACAGATGCTCTTATCCAGAGCGACTTACAGTCAGTGAGTGCATACATTCTTATTTTATTTTTTTCATACTGGCCCCCCGTGGGAATCGAACCCACAACCCTGGCGTTGCAAACGCCATGCTCTACCAACTGAGCTACATCCCTGCCGGCCATTCCCTCCCCTACCCTGGACGACTCTGGGCCAATTGTGCACCGCCCCATGGGTCTCCTGGTCGCGGCCGGCTACGACAGAGCCTGGATTTGAACCAGGATCTCTAGTGGCACAGCTAGCACTGCGATGCAGTGCCTTAGACCACTGCGCCACTCGGGAGATTGACTATAGTTTTGGCAAGTCAGTTAGGACATCTACTTTGTGCATGACACAAGTCATTTTTCCAACAATTGTTTACAGACAGATTATTTCACTTATAATTAATTGTATCACAATTTCACTAAGTTGACTGTGCCTTTAAACAGCTTGGAAAATTCCAGAAAATTATGTCATGGCTTTAGAAGCTTCTGATAGGCTAATTGACATAATTTGAGTCAATTGGAGGTGTACCTGTGGATGTATTTCAAGGCCTACCTTCAAACTCAGTGCCTCTTTGCTTCACATCATGGGAAAATCAAAAGAAATCAGCCAAGACCTCAGAAAAAAAATTGTAGACCTCCACAAGTCTGGTTCATCCTTGGGAGCAATTTCCAAATGCCTGAAGGTACCACATTCATCTGTACCAACAATAGTATGCAAGTATAAACACCATGGGACCACGCAGCCGTCATACCGCTCAGGAAGGAGACGCGTTCTGTCTCCTAGAGATTAACGTACTTTGGTGCGAAAAGTGCAAATCAATCCCAGAACAACAGCATAGGACCTTGTGAAGACGCTGGAGGAAACAGGTACAAAAGTATCTATATCCACAGTAAAACGAGTCCTATATCGACATAACCTGAAAAGCAGCTCAGCAAGGAAGAAGCCACTGCTCCACAACCGCCATAAAAAATCCAGACTACGGTTTGCAACTGCACATGGGGACAAAGATCGTACTTTTTGGAGAAATATCCTCTGGTCTGATGAAACAAAAATAGAACTGTTTGGCCATAATGACCATCGTTATGTTTGGAGGAAAAAGGGGGTAACTTGCAAGCCGAAGAACACCATCCCAACCGTGAAGCACGGGGGTGGTAGCATCATGCTGTGGGGGTGCTTTGCTGCAGGAGGGACTGGTGCACTTCACAAAATAGATGGCATCATGAGGAAGGAAAATTATGTGGATATATTGAAGCAACATCTCAAGACATCAGTCAGGAAGTTAAAGCTTGGTCGCAAATGGGTCTACCAAATGGACAATGACCCCAATCATACTTCCAAAGTTGTGGCAAAATGGATTAAGGACAACAAAATCAAGGTATTGGAGTGACCATCACAAAGCCCTGACCTCAAGCCTATAGAACATTTGTGGGCAGAACTGAAAAAGCGTGTGCGAGCAAGGAGGCCTACAAACCTGACTCAGTTACACCAGCTCTGTCAGGAGGAATGGGCCAAAATTCACCCAACTTATTGTGGGAAGCTTGTGGAAGGCTTCCCGAAACGTTTGACCCAAGTTAAACAATTGAAAGGCAATGCTACCAAATACTAATTGAGTGTATGTAACTTCTGACCCACTGGGAATGTGATGAAAGAAATAAAAGCTTAAATAAATCATTCTCTCTACTATTATTCTGACATTTCACATTCTTAAAATAAAGTGGTGATCCTAACTGACCTAAAACAGAGAATTTTTACTAGGATTAAATGTCAGGAATTGTGAAAAACTGAGTTTAAATGTATTTGGCTATGGTGTATGTAAACTTCCGACTTCAACTGTGTGTATATATATATATATATACACAGCTGCGGGAAAAAATTGAGACCACTGCAAAATTATCAGTTTCTCTGGTTTTACTATTTATAGGTATGTGTTTGGGTAAAAATAACATTTTTGTTTTATTCTATAAACTACTGACAACATTTCTCCCAAATTCCAAATAAAAACATTGTCATTTAGAGCATTTATTTGCAGAAAATTACAACTGGTCAAAATAACAAAAAAATATGTAGTGTTGTCAGACCTCGAATAATGCAAAGAAAATAAGTTCATGTAAATTTTTAAACAACACAATACTAATGTTTTAACTTAGGAAGAGTTCAGAAATCAATATTTGGTGGAATAACCCTGATTTTCAATCACAGCTTTCATGCGTCTTGGCATGCTCTCCACCAGTCTTTCACATTGATGTTGGGAGATTGGGCTGGCCATGACAGGGTCTTGATCTGGTGGTCCTCCATCCACATCTTGATTGACCTGGCTGTGTGGCATGGCGCATTGTCCTGCTGGAAAAACCAATCCTCAGAGATGGGGAACAATGTCAGAGCAAAAGGAAGCAAGTTTTCTTCCAGGACAACCTTGTACGTGGCTTGATTCATGCGTCCTTCACAAAGACAAATCTGCCCGATTCCAGCCTTGCTGAAGCACCCCCAGATCATCACCGATTCTCCAACAAATTTCACAGTGGGTGCGAGACACTGTGGCTTGTAGGCCTCTCCAGGTCTCTGTCTAACCATTAGACGACCAGGTGTTGGGCAAAGCTGAAAATTGCACTCATCAGAGAAGATGACCATAATCCAGTCCTCTACGGTCCAATCATTATGGTCTTTTGTAAACCTCAGCCTGACTCTTCTTTGCTTCTCATTGATGAAGGGCTTCTTTCTAGCTTTGCATGACTTCAGCCCTGCCCCTAGGAGCCTGTTTCGAACCGTCCTCGCCGTGCACTTCACCCCAGCTGCCGTTTGCCATTCTTTTTGTAGGTCACTTGATGTCATCCTACGGTTGTTGAGTGACATTCGAATGAGTTGGCGGTCATCCTGGTCAGTAGAGAGTCGTTTTCGCCCTCTGCCGGTCAGTAGCTTTGTTGTCTCCAGTGTCTGCTGCTTGACTTTGTTCTTGTTCTTATGAACCGCCACATTGAAATTCTAAGGATGGAAGCAACCTGACGCTCACTGTAACCATCTGCCAGTAAAGCCAGAATTGAACCCTTCTTTTCCTCACTCAAAACTTTCCTTTTCAACTCTTTTGGCATGGTCAATAGTTATTTTTTGATTAATATTACTTTTGAGGTACTATTAGCACTGTTTTTGCCATCCAACTGGTCCTATTGCAAGAGGATAGTGATGACCACAGCAGTGGTTTTTATACTTTTCCTCGTTAAATAAGATTTGGTTCATGTGATCATCTAATCAGTACCTAATTCAGTAGAATGAGGTGTGCCTGTGTTGGAATTCAACAGCCACTGGAATGGAATGGCTGTCATACATGTAGAGATGCTGATTTAAGAAAAATGTACAGTGGTCTCTTAATTTTTTCCACAGCTGTGTATATATATATATATATATTACACAATTCACATTAAACACAAACGGCTAACTCACATTTCTCCTCAGGAAGCAAATTAAAATTGTAATAAAACGTTGTTAAGATTTTTCCTTATCTAAACGACATGCAAAGTTAACCTTATGCAAAATAAAATGGAGTGCTGCCAAATTCACTGTGCAAATGACCTCCCAGTGGTAAAATGTAAATCCTGAGGCAGTGGAATCGCTCTTTCCGAATATCTTCTGGCGGTGATGACAGACCAACTAGACTGAAGACAGGCATAGATACTGTATCGATCATACATGATACACACCATACATTTTACATGATACACACCACCAGCGCACACACACACACACACGTTAAATGATCAATGATAAAGCTACGGTAAGGGAGTAGCAGGATGGAAACTCTTCTGACAGACAGACTGACAACCATGGAAACAAGGCAGAGAGAATAATGGTTCTGAGAGGACAGACAGACTGACAACCATCACACGTCTGTCAGGGTCTGAGGAGTTAGCATAGCATAAACAGTTAACATAACATAAACAGTTAGCAAAGAATAGGATTGATTATATATGATCTATGCTGATTCAAAAAGAGAGGGTCAAGAGAGAGAGAATCCACATTCTAAGCCCTGACAAACGTGGCACAAACTAACCTCATAAAGTAACAGGAGTAAAAAAAAGTACCTACTTTCACTGGATACTGTATCCACAGACTGTCTCCCAAACTGTAGAGAATCCCACACAGTAGATTGAGAGCAGGTGAGAGAGAACAGTATAGGTCAAGACTGATAGGTGTTGGAACAGGTACGGGCGTGGACACAGACTAGCTCAGCCAGTCAGAGGCTATGCCACCCCCCAGGGTGGGTGGGTGTGTAGGGGGGGGGGTGTGTGTGTGTAGGGGTGTGTGTGTGTGTTTGTGTAGGAGTGTGTGTGTGTGTGTGTGTTTGTGTAGGGGGTGTGTGTGTGTGTGTGTGTAGGGGTGGGTGTGTGTGTGTGTGTTTGTGTAGGGGGGGTGTGTGTGTGTGTGTAGGGGTGTGTGTGTGTGTTTGTGTGTGTTTGTGTAGGAGTGTGTGTGTGTTTGTGTGTGAGTGTGTAGGGTGTGTGTGTGTGTGTGTGTGTGTGTGTGTGTGTGTGTGGGGTGTGTGGGTGTGTGTGTGTGTGTGTGTGTAGGGGTGTGTGTGTGTGTGTGTGTGTGTGTGTGTGTGTAGGGTTGTGTGTGTGTGTGTGTAGGGTTGTGTGTGTGTGTGTTTGTGTGTGGGTGTGTGTGTAGGGGTAAGAAGTGAGTTTCATTTATCACTTATTTCCCTCTCTTTTATCACATACCTGAGAGCCTGGTGAGCAGGAACATACCTGGCATAACACACACACACGTTGGGTCCTAGAAGACTGTTTCTCTCATGCTTACTGGATAGGGAGACACAGTGCACGCATCATCAGAAAGAGACAGAGACATCAACACATCTGAGAACAGTGACTGTAGCTATTCTCTAACAGAGACATCAACACATCTGAGAACAGTGACTGTAGCTATTCTGTAACAGAGACATCAACACATCTGAGAACAGTGACCGTAGCTATTCTCTAACAGAGACATCAACACATCTGAGAACAGTGACCGTAGCTATTCTCTAACAGAGACATCAACACATCTGAAAACAGTGACCGTAGCTATTCTCTAACAGAGACATCAACACATCTGAGAACAGTGACCGTAGCTATTCTCTAACAGAGAGATCAACACATCTGAGAACAGTGACTGTTCAGTGACTATTCTCTAACAATTGGGTCACACTTTAAAGTCTACTGTCCTTCAAAGTGTTTCACAATCCCAAAGCAAACACCAGGACTGCTATTTGCTTTGTAACGTTACAAGTTCAATAAGCCTCTCTATTTATCTTTCAAACTACAGCCAATTATGTTCTAGCCACATTAAAACATGCCTCATCTTGATAGGGTCTGTTTAAGTTAATAGCGGTCTGTTGAAAGACAGACCTGGGTAACACTTTCAGAGTCAGCTGACCTATGAATGGGTAAACCATGGGACCTTGAGGTGCAGACGTAGGCAGAACAGGGTGCTAGCTCACAGATGAGTGTGTGTGTGTGGACACTTTCTCAGAGCACCTGCGTACTCCAACATCTACCATCTGCTCCAAAGCACAGTTGTCAATAGCAACATAATAAATGAACACAGTTGTCAATAGCAACATAATAGATTAACTCTGAAAATGAGTGTCCACACCAGATAGTGTTCCAAGTCTACAGTACATAACCCCACCCCTATTTAGCTACAGAAACAATCACACACATACCATGCATACGTTCCATACCGTGCATAAGTTCACCCACCCTTTTTTAAATGGAATAGGGTGGGGACTTGGGAGGGATGTCCATTTACTCAGTCATACAGGTTCACTGTAGTAGAGAGAGTAAGGATGAGGAAACTGGTTGGTTTTAGTGCCCAAGTTTCACTTCAGCTGATAGTCAGTGTAAACTGTGAAGTCTATTGAACAACCTTGCGCTTTTCTCAACCCCCCTCATCCCGCTCTTTGAGGGCTAAACCAGTTGAACGGCTAAGCCTAGCAGCAGTGACAGTCTCACCGTGGCTCATTATACTAGAAGGAATGTCAGGCATTTCAACCTAACCACCGCCCTCCATCTTTCTTCCGCCCGCCCTCCCACCTAAACAATACCTTTCAGTGGAATCAGCTTTAATAAGCGTTACATGTGACAATGTGTTTACGAGGAAGTCATGTCATTGTGACAGTAAGACAGCTGGAATGTAGAAAAAGGAGAATGACGGAGAGAGAGACAGAGAGAGAGAGGATGGAGAGAGAGAGAGACAGAGACGATGGAGAGGATGGAGAAAGGATGGAGAGAGACAGAGACAGAGAAAGACAGAGAGAAAGACGGAGAGAGAGAGAGGATGGAGAGAGAGAGGATGGAGAGAGGAAGGAGACAGACAGAGACTAGTTTCCCATCCCTTTTTCTGTTCTGTGAACTATTGTTCTATAAAATACGTTGCAATACAGTTTGTCTTTGTCTTAAATATATGTCATAGTAACATTAATCCTGTGACATCGGCTTTGGAAAAAAATAAGGATGGGGCTTGCCTGAGTAATGGTGGATAAATGCTTCAAAACATGCAAACATTTTTCTTTAGCTAACTATTTTCTAATGAGGGTAAACAAACGTTGTAATTTATATGTTGACAATGTTGGTTCATATACAAACACATTCTATGTTAGCGTTTTAATAAACAAACTGTACAATGTTTAGATTAAGGGAATGTAAGGCATAACATATTTTATTTGAAATGAACAAACTGCATGATTGATTGTGATTTGTATAAGAAAATAGAAACAAGATATCTGTAGAGGGAAAACAGTCACAGTAAATGTATCACTCATACATCAAAATGAGTGCTCATGAATAATGGTAAGAGGAAGTGCTGGAAACATCTCCATGTTAGATTGTGTATCCTCATTCCACAGAGAGAAGAAATGTGTGCTGCTCTCTATTGGTGAAGAGAGGTACTGAAGCCAGGCAAAAATGGAGTACAGAAAGTTCTAGAAAAGGTGAGTGTTCACAGATCCTCATACAGGCCTACAGACATTATGAGAGAACACACTCATTTCAAAGGCTCATACCCCCAGTTAGTATTATGGGCCAAAAAATATATGTGAGTTTGAAAGAAAACTTGTTTACCTAAAGAACAAGACTTAAGACACTGGTGAGAATATGAAACACAGTCCGTCCCTTGGGGTTGAATCTTAACTTGAGAACTGTACACATAACTGCCAGCTTAAATGTTTTTCAACCATTGACATCAGTGCATTATTTATGTGCATAGATCTCAAGTTAGGATTTAGCCGTGAGGTTCCATACCACTAGCCTTGAATCCAAACTGATATTATCCATTTCACCATTGTTTCACAGAGCATATCAGTATGGTTTCTAGGCTACCATATTGCAGGTATAGCCATCAGGCTCCATGACGTAGATGAGGATAGCTCGCCACCGTGCGTCTGATCCCGTCCCTTAGACTAACCACAGGCTTGTACCCCATGTCCTGCTTGGCTCTGGAGCAGCTGTAGAAGTGGTGTGTACCTGCCAGGGCCACCCTCATGGGGGTGAAGGTGGGCTTGAAAGCCACTAGGGGGCGTAGTAACAGAGACAGCAGCCACAGCAGCAGAGCTAGCCCGTAGACTAGTGTGTAGGGAAGGTGGTAGCGCGGCGCAGCATAGCCCAGACCTACTAGAATATCTGACATGAAGTCCCAGAACCGGACAGGCTCGTCATTAGTGATGTGGTACGCCTGGAGGGGGAGGAAGACCAGTCAATACGGATTGAGAAAATTGACAGAGTTAGGGTAAGACATTCCTATTCATTCTCTGTAGCCATACATTGGCTAGAACCTAATCTTGTCCACCAGCCACCTCATTCTTTTTGGAACCGTCTGGTTTCACAGCGCCTCAGAAAGGGACTTGAATGGAGCCTATGGCAGGAGCGGGAAGAAAATCTAGCGGGAGTTTATTGGCTGATCTCTCAGTCCATCACCATCTGGCACAGGAATGGGCAACTTTGATGGGGGTGGGGCCACAACAAATCAGAACTCATCATGGGTCTGCGTACTATATGATATAATATCTGATTCAGACTGACTAACAAAATCAATAGGGCCCCCCCGGCCAGTAATAAAAAGTTTAGATAACTGGTCACTAAACTAACTTAGCAATCTAAAAAAAAAAATAGCTGACATGGGCTAATTGACTGACATAAGAGAAAAACTGCAGATGCACAACCAAATTTCGAAATTGCACTTTCTAACTCGCAACTGTAAGTTGCGACCCCGACTGAGTTCCCCCAAAAAAGTTGCCGATCCCTGATACAGCATAACCCTTAGAACCTCCCCTCTACATTGTGGATATCAAAGTGCAAGCAGTGCAAGTGATTTACTGTAGGCTAAACAAGGAAGTGAGTTCAGGAAATCGGAAAGTACAGCACCAGTCAAAAGTTTGGACACACCTACTCATTCAAGGGTTTGTCTTTATTTTTACTATTTTCTACATTGTAGAATAATAGTGAAGACATAAAAACTATGAAATAACACATATGGAATCATGTAGTAACCAAAAAAGTGTTAAACAACTCAAAATATTTTATATTCTTCAAAGTAGCCACCCTTTGCCTTGTTGACAGCTTTGCACACTCTTGGCATTCACCTGGAATGCTTTTCCAACAGTCTTGAAGGAGTTCCCACATATGCTGAGCACTTGTTGGCTACTTTTCCTTCACTCTGCGATCAAACTCATCCCAAACCATCTCAATTGGGTTGAGGTCGGGGGATTGTGGAGGCCAGTTCATCTGATGCAGCACTCCATCACTCTCCTTCTTGGTCCAATAGCCTTTACACAATGTGTTGGGTCATTGTCCTGTTGAAAAACAAATGATAGTCCCGATTGGCGCAGTGGTCCAAGGCACTGCATCTCAGTGCTTGAGGCGTCACTACAGACCCCCTGGTTTGATTCCAGGCTGTATCACAACCGGCCGTGATTGGGAGTCCCATAGGGCGATGCACATTTGGCCCAGCGTCGTCCGGGTTTGGCCGGTGTAGGCCATCATTGTAAATAAGAATTTGTTCTTAACTGAATTGCCTAGTTAAATAAAGGTTAAAAAAAAATATATAATAATAATAAGCGCAAACCAGATGGGATGGCATATCGCTGCAGAATGCTGTGGTAGCCATGCTGGTTAAGTGTGCCTTGAATTCTAAATAAAATCACTGACAGTGTTACCAGCAAAGCACCCCCAAACCTCCTCCTCCATGCTTCACGGTGGGAACCACACATGTGGAGATCGTCCGTTCACCTACTCTGCATCTCACAAAGACACAGCGGTTGGAACCAAAAATCTCAAATTTGGACTCATCAGACCAAAGGACAGATTTCCACCGGTATAATGTCCATTGCTCATGTTTCTTGGCTCAAGCAAGTCTCTTCTTCTTATTGGTGTCCTTTAGTAGTGGTTTCCTTGCAGCAATTAGACCATGAAGGCCTGACTCACGCAGTCTCCTCTGAACAGTTGATGTTGAGATGTGTCTGTTACTTGAACTCTGTGAAGCATTTATTTGGGCTGCAATGTCTGAGGCCGGTAACTCTAATGAACTTATCCTCTGCAGCAGAGGTAACTCTGGGTCTTCCTTTCCTGTGGCAGTCCTCATGAGAGCCAGTTTCATCATAGTGCTTGATGGTTTTTGCGACTGCACTTGAAGAAACTTCTTGAAATTTTCCGGATTGACTGACCTTCATTTCTTAAAGTAATGATGGACTGTCATTTCTCTTTGCTTTTTTGAGCTGTTTTTGCCATAATATGGCACACCTGTTAATTGAAATGCATTCCAGGTGACTACCTCATGAAGCTGGTTGAGAGAATGCCAAGAGTGTGCAAAGCTGTCATGAAGGCAAAGGATGGCTACTTTAAAGAATCTAAAAAGTAAAATATATCTTCGATTTGTTTAACACTTTTTTGGTTACTACATGATTCCATATGTGTTATTTCATAGTTTTGATGTCTTCACTATTATTCTACAATGTAGAAAATTGTAAAAAGAAAAGAAAAACCCTGGATTGAGTAGGTGTCCAAACTTCTGACTGGTTCTGTATGCATCTTAGAACTAGTTTTCACATATAAACTTTATATGCCCAAACTCAATTAATTGAGCTTCCCAAAAATAACCCTAACCCATAAATAATATGGCCGCTGTGATGGAACATTAATTTGAATTGCCGAATTTCAGAATTTTTCCAAGTCCCATCTAATACAGCTGTAGCAGGCTCTCCCTCTCCCGCCTCGATTTTAGCCCACACCCCTTTCAAGTCCCACTTTGTTGCACTGTATTTCCAGGCTCTATATCGACAGCTTGGGACTATAAAGGTTCTATCTGCATTTTTTGGTGAAATTGAGTAATTGACATAACCTTGTTCTGTTCAATGTTCTCTACCTATATAGTGCTCTAAATACCTCAATTTATGTTGTTAAGTTCAAAATAATTTCTGTTCAAGTTCTGAATATGCAATTGAGGACGCCGTTTGTTAGAACCAATGTTCCCTCAAAAAAATGTGAGCAAATGTAAGGTCTGCTGAGTGCAAACTTGAAGGTTATGAAATTCTGTGCAACTTCCGGCGCGCGATTACTGTGAACACTGAGGCTGTACCTGCTTTAAGTTACAGTTTTAACAGTGGCCATTTGATCATAATGTAGGCCGTTCAGAGAGGCCTACCATCAAAAACAATAGAGAGAAATGCATCCCATAACATTTAAATATGGAAATAGCTGTTCTATCATTCAGCCTACAGTAGCAGCCAATGTGTGGTGTTCAATGTAGGCCTACATTCCATGATACTTTTTTTTTTTTAATATGCAGGGCTTGACATTAACCTGTTTATCCACTTGTCCTTTAAACAAGGAGGTGACTGAAAATGGTGTTTGATGCAAGAAACCTTAACTCCTGAGTGGCGCAGTGGTCTAAGGCACTGCATCGCAGTGCTAACTGTGCCACTAGATCCTGGTTCGAATCCAGGCTCTGTCGCAGCCGGCCGCGACCGGGAGACTCATGGGCGGCGCACAATTGGCCCAGCGTTGTCCAGGGTAGGGGAGGGAATGGCCGGCAGGGATGTAGCTCAGTTGATAGAGCATGGCGTTTGTAACGCCAGGGTTGTGGGTTTGATTCCCACGTGGGGCCAGTATTTAAAAAAATATGTATTCACTAACTGTAAGTCGCTCTGGATAAGAGCGTCTGCTAAATGACTAAAATGTAAATGTAAATGTAAACCACTTTACAAAATAAAATGCATTATTATTCCCATACCATTATTACAGAGAATCAGACAAATTATGCTACGCTCTTCCTCTTGGCTACTTAGCTTATTCAAGACCATCTCAAAATACAACACTGCCCCTTTAAGACATAAAAAAAAGCTCTTTACTTGACTGGCTTTTCAAAGATGGCTAGAAACGCACAGGTTTTGTGCTCTTGTAGGAAGCAATTATTCCCCCATTGTTGACTAGAAATGAGCTATAACTGGGCTAATAACTCACTAACTAGCAAAGGATATGAACAAATGTGTACACGTGGTTACATGCAGCACTCGTTTTGATCTCAAAACAAGCGCACCTCCTCGCGACCGCTCATACTGTAGCCTAAACATTGTCCAGTTCAAAGTGAAAGGCACAGATCCATATATAGCAATGGCTATTTGCATATAGGCCTACTGCAGCGCTGATTGGTTATGGCGCACCGGTCTGTGTAGAGTACTTGCCTGACTCGTGCCTGTCAATGCAATATAATCCTACTCCAATGCGCTCTGCCTGCAAGAAAATCTCTTGCATAGTTAGTTTTGTTTCCGTATGTTACATTGAAATTGGCTAACATTGCGTTGATTCGATCACAATTCCCACAGTAAAGGGAAACGTTGATAGTGTTAACTAAAGGGGAAAACTCAAGAAAGGTGAGTGAAGTTCAATCTCGTGCTTCTCTGCAAGGGTGGATATTTCTTCTGTGCAGCAGTCCGATTGAGAGCAGCGCGCCCACGCGTAGTTTAGAGGGAACATAGGTTAGAACCCAACAAATATTGTGTGAGTGCGAAAGGAATCTCTTTCTTCGAACACAGAACAGTTGACCCTATTGGTCATCATCACACAGTTGCACAGTGCAGGCAGGTCTACCATATGAGCTAGGACATATAGAGGGTTCCTACCTTGCCACAGATAGGAGACTCTGGCCTCAGACTCTCAGCTGCCAGGATGTGTCCATGAACCACATTCTCCACAAAAGTGAAATCCACCAGGTTACAACCATCACTAGAGACAGAGAGAGAAGACCGAGGCAGAGAGAGAGACAACATCAACAAGGGCAGCCCCATATTTACATGTACGTCATTTAGCAGACGCTCTTATCCAGAGCCACTTACAAATTGGTGCATTCACCTTATGACAGCCTGTGGGACAACCACTTTACAATTTAATATTTTGCTAATTTTTTAATTCATAATTTATTTGTTTTATATATATATATATAAAGAATCTCAAAAGTAAAATATAGTAGAAGGATTACTTTTATACTATCCCAGGTATTCCTTAAAGAGGTAGGGTTTCAAGTGTCTCCAGAAGGTGGTCAGTGACTCCACTGTCCTGGCGTCGTGAGGGAGCTTGTTCCACCATTGGGGTGCCAGAGCAGCGAACAGTTTTGACTGGGCTGAGCGGGAACTGTGCTTCCGCAGAGGTAGGGGGACCAGCAGGCCAGAGGTGGAAGAACGCAATGCCCTCGTTTGGGTGTAGGGACTGATCAGAGCCTGAAGGTAAGGAGGTGCCGTTCCCCTCACAGCTCCATAGGCAAGCACCATGGTCTTGTAGCAGATGCGAGCTTCAACTGGAAGCCAGTGGAGTGTGCGGAGGAGCGGGGTGACGTGAGAGAACTTGGGAAGGTTGAACACCAGACGGGCTGCAGCATTCTGGATGAGTTGTAGGGGTTTAATGGCACAGGCAGGGAGCCCAGCCAACAGCGAGTTGCAGTAATCCAGACGGGAGATGACAAGTGCCTGGATTAGGATCTGTGCCGCTTCCTGTGTAAGGTAGGGTCGTATTCTGCGAATGTTGTAGAGCATGAACCTACAGGAACGGGTCACCGCTTTGATGTTAGCGGAGAACGACAGGGTGTTGTCCAGGGTCACGCCAAGGTTCTTTGCACTCTAGGAGGAGGACACAACGGAGTTGTCAACCGTGATGGCGAGATCATGGAGCGGGCAGTCCTTCCCCGGGAGGAAGAGCAGCTCTGTCTTGCCAAGGTTCAGCTTGAGGTGGTGATCCGACATCCACACTGATATGTCTGCCAGACATGCAGAGATGTGATTCGCCACCTGGTTATCAGAAGGGGGAATGGAGAAGATGAATTGTGTGTCATCTGCGTAGCAATGATAGGAGAGACCATGTGAGGATATGACAGAGCCAAGTGACTTGGTGTATAGAGAGAATAGGAGAGGGCCTAGAACTGAGCCCTGGGGGACACCAGTGGTGAGAGCACGTGGTGCGGAGACAGATTCTCGCCACGCCACCTGGTTGGAGCGACCTGTCAGGTAGGACGCAATCCAAGAGTGAGCCGCGCCGGAGATGCCCAACTCGGAGAGGGTGGAGAGGAGGATCTGATGGTTCACAGTATCAAAGGCAGCAGATAGGTCTAGAAGGATGAGAGCAGAGGAGAGAGAGTTAGCTTTAGCAGTGCAGAGAGCCTCCGTGACACAGAGAAGAGCAGTCTCAGTTGAATGACCAGTCTTGAAACCTGACTGGTTTGGATCAAGAAGGTCATTCTGAGAGAGATAGCAGGAGAGTTGGCTATAGACGGCACGCTCAAGAGTTTTGGAGAGAAAAGAAAAAAGGGATACTGGTCTGTAGTTGTTGACATCGGAGGGATCGAGTGTAGGTTTTTTGAGGATGGGTGCAACTCTCGCTTTCTTGAAGATGGAAGGGACATAGCCAGTGGACAAGGATGAGTTGATGAGTGAGGTGAGGTAAGGGAGAAGGTCTCCGGAAATGGTCTGAAGAAGAGAGGAGGGGATAGGGTCAAGCGGGCAGGTTGTTGGGCGGCTGGCCATCACAAGTCGCAAGATTTCATCTGGAGAGAGAGGGGAGAAAGAAGTCAAAGCATAGGGTAGGGCAGTGTGAGCAGGACCAGCGCTGTCATTTGACTTAATATGTCGTCAACCTTCTTTTCAAAATGGTTGACGAAGTCATCCACAGAGAGGGAGGAGGGAGGGGGAGGAGGAGGAGGATTCAGCAGGGAGGAGAAGGTGGCAAAGAGCTTCCTAGGGTTAGAGGCAGATGCTTGAAATTTAGAGTGGTAAAAAGTGGCTTTAGCAGCAGAAATGGAGGAAGAGAATGTAGAGAGTAGGGAGTGGAAAGATGACAGGTCCGCAGGGAGTCTAGTTTTCCTCCATTTCCGCTCGGCTGCCCATAGCCCTGTTCTCTGAGCTCGCAATGAATCGTCAAGCCACGGAGCAGGAGGGGAGGACCGAGCCGGCCGGGAAGATAGGGGACATAGAGAGTCAAAAGATGCAGAAAGGGAGGAGAGGAGGGTTGAGGAGGCAGAATCAGGAGATTGGAGGGAGAAGGATTTAGCAGAGGGAAGAGATGATAGGATGGAAGAGGAGAGAGTAGTGGGAGAGAGAGAGCGAAGATTGCGACGGCACATTACCATCTGAGTAGGGGCAGAGTGAGTAGTGTTGGAGGAGAGCGAGAGAGAAAAGGATACAAAGTAGTGGTTGGAGACTTGGAGGGGAGTTGCAGTGAGATTAGTAGAAGAACAGCATCTAGTAAAGATGAGGTCAAGCGTATTGCCTGCCTTGTGAGTAGGGGGGACGGTGTGAGGGTGAGGTCAAAAGAGGAAAGGAGTGGAAAGAAGAAGGCAGAGAGAAATGAGTCAAAGGCAGACGTAGGGAGGTTAAAGTCACCCAGAATTGTGAGGGGTGAGCCATCCTCAGGAAAGGAACTTATCAAGGCATCAAGCTCATTGATGAACTCTCCAAGGGAACCTGGAGGGCGATAAATGACAAGGATGTTAAGCTTGAATGGGCTAGTGACTGTGACAGCATGGAATTCAAATGAGGAGATAGACAGATGGGTCAGGGGAAAAAGAGAGAATGTCCACTTGGGAGAGATGAGGATTCCTGTGCCACCGCCGCGCTGACCAGATGCTCTCGGGGTATGCGAGAACACATGATCAGACGAGGAAAGAGCAGTAGGAGTAGCAGTGTTTTCTGTGGTAATCCATGTTTCCGTCAGCGCCAAGAAGTCGAGGGACTGGAGGGTGGCATAGGCTGAGATGAACTCTTGCCTTGTTGGCCGCAGAACGGCAGTTCCAGAGGCTACCGGAGACCTGGAACTCCACGTGGGTCGTGCGCGCAGGGACCACCAGATTAGAGAGTGGTAGCAGCCACGCGGTGTGAAGTGTTTGTATGGCCTGTGCAGAGAGGAGAGAACAGGGATAGACAGACACATAGTTGACAGGCTACAGAAAATGGCTACAATAATGCAAAGGAGATCAGAATGAAATGAACTAAGCATCTGGGAAAGCGAGAGAGCGGGGCCTCCTTCACTTACGTTTCACTGAAACACTCAAATACTGTAGAACTCTCCCAACTTCCACTTTAGATTAATAGACTTTAGTTAGTGTCTGGTCTATCAGCGATGTTACCAAACAGACTAGTTCTGTCTCTTGCCTCTAGTTAGTGTCTGGTCTATTAGCGATGTTACCAAACAGACTAGTTCTGTCTCTTACCTCTAGTTAGTGTCTGGTCTGTTAGCGATGTATCATATCCATAAAACTTTAACTTTGGTTGATCCCACTATGTCTAGGGAAGAGTCCATGTTTCATTCCAGTCCTGTGTATGACTGACTGACCCGATGATGAACTTCATCTTGCCCCTGCGTGCCGTGTCGACCAGGATGGGCACCAGCTGGGGGTCCCGGGGGCCGAAGATACCGTGAGGTCGGATGGCCACCGTCAGGAGACCCTTCTCTTTGTCACAGGCCTTCAGAACCAGCTGAGACACCACAGAGAGACAAGATGCAGATAGAGGAGAACATTACTTATTTAATGTGGAGCTGATGTGGAGCATGTAGAGTGTATGTTACATGTATGGATAGGTCAGCATCAATGTCTTAATGTGTAGGCAAGTTCTCCCCCCTAGCAATGCTCTGGTACCATTAACATAACTTTGATAAGGCTATTCTACAAAATAAACAAGCTTCCTCACCTTCTCCTGTTCTATCTTGGTCTCTGTGTAGTAGTGTCCTCACCTTCTCCTGTTCTATCTTGGTCTCTGTGAAGTGGTGTCCTCACCTTCTCCTGTTCTATCTTGGTCTCTGTGTAGTAGTGTCATCACCTTCTCCTGTTCTATCTTGGTCTCTGTGTAGTAGTGTCCTCACCTTCTCCTGTTCTATCTTGGTCTCTGTGTAGTGGTGTCCTCACCTTCTCCTGTTCTATCTTGGTCTCTGTGTAGTAGTGTCCTCACCTTCTCCTGGCACCTGCTCCTGACACTGGCACTGCTGGTCAATACCACTTTCTATAGTAGACAGGCAGAAAAACACCTTAACTGTTAGTCCCCTTTACTGACTATCTATTTACTAGATCAGTAATTACATTAAAGAAGGGAGAATGTCCAAGTATTTTAACAGAGCATTTCTTTCATTGAATTGAGTCTGTCTTTATTGTAATATATTGTATGACAGGCCTGTCTGTCTAGTAGTAACTCTATACTGCCCCCTACCTGTACTCCGGCCTCGGTGCAGGCCTGTAGGACAGTCTGTGTCCCCTGGATGTTGACTCTCTGAAACAGAGCCTTGTCATCACTGGCTGGGGCTGGAGAGGCACAGTGGAACACCAGGGAGACATCTTGGAGGGCTGTTAGGAGAGCCTGGGATAGGGACACACAATGATGCCCAGATGCAGACACACACAAGCACACACGAAGACACACACAGGCCTAACATGTACACACAAGGCACAAAGGCCATAGACCCTAACAAGGCCCCAACCAGCTCAGTGCACAGACTCTTCATATACAGACAGACAGACTCACCTGTTTGTCACAGAGGTCTCCCTGGTGGAAGGTGACTCCAGGTAGTTCGTAGCTCTGTCTGATGTCAAACACTGACACAGTGTAGCCCTTATCCAAGAGCTTCTCTACCAGGTGTCTACCCAGGAACCCAGAGCCTCCTATCACTGCACACCGCTTACTGCTCTGTAAAGGGACAACATTCAGTAAAGACAGACAGACACAAAAAGACACACTATGATACAATGAAACTGACAACCATTAGACATATGAGAAGAACAAATAAATAGCCTAAGCATGTGGCACATAGCTCAGAATTGTATATGTTCTTCAACCTACTGCGCACTCACCGGTCGTATGCGCGTGGCCATGGCGAACTGCAGGTGAGTCGTCGGTGTTGGAAGCCAAACTGACAGAGAAATTTGATTATTTGGTTAAAGTTCCCTCGTTCGAAAACAGTTTGACAAGATGTCACATGGACAATTGAAGCATGATGAAGACTACAAGCAAACACCTTTAGGCTATTTCAAGACAAGTTTACAATATAAAGACACACTAATATGCTTTCAAAAAAGTGAAAATGTTTCATCTGTTTTGCAACAATATAAACGGACCCGCGCACAAATATAATAAACCCTGTATCTGCTGAGCGCGAGAGGCGCTCTCGTTGGGTGGACGGAAGTTTGGGTGGAAAGGGGACATGCTCGAACAGCCAATGGAGTGGAGCTACGTCAAAGAACGCCACTGCTCTGACCAACCGGGACATAGTCACAGTGAGACCACACCCACAGCGGGTAGCTATAGGAGTGTAAACGCCCCTAAACCTGATCCTGTATCCGTTTTTATATTTCACACACCTCGGTTTCAGATCAGTTGGCGCACGGAGAACAGATTCTGGATCAGAGCTTCAACGATCAATCCAGCCAATTGTCGTATAGAGTTTTATACCACATGTCCTCAACAACCAATTATCTTCTCGCCCGACTAGATGCACTCGATTTAGCTTGCTCGGCACGTTTATACGAATTGTTTCCATTCTGAATGTGCCAATTTGTATCCCCGGCAGGCAGAATGAGCTAAATCGAGTGCGCATTCACGGGCACTGATCAAAATGACGATAGCACAGACAGAATACTGCGTTCATTGACTGGAAATCTTCATTTTATTTTCTTAATTTCGTAACCAAAAATTATATTAACCATATTATAACATTGTGATATGCTCGACTGATAATAACTGTATATCTGTTATTGCAGACCCTGTAATAAACGGTCCGGTTTTCTGTCTATGATCTCATCCCTGCCTGGATGATAGGAGGAGAGAGAGGAGCGACAGCAACACATTAGACAGAGCACTCTTCAGTAAATCTACGGTTCTCTTGTTGCTGTCTTCGCGAATGATCATCTGAAATGGTGAGTAGGCTAATGCTGGAGCGCAATTAACGGTTTTGCAATTTACATTTTAGTCATTTAGCAGACGCTCTTATCCAGAGCGACTTACAGTTAGTGAGTGCATACATTTTTCATACTGGCCCCCCGTGGGAATCGAACCCACAACTCTGGCGTTGCAAGCGCCATGCTCTACCAACTGAGCTACAGGAGGCCCATTCTGTTTTGATACTCCTTGTGCTTCTGCTACAAATGACAAAAGGCCTCCATACACTGAGGCTACCACAACCGGTATTAACCGTAACTGGCTGTGCGATAGGAATACTAGGCTTGCTTATTATTCACTCATTTGAAGCAAGTGCATATTATCTGATAGGGCTAATAATGGGATGTAAATAATCAGAATGAAAAAAGTAATGATGCATTTTTTCCCATGTCTATGCTAGCCTTCTATTGCCGGCTATCTGTAAATAATCAGCTATAGTGCTAGTCATGATCTCCCTATTTATGCCATGTTTCCCCCAGGCTATCAGACTTTTACATTGAAATGGCCCTATGCAGATACAAGATGATTTGTCTATAAAGATCAATTGAAATCACACCCTTCTAAGGCTTTCCCTGTCTCTTTATCTCCTGGCTGTATTTCAATATTCTGACATAGCTGGACTGAAGGAGATTAGACAAGGAATCCACTTAAGACCATTGAGATGCACCCATCAAGCCTTAATGTGTTTTCTTGTTGCCATCGCTAGGCGACCAGTGTAAAGAGGCCGTCCCTGGGTCCGGTCCCTCCCCCCAGGAAGAAGTCCAGCCCCAAGCCGGAGCTCACTGAGGAGCTGAAACAGGAGATCAGAGAGGCCTTCGAACTGTTCGACACCGACGCCTCCGGACACATCGACGTCAAGGAGTTAAAGGTCAGGGGTCAGAGGTTAGGGGTTATGCACAGGGACAATGTTTGTGTAACGTGATGTACTACAGTACCCATAATGCTTAGTAATACAGTGTCGGTCAACAAAGATAGTCCTGGGGAGCTACGGGGTGGTCAAGCGTTTGTTCCAACTCAGCACTAACACACCTGGTTTTAACCAACTCATCTGTTTCTATCTATCTATCTATCTATCTATCTATCTATCTATCTATCTATCTATCTATCTATCTATCTATCTATCTATCTATCTATCTGTTTCTCTCTCTCTCTCTCTCTCTAGGTTGCTATGAGGGCGCTGGGGTTTGAGCCAAAGAAAGAGGAGATTAAGAGGATGATAATGGAGGTGGATAAGGATGGAACAGGAAAGATCTCCTTCTCTGATTTCTTCACCGTCATGACTCAGAAGATGGTAAGAAAAACAACATAGTGAATAAATAATGTCTGTTTTTGTCATAAATAATTTACACTGTCAGTGTTTAACATTGTAAGCTAAAACATAAACAAAGAGAGTTGCACACACTACATATAAACACCCAATAATTTATTGGGTAAACCACCACCGTTTCGGCATCACTGTGCCTTCTTCAGGGTGATGTCATGAATGCTTGAACCAGGTTATGTAGACAAACTGCGCAATTAGTTCAACCAATGACAATAGTGAGGAGTGTGTCATAATTATTAGGTTAATTAGAATAAATTGAGTGAAACTGTTAAAAGACAATGGTTTACAGTGTGGTTACTACATGATTCCATGTGTTATTTCATCGTTATTCTACAATGTAGAAAATAGTAAAAATAAAGAAAAATCCTTGAATGAGTAGGTGTTCTAAAACCTTTGACCGGTAGTGTATATAGAGTATTTTGTTGTATTACAGGGTATTTTAGTAATATTGTATCACCATGCAGTAATATTGTATCACCATGCAGTAATATTGTATCACCATGCAGTATTGTGTTATTGTATTGTGTTACAGTGTGTTGTAACTGTTACTGTCTACCCACCCAGGCTGAGAAGGATTCAAAGGAGGAGATCCTGAAAGCATTCCGTCTGTTTGATGATGATGAGACGGGGAAGATCTCCTTCAGGAACCTGAAGAGGGTCGCTAAAGAACTAGGAGAGAACCTGACTGACGAGGAACTGCAGGTGAGACATACACATGGACAGCACTGTACACACACACACACACACACACACACACACACACCTGGACAGCACTGTACACACACACACACACACACACACATACATGGACAGCACTGTATACACACACACACACACACACATACATGGACAGCACTGTATACACACACACACACACACACACACACACACACACGGACAGCACTGTATACACACACACACACACACACCTGGACAGCACTGTATACACACACACACACACACACACACACACACACACACACACACACACACACACACATACATGGACAGCACTGTATACACACACACACACACACATACATGGACAGCACTGTATACACACACACACACACACACATGGACAGCACTGTATACACACACACACACACACACACATGGACAGCACTGTATACACACACACACACACGGACAGCACCTTTGCCCCACACCTGGAGAGCACTGTACACACACGTGAACATACAGGATGATATGGGATAGGATAGAAGAGCTTTATTTTGTCAAGAAAAATATACTGGTCTACTGCTAAGGCTTCAGTTTAATTGTTTACTGTGAATCTGCCATCCTCCCTTCCCCTGTTCCCTGCTTCCTCTCTCCTCCGTTCCCATCCCTCTCCCCCCCCTCCATCCCTCCCCTCCTTCCCTCCCCTCCTTCCTCCATCCCTCCCCTCCTTCCTCCACTCCTCCAGGAGATGATCGAGGAGGCAGACAGGGATGGAGACGGAGAGGTGAACCAGGGAGAGTTCCTACGCATCATGAAGAAGACCAGCCTGTACTGAGACTGGACCAGGGTGTTGTGGGGTAGAGGGTGGTGTTGGGGACATACAGGGGCAGAGGAGACTGTGGGTTGGTTTTACATGTTATGTACTAGTCAAGTCATTACTCAGTTATCCTGTCCTAGTTTAATTAGACAACTTCCTTTCCTCGTCTCCTTCCTTACTGTCACGACCACTCATCAGTTAGTCTTTATAGCGCTCTGTCTGTCTCTTAGTTAGAATGCTGGTAGAGTCCCAAAACAGTGCTTTCATCTATCAATACCCTTTCACCTTTCATATCTGTTATCGTGAAGGTAAATGGGACAAGGACAGGAAGCTGTTTAAGAAGACTAGGATCAGATACTGCACACAGAAAGATGCCAAACAATCATTTCCATTCCAGAACCTCTACTCTTCTCTCCTTCATGTAGATAGATTTATGTGACGTCAAGGATTTGCCTAAAAGAATCGCCTTGCTCAAACTGATCCCCTTAAACACGTTGCTTGTCTTCGTGCCTGAGTCTCTACCAGAGGGTATGAATCATCAGTTTCAGGGAAGACCCCACCTCCTCTACCCCTAGTCAGCCCCTCCCCTCCAACACCCACCTTGAATCTATTTGAACTCTAATCTAAAGTTGTGAAAGTTGACTGTATTTTTCTTATTCGTATTGTTGTATTTTTGTCTCTTTGAATTATCTACAGTATGATCTCCTGTATTCTGTGTTTTGTACGTATAAACTGTATGTGCAGATATATTGATATTTAAGATATGAATTCATTAAATACCTTTAAGCAGTTTTTCCAGTGTCAGTGTATTCGTAAGACAAGATCATGGTACTAAGTCGCCATGTTCTGACCATAGAGATCCATATACTGTGTCACCATGTTTGATAAGTCTCTAGAAAGAGCGACCACAGAGAGACAGCTGAAGGTGAGCGACCACAGAGAGACAGCTGAAGGTGAGCGACCACAGTGAGACAGCTGAAGGTGAGCGACCACAGTGAGACAGCTGAAGGTGAGCGACCACAGAGAGACAGCTGAAGGTGAGCGACCACAGTGAGACAGCTGAAGGTGAGCGACCACAGAGAGACAGCTGAAGGCGAGCGACCACAGAGAGACAGCTGAAGGTGAGCGACCACAGAGAGACAGCTGAAGGTGAGCGACCACAGAGAGACAGCTGAAGGTGAGCGACCACAGTGATACAGCTGAAGGTGAGTGACCACAGTGAGACAGCTGAAGGTGAGCGACCACAGAGAGACAGCTGAAGGTGAGCGACCACAGAGAGACAGCTGAAGGTGAGCGACCACAGAGAGACAGCTGAAGGTGAGCGACCACAGTGAGACAGCTGAAGGTGAGCGACCACAGAGAGACAGCTGAAGGTGAGCGACCACAGAGAGACAGCTGAAGGTGAGCGACCACAGAGAGACAGCTGAAGGTGAGCGACCACAGAGAGACAGCTGAAGGTGAGCGACCACAGAGAGACAGCTGAAGGTGAGCGACCACAGTGAGACAGCTGAAAGTGGGCGACCACAGAGAGACAGCTGAAGGTGGGCGACCACAGAGAGACAGCTGAAGGTTAGCGACCACAGAGAGACAGCTGAAGGTGAGCGACCACAGAGAGACAGCTGAAAGTGAGCGACCACAGAGAGACAGCTGAAGGTGAGCGACCACAGAGAGACAGCTGAAGGTAAGTGTCAGTCAACCAGACCTGGGTTCAAATACTATTTAAGGTATTTCAATTACTTTCAAAAGACATTTAGAAAGTATTTTAAAATACTTGAATAGACGGACTCAAATACCCTTTAAGTATTTTTTTTAATACAATCAAATAGTAGGCTGTTTATAGAAAATGTTAAAATACTTTCAATTGAAGTAATTGATTTGGGCCACATTATTTTAAAATACTCAGATAGACAGAAAATAAGTATTTAAATAACAACCATGTATTTGAACCCAGGTCTGCAGTCAGCATGTCTTTCGGCTTTATAGTAATTATTTCCATGGACCATGATTAACATTAACATTATTTATTTGAATATGAGAGAACATGCTAGACAACATGTCAGTAAAGAAGCCATTGAAAACGTAATTGTTGTGTCCTTCAAAATAGGTATTGTTACTTTAGTACTGAGGATATTTGCAAACTAATCTGTCATATAAACTACCAGTGGTCGACTCAGGTATGAGTATTGTAGGAGTTATTGGCTGCTGATGCTACTGTTGTCACGCCCTGGCCTTGAGAGCCCGGTTTTCTTTAGTTGGTTTGGTCAGGGTGTCCATTCTATGTTGTGTGGTAATTGAGTCGCCTTCTTTTTACAGAAGGCGAGAGACAGATCGGCATAGTCGGGGGGAATGTGCATGGTGGAGACCTGGTTTGGACTTTCCACCGTAGTTGCCCCTATGGAAACACCTACACACCTCCCCGAGCACTGACTTGATCATCCCTTGAGAGCCCTCTGTTGCCATGAAATAGTGGGGTCATGAGACGTTAACCAGGGAAGCCCCAACACCACTGGAAACGCAGGAGAATCAATCAGATAGACTAATACCGCCCGAAAGCGGCGGGTGAAATCCTCATAGCGTACTGACGCTGCGTCTATTCCTCCCCACTCGGCGTTGGCCCACTCGAGCGCTCTTCCAGATAGACAGGACATGAGGGCGGACACGCTCTCGTATCCCGAGGGAGCCGGGTGGATGGTCGCCAGGTAGAGCTCTACCTGGAGCAGAAAACCCTGACACCCGGCAGCTGTACCATCGTATGCCCTCGGGAGCGAGAGCCGAATCCCACTGGACCCAGGTGACGAAGGGGTGGACAGCGGTGTGGGTGGTTGTGTAGTTGGAGGAGGTGTAGGACCACCACCTCTCTCCCATCGCTCCATAGTGTTCAACATGTGCTCCATAGCGGTACCGAGAGTCTGGATCATGGTCGCCTGCTGTTGGACACGTTCCTCCATTGATCGGGACGAAATGAATGTACCTGCTGACTCCATATTTAGGTGCGTGTTTCTGTCAGGATGTCAGTGTGATGCGGTAGGACGAAGTCAGGCGCAGGACACAGAGCTAATCGAAAACGTACTTTACTCGTAGGTAACGTAAAATAACATAACCTCCACGCAGGGAGGAAACAAACCCGCTCACAAGATGACAACCAAACATGAACAAACACACACAACATACAGTGTGAGCCAGAGGGTTAAATAGGGAAGTGATCAATACTAATGGGAACCAGGTGTGAACAATCAAGACAAGACAAGTAGAACACAGAAACATAGATCGGTAGCAGCTAGTACTCCGGTGACGACGAACGCCGAAGCCTGCCCGAGCAAGGAGGAGGAGCAGCCTCGGCTGAAACCGTGACAGTACCCCCCCTTGACGCGCGGCTCCAGCCGTGCACCGACACCGGCCTCGGGTTTCAGGAATATAATTCTACTCTCACACTTCTGAGTTCTGAGTTCTCCATGACATTTCAAGTGAGGTCAGGTCAACTTTAGTTCATCACTTTGAGCCATAAAAACATTGGTTGTCCCAATAATATCTCCTTTAAATAATCTCTCCTTTTAATAATCTCTTACATACAAATCCCTCACAGCGTAAAAATCCTCACAATTCAACTTCACTGATTAAAAAGGAAATGACTGGTTTAAGAAATATGGTGGAAACTCCCTCTTGTCCATGCCTCCACCAATATGCTTTTACATTTGTGGGAAGCTAGTGAACAAGTGATATTATTGGGACGCACCCATTGGTGTTGGGGTGAACTCTTCCAGGTCCAGCAGGGCCTTATAGGGCCTGGAGACCCACATGGGGATGGAGAAGTACCCAGATAGGAGGTTAGGTGTTGATTTGGGATTCAGGGTCTCTTTCTGTTCCAGGAGTCGCTATGGGAACCCCCAACTGTAATGTGATGGCCTTGCAGAACGTGGTGACCCAGATGGACAGTCACCTCTACCACCTGGCAAAACTGATCTCCCTGTGAGTCGGCTGTACCCTCAACACTCTCCTCAGTATCCCTCTGCTCCTCCCATCACCAGAGCCCCCTCCATGCTCAGCCAAACACGCTTCTTCATCCTCACACATCTCCTTTGCTGCGACAACATACAGGTCAGAGTTGGAATCAGAATTAGCTTGATTTGCCAAGTACATTTACATGTAGCAGGAATTTGACCTGGTGAAAGAGTTCTGACCACAATGAACAGAATGTAGACAGGTGAGGGCTACGTAGACAGGTGAGGGCTACGTAGACAGGTGAGGGCTACGTAGACAGGTGAGGGCTACGTAGACAGGTGAGGGCTACGTAGACAGGTGAGGGCTACGTAGACAGGTGAGGGCTACGTAGACAGGCGAGGGCTACGTAGACAGGTGAGGGCTACGTAGACAGGTGAGGGCTACGTAGACAGGTGAGGGCTACGTAGACAGGTGAGGGCTACGTAGACAGGTGAGGGCTACGTAGACAGGTGAGGGCTACGTAGACAGGTGAGGGCTACGTAGACAGGTGAGGGCTACGTAGACAGGTGAGGGCTACGTAGACAGGTGAGGGCTACGTAGACAGGTGAGGGCTACGTAGACAGGTGAGGGCTACGTAACAGTGATGGTGGGGAGTTTTGAGTTGTGACACTTCTGAAAAGCGCGGTATCTAGTATTAATGCTCTTTATAATTTGTAATACAAACACAAAAATGTATGCACGCATGACTGTAAGTCGCTTTGGATAAAAGCGTCTGCTAAATGGCATAATATATATATATATAATATCTGGTTTCCATGGATGGTTCAGCCATGAAGCTTGCAACACCACAGTGGTAGGTCCGTTCTAGACCTGCATGGACTATATAGTAGGCTTTAATATAACTTAAGTTTACTGTCACTTGGAATTGAAACGTTTGCTAAATTTAAATTCATTTTTTCAATTTTATTCTGGTTCCAGCTGCTTCTCCTGACCTCCAAAGCAGCCCCCGTCATGTCCTGGGAGGGCATGCCTGTGGCCCAGTGTCTGGTTCCAGCTGCTTCTCCTGACCTCCAAAGCAGCCCCCGTCATGTCCTGGGAGGGCATACCTGTGGCCCAGTGTCTGGTTCCAGCTGCTTCTCCTGACCTCCAAAGCAGCCCCCGTCATGTCCTGGGAGGGCATGCCTGTGGCCCAGTGTCTGGTTCCAGCTGCTTCTCCTGACCTCCAAAGCAGCCCCCGTCATGTCCTGGGAGGGCATGCCTGTGGCCCAGTGTCTGGTCTCTGCTGCCTCTCAGGGCTGCTCTATGGTGGGTACACTAGCTGGTATAATGTACAAGCATTGTATTGTATTGTATTGTATTGCATATCGGGTTGCACATTTCTGGTAACTTTAACCAAAATTCCCTAGATTTCCAGAAATCCTGGTTGGAAGTTTCCTGGAAAAGCACAAAATCCGGAATCCTGTGACCAGGATGTCTGGAAAACCAGGGAATTTTCCAACTCTAATTACATACACCACATGGCAAAAGGTATGTAAACACCTGCTCGTCAAAAACATCTCATTCCAAAATCATGGGCATTAATATGGAGTTGGTCCCACCTTTGCTGCTATAACAGCCTCCACTCTTCTGGGAAGGCTTTCCACTAGATGTTGGAACATTGCTGCGTGGACTTGCTTCTATTCAGCCACAAGAGCATTAGTGAGGTCAGGCACTGATGTTGGGCAATTAGGCTTCGCGCTTCAGCACTCAGCGGTCCCGTTCTGTGAGCTTCGGTGGCTTACCACTTCAGCTCTAGCAGGGCCGAAATTTGACCAACTTTCATGTTGGGTAGGGTGGCATCCTATGATGGAGCCACATTGAAAGTCACTGAGCTCTTCAGTAAGGCCTTTCTACTGCCAATGTTTGTCTATGGAAATTGCATGGCTGTGTGCTCGATTTTATACACCTGTCAGCAACGAGTGTGGCTGAAATACCGGTAGCTTATCCACTAATTTTGGCCATGTAGTGTGTACACGGTACTGTATATATATCTGTGTTAATATAAATACCCTTCTCTAGCCTTGACTCAATAGGCAGTGCCCCATTGAGCTGCCCAACATTTATGAAAGCAATCGTTAACCTGATGTTACTCCTCCTCTTCTTCCACACTATCTTTTCTGTTGTTTCGGATCCACTAAGCTGACATTGTTCCCTGAAATGATAGATTTGGATGGCTGAGTCAATAGACCAGTGGAGAAGGGTATTTTGCAGAGACAATACATGTACAAAAGCAAACAGAATGGTTGTAATAAGCAAGAGTGGGATAACATTCCTCAGTCTACCAGTAAATCATCAGATATGTTTAGAAAACATCAAATCTTTATTCAAAAATAAAAGCTTGTCATCAACAAAACAAATATTAAGACAACCGTTAAAAATGTAACATACATTTCCCGCATGTTGCCACATCTGCCTGTTATGCACCGTATTAAATGTAATAAATACATTTAAAAAACTATACATAAAAAAAAAAAAGATTCATTTTCACAGATTAATATTTCAAGTAATTCAAAACAGTTGGTCACAATATATGTACATCTCTAGAGCACAAAAAACTGTGAACCCCAAAATGATATTTAAAGGGTATGAAACCATGTCACAGGCAGGCTTGACAACAATATACAGTGCCTTAGTAAAGTATTCAGACCCATTGACTTTTTCCACATTTTGTTAAAGTTACAGCCTTATTCTCAAATGGATTAAATTGTTTTTTTCCTTATCGATCTACACACAATACCCCATAATGACAAAGCAAAAATTGATTTTTAGAAAATGTTGCCAATTTATTAAAAACAAAAAACCGAAATATCACATTTACATAAGTATTCAGACCCTTTACTCAGTACTTTGTTGAAGCACCTTTGGCAGCGATTACAGCCTCAAGTCTTCTTGGGTATGACGCTACAAGCTTGGCACACCTGTCCTCTGTCGGATTGGATGGGGAGCATTGCTGCACAGCTATTTTCAGGTCTCTCCAGAGATGTTTGATCGGGTTCAAGTCCGGGCTCTGGCTGGGCCACTCAAGAACATTCAGAGACTTGTCCCGAAGCCTCTCCTGTGTTGTCTTGGCTGTGTGCTTAGGGTCGTTGTCCTGTTGGAAGGTGAACCTTTGCCCGAAGTCTGAGGTCCTGAGCGTTCTGGAGCAGGTTTTCATTAAGGAACTCTCTGTACTTTGCTCCATTCATCTTTGCCTTGATCCTGACTAGTCTCCCTGTCCCTGCTGCTGAAAAACATCCCCACAGGTTGATGCTGCCACCACCATGCTTCAGCGTAGGGATGGTGCCAGGTTTCCTCCAGACCTGATGCTTGGCATTCAGGCCAAAGAGTTCAATCTTGGTTTCATCAGACCAGAGAATCTTGTCTTTAGGTGCCTTTTGGCAAACTCCAAGCGGGCTGTCATGTGCCTTTTACTGAGGAGTGGCTTCCGTCTGGCCACTCTACCATAAAGGCCTAATTGGTGGAGTGCTGCAGAGATGGTTGTCCTTCTGGAAGGTTCCCCCATCTCCACGGAGGAACTCTAGAGCTCTGTCAGAGTGGACTCCAATCAAGTTGTAGAAACATCTCAAGGATGATCAATGGAAAAACAGGATGCACCTGAGCTCAATTTCGAGTCTCAGAGCTAAGGGTCTGAATACTTATGTAAGTAAGGTATAGATTTTTTGTTTTAAATAAATGTGCAAAAAAAAAAAAAGGGGGTATTGTGTGTAGATTGCTGAGGAAATTGTTTTATTGAATCCATTTTAGAATAAGGCTGTCACGTAACAGGGGTCTGAATACTTTCCAAAGGTACTGTATGACTGATTCACGTTGCCTTTAGTCACTGTTCAGTGTTTCTCTTGGCTCAGTTCACTGTAATGGTGAGACTCCAGTTAGAGACGTAAGGAATGACAACAGACTGCCTCTGAAAACCTGATACATACACAGAGGTATTTAAGACAGACCTATCAACTTGAAGATCCCACTAATCTTACACATTAGGATGGTTAAAAGAGAAGGATCCCACCATTGCTTCAAATCAGAGCAGTGGAAACCTTCAAGAAGGAATTAACAGAATGATGCATGTTCAGGGAGGGTTTTACGGCTACTCCTGAACAAAAAACATGTCTTATTATTAATATCCTGAGTGCTTTATAGTCCAGGAGACAAGAGTACTGTAGGGCTAATCCAAGTCCATGCAACCACACCCTCCAACTGCATCAGAATGATTCCACCTCATCTCTTTCACACCTATCAAATAATGTGAGACCAGTGAAAATCCTCAAGCCAAGGATACAGTTTTTGTATAGGGACAGCTGATCCCGCTCTTTCTCCCTCTCAGCTCTGGCTGAGTTTGGTCTTAGTGGCGAAGTCAACACTGAGTTTCCTCATCACCTCACCGTGGCTCTGACCCACCAGGTCCTGGCGAACGCTCCCATAGTTCTCCTTGACGAAGTTGGCGAAGGGTGTGGGCGCCCGGGTCTTGGCGGGGGTGAGTAGGACCAGCTGACCCGTACAGAGGGCACACACAAACCTCTGGGTGTCCAGAGACTTAGAGTGGCGACCGAGTCTACAGAGGGTAGGAAGATGAGAACAGTTTAGCCATCAATAGGTTTTCGAGTTTAGCCATCAATTGGTTTTCGAGTTTAGCCATCAATTGGTTTTCGAGTTTAGCCATCAATTGGTTTTCGAGTTTAGCCATCAATTGGTTTTCGAGTTTAGCCATCAATTGGTTTTCGAGTTTAGCCATCAATTGGTTTTCGAGTTTAGCCATCAACTGGTTTTCGAGTTTAGCCATCAATTGGTCTTCGAGTTTAGCCATCAATTGGTTTTCGAGTTTAGTCATCAATTGGTTTTCGAGTTTAGCCATCAATTGGTCTTCGAGTTTAGCCATCAATTCATGAGAATCCATGCTAGATTGAGGGCTTGAACTACCTAGTTTGATAGTATAAGCTATGACAATACATACTGTAGGGGGAGAAAGAGAATATTCAATTTAAGTCTCAGGCAATAATATATCAAAAATATAATGCCATTTGGCAGACACTTTTATCCCAAGCGATTAACACTACTACAGTGAGTATATATTGTTGACCCCTGCTGAGCCACACAGGACAACTACTTCATCTGACGGAATGACTCAGTTTCCTTGGATTAAATAAATCCATCTTTAAAATCCCAAAACGACATTTCATTTGCAGCGCTAAAACAGTATTCAAGTGTAAGCCAGGGACAGACAGGAAGTTAGTGTCGACCTACGTGTTTTTGCAGCGGCTGCACTGGTACTGGTACTTGTAGTTAATGTCGTAGCCGTGGCAGCGGGTAACCGTGGGCAGCTCGGGGTGTGCCAGCGTGGCCTTGTGGGCGTACAGCTTCCAGAAGGGGCCGTGCCCATCCCTCACACTGTTGATCAACCAGGTGGCAGCGTGGCACATCTCATGGACCAACGTGTCACGCAGACGGTCTGGGAGGACGAGACGGGGGAGGATGAGACGGGGGGAGGATGAGACGGGGGAGGACGAGACGGGGGGAGGATGAGACAGGGGGAGGATGAGACGGGGGGGGGAGGAGATGAAAGGGGGGGGAGGGGGCTGAGAACGGGGGGAGGAGGATGAAGGGGGGGGAGGGGGATGAGACGGGGGGGAGGAGGATGAAACGGGGGGGGGGAGGGGGATGAGACGGGGGGGAGCAGGATTTGCAAAGGGGGGGAGGGGGATGAGACGGGGGGGAGGAGGATGAAACGGGGGGGAGGAGGATGAAACGGGGGGGAGGGGGATGAGACGGGGGGAGGGGGATGAGACGGGGGGGGAGGAGGATGAGACGGGGGCGGGAGGAGGATGAGGGACGGGGGGGGAGGATGAGACGGGGGGGAGGAGGATGGCGGGGGGGGGGAGGGGGGATGAGAACGGGGGGGGAGGGGAGGATGAAACGGGGGGGGAGGGGGATGAGACGGGGGGGAGGGGGGATGAGACGGGGGGGAGGAGGATGAGACGGGGGGGAGGAGGATGAGACGGGGGGGAGGATGAGACGGGGGGGAGACGGGGGGAGGATGAGACGGTAGAGTGAGAGAGGGAATGGGAGAGAGAGGAGAGGAGAGAGGGAATGGGAGAGAGAGGAGAGAGAGGGAGAGAGGAGGAGAGAGGGAAGGGGGAATGGGAGAGAGAGGAGAGGAGAGAGGGAATGGGAGAGAGAGAGGGAGAGAGGGAATGGGAGAGAGAGGAGAGGGAGAAAGAGGAGAGGGAATGGGAGAGAGAGGAGAGAGGGAGTGGGAGAGAGAGGAGAGAGGGAATGGGAGAGAGAGGAGAGGGAGAGAGAGGAGAGGGAGGATGGGTGAGAATGAGGGAAGGTGGGAGAGAAAGAAGGAGATATGTTAAACCAGGTTTAATCATACAGACACGGGCTGCACAAATTCAAGTTTGACTTTAAATGACTTACACCAGAACCTAATTTCAACGTTATAACAACATACATTTAATCTCATGTCATTAGTTCTTCAACCGGCCAAGCCTTACCTGCAGAGTCACAGACCTTCTCAGAGAGTTGGATGCGGGCGTATCGGTTCCCTCCTCCTCTCTCCTGCCCTGTAATGCAGTAGCCAGCAGTCTTCCTCATCTTCTTATTCCAGCTCACTGACATGTTACTGGGCAGCTGGGGCACAGAGGTTAGAAAGGTAACAAGAGGTAAAACAGCTCACTGACATGTTACTGGGCAGCTGGGGCACAGAGGTTAGAAAGGTAACCAGAGGTAAAACAGCTCACTGACATGTTACTGGGCAGCTGGGGCACAGAGGTTAGAAAGGTAACAAGAGGTAAAACAGCTCACTGACATGTTACTGGGCAGCTGGGGCACAGAGGTTAGAAAGGTAACAAGAGGTAAAAGACAAGCCCAGATCACATAATGTTAAGGTTCAGGTCAACACAAAACACTGTATTAGATGGCATCTTTATCACTCTCCAAGTGATATGGCAGTACATGTATGCTTATAACCTGTGTGTTTAACACTGTCTAGCCTATGTATGATTAAAATGTGTGTGTGTGTGTGTGTGTGTGTGTGTGTGTACCTTGCTGTGGAACACGCTGGTGTTGTACAGGCAGTACAGTTTCCTGGTGAGCTCCTCCTTGGTCTGTTGGAAGTTGCGGCTGTAGCTGGAGCCTGGTCCAGACAGAGACTGGAGGAAACATCCTGGAGTCATACACACTGCTGACACACTGAGGAGAGAAACACAGCCTGGAGTCTAACACACTGCTGACACACTGAGGAGAGAAACACAGCCTGGAGTCTAACACACTGCTGCTGACACTCTGAGGAGAGAAACACAGCCTGGAGTCTAACACACTGCTGCTGACACACTGAGGAGAGAAACACAGCCTGGAGTCTAACACACTGCTGCTGACACACTGAGGAGAGAAACACAGCCTGGAGTCTAACACACTGCTGCTGACACACTGAGGAGAGAAACACAGCCTGGAGTCTAACACACTGCTGCTGACACACTGAGGAGAGAAACACAGCCTGGAGTCTAACACACTGCTGCTGACACACTGAGGAGAGAAACACAGCCTGGAGTCTAACACACTGCTGCTGACACACTGAGGAGAGAAACACAGCCTGGAGTCATACACACTGCTGCTGACACACTGAGGACAGAAACACAGTCTGGAGTCTAACACACTGCTGACACTCTGAGGAGAGAAACACAGCCTGGAGTCTAACACGCTGCTGACACTCTGAGGAGAGAAACACAGCCTGGAGTCTAACACGCTGCTGACACTCTGAGGAGAGAAACACAGCCTGGAGTCTAACACACTGGTGACACTCTGAGGAGAGAAACACAGCCTGGAGTCTAACACACTGGTGACACTCTGAGGAGAGAAACACAGCCTGGAGTCTAACACACTGCTGCTGACACTCTGAGGAGAGAAACACAGCCTGGAGTCTAACACACTGCTGACACTCTGAGGAGAGAAACACAGCCTGGAGTCTAACACACTGCTGACACACTGAGGAGAGAAACACAGCCTGGAGTCTAACACACTGCTGCTGACACACTGAGGACAGAAACACAGCCTGGAGTCTAACACACTGCTGCTGACACACTGGGGAGAGAAACACAGCCTGGAGTTTAACACACTGCTGCTGACACACTGAGGAGAGAAACACAGCCTGGAGTCTAACACACTGCTGACACTCTGAGGAGAGAAACACAGCCTGGAGTCTAACACACTGCTGACACTCTGAGGAGAGAAACACAGCCTGGAGTCTAACACGCTGCTGACACTCTGAGGAGAGAAACACAGCCTGGAGTCTAACACGCTGCTGACACTCTGAGGAGAGAAACACAGCCTGGAGTCTAACACGCTGCTGACACTCTGAGGAGAGAAACACAGCCTGGAGTCTAACACACTGCTGCTGACACACTGAGGACAGAAACACAGCCTGGAGTCTAACACGCTGCTGACACTCTGAGGAGAGAAACACAGCCTGGAGTCTAACACGCTGCTGACACTCTGAGGAGAGAAACACAGCCTGGAGTCTAACACACTGCTGACACACTGAGGAGAGAAACACAGCCTGGAGTCTAACACACTGCTGACACTCTGAGGAGAGAAACACAGCCTGGAGTCTAACACACTGCTGACACACTGAGGAGAGAAACACAGCCTGGAGTCTAACACACTGCTGCTGACACACTGAGGACAGAAACACAGCCTGGAGTCTAACACACTGCTGCTGACACTCTGAGGAGAGAAACACAGCCTGGAGTCTAACACACTGCTGCTGACACTCTGAGGAGAGAAACACAGCCTGGAGTCTAACACACTGCTGCTGACACTCTGAGGAGAGAAACACAGCCTGGAGTCTAACACACTGCTGACACTCTGAGGAGAGAAACACAGCCTGGAGTCTAACACACTGCTGCTGACACACTGAGGAGAGAAACACAGCCTGGAGTCATACACACTGCTGCTGACACTCTGAGGAGAGAAACACAGCCTGGAGTCTAACACACTGCTGCTGACACTCTGAGGAGAGAAACACAGCCTGGAGTCTAACACACTGCTGCTGACACACTGAGGACAGAAACACAGCCTGGAGTCTAACACACTGCTGCTGACACACTGAGGAGAGAAACACAGCCTGGAGTCTAACACACTGCTGCTGACACACTGAGGAGAGAAACACAGCCTGGAGTCTAACACACTGCTGACACTCTGAGGAGAGAAACACAGCCTGGAGTCTAACACACTGCTGACACACTGAGGAGAGAAACACAGCCTGGAGTCTAACACACTGCTGCTGACACTCTGAGGAGAGAAACACAGCCTGGAGTCTAACACACTGCTGACACACTGAGGAGAGAAACACAGCCTGGAGTCATACACACTGCTGACACACTGAGGGGAGAAACACAGCCTGGAGTCTAACACACTGCTGCTGACACTCTGAGGAGAGAAACACAGCCTGGAGTCTAACACACTGCTGACACACTGAGGAGAGAAACACAGCCTGGAGTCATACACACTGCTGCTGACACTCTGAGGAGAGAAACACAGTCTGGAGTCTAACACTCTGAGGAGAGAAACACAGTCTGGAGTCTAACACACTGCTGCTGACACTCTTAGGAGAGAAACACAGCCTGGAGTCTAACACACTGCTGACACACTGAGGAGAGAAACACAGTCTGGAGTCTAACACACTGCTGCTGACACTCTTAGGAGAGAAACACAGCCTGGAGTCTAACACACTGCTGATACACTGAGGAGAGAAACACAGTCTGGAGTCTAACACACTGCTGCTGACACTCTTAGGAGAGAAACACAGCCTGGAGTCTAACACACTGCTGACACACTGAGGAGAGAAACACAGCCTGGAGTCTAACACACTGCTGCTGACACACTGAGGGGAGAAACACAGCCTGGAGTCTAACACACTGCTGACACACTGAGGAGAGAAACACAGTCTGGAGTCTAACACACTGCTGCTGACACTCTGAGGAGAGAAACACAGTCTGGAGTCTAACACACTGCTGACACTCTGAGGAGAGAAACAAAGCCTGGAGTCTAACACACTGTTGCTGACACACTGAGGAGAGAAACACAGCCTGGAGTCTAACACACTGCTGCTGACACACTGAGGAGAGAAACCCAGCCTGGAGTCTAACACACTGCTGCTGACACTCTGAGGAGAGAAACACAGCCTGGAGTCTAACACACTGTTGCTGACACACTGAGGAGAGAAACACAGCCTGGAGTCTAACACACTGCTGCTGACACACTGAGGAGAGAAACCCAGCCTGGAGTCTAACACACTGCTGCTGACACACTGAGGAGAGAAACACAGTCTGGAGTCTAACACACTGCTGCTGACACACTGAGGAGAGAAACACAGTCTGGAGTCTAACACACTTCTGCTGACACTCTGAGGAGAGAAACACAGTCTGGAGTCTAACACACTGCTGCTGACACTCTTAGGAGAGAAACACAGCCTGGAGTCTAACACACTGCTGACACTCTGAGGAGAGAAACAAAGCCTGGAGTCTAACACACTGCTGCTGACACTCTGAGGAGAGAAACACAGTCTGGAGTCTAACACACTGCTGACACTCTGAGGAGAGAAACAAAGCCTGGAGTCTAACACACTGCTGCTGACACACTGAGGAGAGAAACACAGCCTGGAGTCTAACACACTGCTGCTGACACACTGAGGAGAGAAACCCAGCCTGGAGTCTAACACACTGCTGCTGACACACTGAGGAGAGAAACACAGCCTGGAGTCTAACACACTTCTGCTGACACACTGAGGAGAGAAACACAGTCTGGAGTCTAACACACTGCTGACACTCTGAGGAGAGAAACACAGCCTGGAGTCTAACACACTGCTGCTGACACACTGAGGAGAGAAACACAGCCTGGAGTCTAACACACTGCTGCTGACACACTGAGGAGAGAAACACAGCCTGGAGTCTAACACACTGCTGCTGACACACTGAGGAGAGAAACACAGTCTGGAGTCTAACACACTGCTGCTGACACACTGAGGAGAGAAACACAGTCTGGAGTCTAACACACTTCTGCTGACACTCTGAGGAGAGAAACACAGCCTGGAGTCTAACACACTGCTGCTGACACTCTTAGGAGAGAAACACAGTCTGGAGTCTAACACACTGCTGACACACTGAGGAGAGAAACACAGCCTGGAGTCTAACACACTGCTGACACACTGAGGAGAGAAACACAGTCTGGAGTCTAACACACTGCTGCTGACACACTGAGGAGAGAAACACAGCCTGGAGTCTAACACACTGCTGACACACTGAGGAGAGAAACATAGCCTGGAGTCTAACACACTGCTGCTGACACTCTGAGGAGAGAAACACAGCCTGGAGTCTAACACACTGCTGCTGACACACTGAGGACAGAAACACAGTCTGGAGTCTAACACACTGCTGCTGACACTCTGAGGAGAGAAACACAGCCTGGAGTCTAACACACTGCTGCTGACACTCTTAGGAGAGAAACACAGCCTGGAGTCTAACACACTGCTGACACACTGAGGAGAGAAACACAGCCTGGAGTCTAACACACTGCTGCTGACACTCTGAGGAGAGAAACACAGTCTGGAGTCTAACACACTGCTGCTGACACTCTTAGGAGAGAAACACAGCCTGGAGTCTAACACACTGCTGACACACTGAGGAGAGAAACACAGTCTGGAGTCTAACACACTGCTGCTGACACTCTGAGGAGAGAAACACAGCCTGGAGTCATACACACCGCTGACACTCTGAGGAGAGAAACACAGCCTGGAGTCTAACACACTGCTGCTGACACACTGAGGAGAGAAACACAGCCTGGAGTCTAACACACTGCTGACACACTGAGGAGAGAAACACAGTCTGGAGTCTAACACACTGCTGCTGACACTCTGAGGAGAGAAACACAGCCTGGAGTCATACACACTGCTGACACACCGAGGGGAGAAACACAGTCTGGAGTCTAACACACTGCTGACACACTGAGGAGAGAAACACAGTCTGGAGTCTAACACACTGCTGACACACTGAGGAGAGAAACACAGTCTTGAGTCTAACACACTGCTGCTGACACACTGAGGAGAGAAACACAGCCTGGAGTCTAACACACTGCTGCTGACACACTGAGGACAGAAACACAGCCTGGAGTCTAACACACTGCTGACACACTGAGGAGAGAAACACAGTCTGGAGTCTAACACACTGCTGCTGACACACTGAGGAGAGAAACACAGCCTGGAGTCTAACACACTGCTGCTGACACTCTGAGGAGAGAAACACAGCCTGGAGTCTAACACACTGCTGACACTCTGAGGAGAGAAACACAGCCTGGAGTCTAACACACTGCTGACACTCTGAGGAGAGAAACACAGTCTGGAGTCTAACACACTGCTGCTGACACTCTGAGGAGAGAAACACAGCCTGGAGTCTAACACACTGCTGACACACTGAGGAGAGAAACACAGTCTGGAGTCTAACACACTGCTGACACTCTGAGGAGAGAAACACAGCCTGGAGTCTAACACAATGCTGCTGACACACTGAGGAGAGAAACACAGCCTGGAGTCTAACACACTGCTGCTGACACTCTGAGGAGAGAAACACAGCCTGGAGTCTAACACACTGCTGCTGACACTCTGAGGAGAGAAACACAGCCTGGAGTCTAACACACTGCTGACACTCTGAGGAGAGAAACACAGCCTGGAGTCTAACACACTGCTGACACTCTGAGGAGAGAAACACAGTCTGGAGTCTAACACACTGCTGCTGACACTCTGAGGAGAGAAACACAGCCTGGAGTCTAACACACTGCTGACACACTGAGGAGAGAAACACAGTCTGGAGTCTAACACACTGCTGACACTCTGAGGAGAGAAACACAGCCTGGAGTCTAACACAATGCTGCTGACACACTGAGGAGAGAAACACAGCCTGGAGTCTAACACACTGCTGCTGACACTCTGAGGAGAGAAACACAGCCTGGAGTCATACACACCGCTGACACTCTGAGGAGAGAAACACAGCCTGGAGTCTAACACACTGCTGACACACTGAGGACAGAAACACAGCCTGGAGTCTAACACACTGCTGCTGACACACTGAGGAGAGAAACACAGCCTGGAGTCTAACACACTGCTGACACACTGAGGAGAGAAACACAGTCTGGAGTCTAACACACTGCTGCTGACACTCTGAGGAGAGAAACACAGCCTGGAGTCATACACACTGCTGACACACTGAGGGGAGAAACACAGTCTGGAGTCTAACACACTGCTGACACACTGAGGAGAGAAACACAGTCTGGAGTCTAACACACTGCTGACACACTGAGGAGAGAAACACAGTCTTGAGTCTAACACACTGCTGCTGACACACTGAGGAGAGAAACACAGCCTGGAGTCTAACACACTGCTGCTGACACACTGAGGACAGAAACACAGCCTGGAGTCTAACACACTGCTGACACACTGAGGAGAGAAACACAGTCTGGAGTCTAACACACTGCTGCTGACACACTGAGGAGAGAAACACAGCCTGGAGTCTAACACACTGCTGCTGACACTCTGAGGAGAGAAACACAGCCTGGAGTCTAACACACTGCTGACACTCTGAGGAGAGAAACACAGCCTGGAGTCTAACACACTGCTGACACTATGAGGAGAGAAACACAGTCTGGAGTGTAACACACTGCTGCTGACACACTGAGGAGAGAAACACAGCCTGGAGTCTAACACACTGCTGACACACTGAGGGGAGAAACACAGCCTGGAGTCTAACACACTGCTGCTGACACACTGAGGAGAGAAACACAGCCTGGAGTCATACACACTTCTGACACACTGAGGGGAGAAACACAGCCTGGAGTCTAACACACTGCTGACACACTGAGGAGAGAAACACAGCCTGGAGTCTAACACACTGCTGCTGACACACTGAGGAGAGAAACACAGCCTGGAGTCTAAAAAACTGCTGACACACTGAGGACAGAAACACAGCCTGGAGTCTAACACACTGCTGCTGACACTGAGAACAGAAACACAGCCTGGAGTCTAACACACTGCTGACACACTGAGGACAGAAACACAGTCTGGAGTCTAACACACTGCTGACACACTGAGGACAGAAACACAGCCTATTGATCTACACCCTGCCCTTGGCCCTGTTCAGTAGAGTATTGATCTACATCATGCCCTAGGCCCTGTTCAATGGAGTATTGATCTACACCCTGCCCTAGGCCCTGTTCAGTAGAGTATTGATCTACATCCTGCCCTAGGCCCTGTTCAGTAGAGTATTGATCTACACCCTGCCCTAGGCCCTGTTCAGTATAGTATTGATCTACACCCTGCCCTAGGCCCTGTTCAGTAGAGTATTGATCTACACCCTGCCCTAGGCCCTGTTCAGTATAGTATTGATCTACACCCTGCCCTAGGCCCTGTTCAGTAGAGTATTGATCTACATCCTGCCCTAGGCCCTGTTCAGTAGAGTATTGATCTACACCCTGCCCTAGGCCCTGTTCAGTATAGTATTGATCTACACCCTGCCCTAGGCCCTGTTCAGTAGAGTATTGATCTACACCCTGCCCTAGGCCCTGTTCAGTAGAGTATTGATCTACATCCTGCCCTAGGCCCTGTTCAGTAGAGTATTGATCTACACCCTGCCTTAGGCCCTGTTCAGTAGAGTATTGATCTACACCCTGCCCTAGGCCCTGTTCAGTAGAGTATTGATCTACACCCTGCCCTAGGCCCTGTTCAGTAGAGTATTGATCTACATCCTGCCCTAGGCCCTGTTCAGTAGAGTATTGATCTACACCCTGCCCTAGGGCCTGTTCAATAGAGTATTGATCTACATCCTGCCCTAGGCCCTGTTCAGTGGAGTATTGATCTACACCCTGCCCTAGGCCCTGTTCAGTAGAGTATTGATCTACATCCTGCCCTAGGCCCTGTTCAGTAGAGTATTGATCTACACCCTGCCCTAGGCCCTGTTCAGTATAGTATTGATCTACACCCTGCCCTAGGGCCTGTTCAATAGAGTATTGATCTACATCCTGCCCTAGGCCCTGTTCAGTGGAGTATTGATCTACACCCTGCCCTAGGCCCTGTTCAGTAGAGTATTGATCTACATCCTGCCCTAGGCCCTGTTCAGTAGAGTATTGATCTACACCCTGCCCTAGGCCCTGTTCAGTATAGTATTGATCTACATCATGCCCTAGGCCCTGTTCAATTAAGTATTGATCTACACCCTGCCCTAGGCCCTGTTCAGTAGAGTATTGATCTACATCCTGCCCTAGGCCCTGTTCAGTAGAGTATAGATCTACATCCTGCCCTAGGCCCTGTTCAGTAGAGTATTGATCTACATCATGCCCTAGGCCCTGTTCAGTAGAGTATTGATCTACACCCCGCCCTAGGCCCTGTTCAATGGAATATTGATCTACACCCTGCCCTAGGCCCTGTTCAGTAGAGTATTGATCTACACCCTGCCCTAGGCCCTGTTCAGTAGAGTATTGATCTACATCCTGCCCTAGGCCCTGTTCAGTAGAGTATTGATCTACACCCTGCCCTAGGCCCTGTTCAATAGAGTATTGATCTACATCCTGCCCTAGGCCCTGTTCAGTAGAGTATTGATCTACACCCTGCCCTAGGCCCTGTTCAGTAGAGTATAGATCTACATCCTGCCCTAGGCCCTGTTCAGTAGAGTATTGATCTACACCCTGCCCTAGGCCCTGTTCAGTAGAGTATTGATCTACATCCTGCCCTAGGGCCTGTTCAATAGAGTATTGATCTACATCCTGCCCTAGGCCCTGTTCAGTGGAGTATTGATCTACACCCTGCCCTAGGCCCTGTTCAGTAGAGTATTGATCTACACCCTGCCCTAGGCCCTGTTCAGTAGAGTATTGATCTACACCCTGCCCTAGGCCCTGTTCAGTAGAGTATTGATCTACATCATGCCCTAGGCCCTGTTCAATGGAGTATTGATCTACACCCTGCCCTAGGCCCTGTTCAGTAGAGTATTGATCTACATCCTGCCCTAGGCCCTGTTCAGTAGAGTATTGATCTACATCATGCCCTAGGCCCTGTTCAATGGAGTATTGATCTACATCCTGCCCTAGGCCCTGTTCAGTAGAGTATTGACCTACACCCTGCCCTAGGCCCTGTTCAGTAGAGTATTGATCTACATCCTGCCCTAGGGCCTGTTCAATAGAGTATTGATCTACATCCTGCCCTAGGCCCTGTTCAGTGGAGTATTGATCTACACCCTGCCCTAGGCCCTGTTCAGTAGAGTATTGATCTACACCCTGCCCTAGGCCCTGTTCAGTAGAGTATTGATCTACACCCTGCCCTAGGCCCTGTTCAGTAGAGTATTGATCTACATCCTGCCCTAGGCCCTGTTCAGTAGAGTATTGATCTACATCATGCCCTAGGCCCTGTTCAATGGAGTATTGATCTACACCCTGCCCTAGGCCCTGTTCAGTAGAGTATTGATCTACATCCTGCCCTAGGCCCTGTTCAGTAGAGTATTGATCTACATCATGCCCTAGGCCCTGTTCAATGGAGTATTGATCTACACCCTGCCCTAGGCCCTGTTCAGTAGAGTATTGATCTACATCCTGCCCTAGGCCCTGTTCAGTAGAGTATTGATCTACATCATGCCCTAGGCCCTGTTCAATGGAGTATTGATCTACACCCTGCCCTAGGCCCTGTTCAGTAGAGTATTGATCTACACCCTGCCCTAGGCCCTGTTCAGTAGAGTATTGATCTACACCCTGCCCTAGGCCCTGTTCAGTAGAGTATTGATCTACATCCTGCCCTAGGCCCTGTTCAATAGAGTATTGATCTACATCCTGCCCTAGGCCCTGTTCAATAGAGTATTGATCTACACCCTGCCCTAGGCCCTGTTCAGTAGAGTATTGATCTACATCCTGCCCTAGGCCCTGTTCAATAGAGTATTGATCTACACCCTGCCCTAGGCCCTGTTCAATAGAGTATTGATCTACACCCTGCCCTAGGCCCTGTTCAGTAGAGTATTGACCTACACCCTGCCCTAGGCCCTGTTCAGTAGAGTATTGATCTACACCCTGCCCTAGGCCCTGTTCAATAGAGTATTGATCTACACCCTGCCCTAGGCCCTGTTCAGTAGAGTATTGATCTACACCCTGCCCTAGGCCCTGTTCAGTAGAGTATTGATCTACACCCTGCCCTAGGCCCTGTTCAGTAGAGTATTGATCTACACCCTGCCCTAGGCCCTGTTCAATATTACCTGGAGGAGGAAAGGCTGCTGGTCTGGAGTCTGGTTTCCGTCTGGGAAACTGTGGGTTTAGTGACGAGCGGCCACACCGCAGTCTTCAGATCCAATGGTGTTCTCCCTACCAGCCGAGGGCCCGCCTCTTTCAAAGCTTTGGGCCGTGGAGCTGACAGAAGGGGCTTCTGATTGGGCCCTGGATTCACACACGAGGAAGCAGCCAATGAGATTACATGATATAGAAACAAAAAAGGAAAAGTACCAATTAAAGACCACAGCTGGCAGAAGCCTTGTGGGTGGAAACTGTCTGAACAGAAATATATGAGTTACCTGTGTTGTGTTGGGGTGTTGCATGTGTTATGTTTGGGTGTTGGGGTGTTACCTGTGTTATGTTTAGGTGTTGGGGTGTTACCTGTGTTATGTTTAGGTGTTGGGGTGTTACCTGTGTCATGTTTAGGTGTTGGGGTGTTGCCTGTGTTATGTTTAGGTTTTGGGGTGTTACCTGTTTGTGTTGGGGTGTTACCTGTGTTATGTTTAGGTGTTGGGGTGTTGCCTGTGTTATGTTTAGGTGTTGGGGTGTTGCCTGTGTTATGTTTAGGTGTTGGGGTGTTGCCTGTGTTATGTTTAGGTGTTGCCTGTGTTATGTTTAGGTGTTGGGGTGTTGCCTGTGTTATGTTTAGGTGTTGGGGTGTTGCCTGTGTTATGTTTAGGTGTTGGGGTGTTGCCTGTGTTATGTTTAGGTGTTGGGGTGTTGCCTGTGTTATGTTTAGGTGTTGGGGTGTTGCCTGTGTATGTTTAGGTGTTGGGGTGTTGCCTGTGTTATGTTTAGGTGTTGGGTGTTGCCTGTGTATGTTTAGGTGTTGGGGTGTTGCCTGTGTTATGTTTAGGTGTTGGGGTGTTGCCTGTGTATGTTTAGGTGTTGGGGTGTTGCCTGTGTTATGTTTAGGTGTTGGGGTGTTGCCTGTTTATGTTTAGGTGTTGGGGTGTTACCTGTGTTATGTTTAGGTGTTGGGGTGTTACCTGTGTTATGTTTAGGTGTTGGGGTGTTAGCAGTGTTATGTTTAGGTGTTGGGGTGTTGCCTGTGTTATGTTTAGGTGTTGGGGTGTTGCCTGTGTTATGTTTAGGTGTTGGGGTGTTGCCTGTGTTATGTTTAGGTGTTGGGGTGTTGCCTGTGTTATGTTTAGGTGTTGGGGTGTTGCCTGTGTTGTGTTGGGGTGTTACCTGTGTTATGTTTAGGTGTTGGGGTGTTGCCTGTGTTATGTTTAGGTGTTGGGGTGTTGCCTGTGTTGTGTTGGGGTGTTACCTGTGTTATGTTTAGGTGTTGGGGTGTTATCTGTGTTGTGTTTAGGTGTTGGGGTGTTGCCTGTGTTATGTTTAGGTGTTGGGGTGTTACCTGTGTTATGTTTAGGTGTTGGGGTGTTGCCTGTGTTATGTTTAGGTATTGGGGTGTTGCCTGTGTTATGTTTAGGTGTTGGGGTGTTACCTGTGTTGTGTTGGGGTGTTGCCTGTGTTATGTTTAGGTGTTGGGGTGTTACCTGTGTTATGTTTAGGTGTTGGGGTGTTACCTGTGTTATGTTTAGGTGTTGGGGTGTTGCCTGTGTTATGTTTAGGTGTTGGGGTGTTGCCTGTGTTATGTTTAGGTGTTGGGGTGTTGCCTGTGTTATGTTTAGGTGTTGGGGTGTTGCCTGTGTTATGTTTAGGTGTTGGGGTGTTGCCTGTTGTTATGTTTAGGTGTTGGGGTGTTGCCTGTGTTATGTTTAGGTGTTGGGGTGTTGCCTGTGTTATGTTTAGGTGTTGGGGTGTTGCCTGTGTTGTGTTGGGGTGTTACCTGTGTTATGTTTAGGTGTTGGGGTGTTGCCTGTGTTGTGTTGGGGTGTTGGGGTGTTACCTGTGTTATGTTTAGGTGTTGGGGTGTTACCTGTTTGTGTTGGGGTGTTACCTGTGTTATGTTTAGGTGTAGGGATGTTACCTGTTTGTGTTGGGGTGTTACCTGTGTTATGTTTAGGTGTAGGGGTGTTACCTGTGTTATGTTTAGGTGTTGGGGTGTTGCCTGTGTTATGTTTAGGTGTTGGGGTGTTGCCTGTGTTATGTTTAGGTGTTGGGGGTGTTGCCTGTGTTATGTTTAGGTGTTGGGGTGTTGCCTGTGTTATGTTTAGGTGTTGGGGTGTTACCTGTGTTATGTTTAGGTGTTGGGGTGTTACCTGTGTTATGTTTAGGTGTTGGGGTGTTAGCAGTGTTATGTTTAGGTGTTGGGGTGTTGCCTGTGTTATGTTTAGGTGTTGGGGTGTTGCCTGTGTTATGTTTAGGTGTTGGGGTGTTGCCTGTGTTATGTTTAGGTGTTGGGGTGTTGCCTGTGTTATGTTTAGGTGTTGGGGTGTTGCCTGTGTTATGTTTAGGTGTTGGGGTGTTACCTGTGTTATGTTTAGGTGTTGGGGTGTTGCCTGTGTTGTGTTGGGGTGTTGGGGTGTTACCTGTGTTATGTTTAGGTGTTGGGGTGTTACCTGTTTGTGTTGGGGTGTTACCTGTGTTATGTTTAGGTGTAGGGATGTTACCTGTTTGTGTTGGGGTGTTACCTGTGTTATGTTTAGGTGTAGGGGTGTTACCTGTGTTATGTTTAGGTGTTGGGATGTTACCTGTTTGTGTTGGGGTGTTACCTGTGTTATGTTTAGGTGTAAGGGTGTTACCTGTGTTATGTTTAGGTGTTGGGATGTTACCTGTTTGTGTTGGGGTGTTACCTGTGTTATGTTTAGGTGTTGGGATGTTACCTGTTTGTGTTGGGGTGTTACCTGTGTTATGTTAGGTGTTGGGATGTTACTATTTGTGTTGGGGTGTACCTGTGTTATGTTTAGGTGTTGGGGTGTTACCTGTTTGTGTTGGGGTGTTACCTGTGTTATGTTTAGGTGTTGGGATGTTACCTGTTTGTGTTGGGGTGTTACCTGTGTTATGTTTAGGTGTTGGGATGTTACCTGTTTGTGTTGGGGTGTTGCCTGTGTTATGTTTAGGTGTTGGGGGTGTTACCTGTTTGTGTTGGGGTGTTACCTGTGTTATGTTTAGGTGTTGGGATGTTACCTCTGTTACCTGTGTTATGTTTAGGTGTTGGGGTGTTACCTGTGTTATGTTTAGGTGTTGGGATGTTACCTGTTTGTGTTGGGGTGTTACCTGTGTTATGTTTAGGTGTTGGGGTGTTGCCTGTGTTATGTTTAGGTGTTGGGGGTGTTACCTGTTTGTGTTGGGGTGTTACCTGTGTTATGTTTAGGTGTTGGGGTGTTACCTGTGTTATGTTTAGGTGTTGGGGGTGTTGCCTGTGTTATGTTTAGGTGTTGGGGTGTTGCCTGTGTTATGTTTAGGTGTTGGGGTGTTGCCTGTGTTATGTTTAGGTGTTGGGGTGTTGCCTGTGTTATGTTTAGGTGTTGGGGTGTTGCCTGTGTTATGTTTAGGTGTTGGGGTGTTGCCTGTGTTATGTTTAGGTGTTGGGGTGTTGCCTGTGTTATGTTTAGGTGTTGGGGTGTTACCTGTGTTATGTTTAGGTGTTGGGGTGTTACCTGTGTTATGTTTAGGTGTTGGGGTGTTAGCAGTGTTATGTTTAGGTGTTGGGGTGTTGCCTGTGTTATGTTTAGGTGTTGGGGTGTTGCCTGTGTTATGTTTAGGTGTTGGGGGTGTTGCCTGTGTTATGTTTAGGTGTTGGGGTGTTGCCTGTGTTATGTTTAGGTGTTGGGGTGTTGCCTGTGTTGTGTTGGGGTGTTACCTGTGTTATGTTTAGGTGTTGGGGTGTTACCTGTGTTATGTTTAGGTGTTGGGATGTTACCTGTTTGTGTTGGGGTGTTACCTGTGTTATGTTTAGGTGTTGGGGTGTTGCCTGTGTTATGTTTAGGTGTTGGGGTGTTACCTGTTTGTGTTGGGGTGTTACCTGTGTTATGTTTAGGTGTTGGGGTGTTACCTGTGTTATGTTTAGGTGTTGGGGTGTTGCCTGTGTTATGTTTAGGTGTTGGGGTGTTGCCTGTGTTATGTTTAGGTGTTGGGGTGTTGCCTGTGTTATGTTTAGGTGTTGGGGTGTTGCCTGTGTTATGTTTAGGTGTTGGGGTGTTGCCTGTGTTATGTTTAGGTGTTGGGGTGTTGCCTGTGTTATGTTTAGGTGTTGGGGTGTTGCCTGTGTTATGTTTAGGTGTTGGAGTGTTACCTGTGTTATGTTTAGGTGTTGGGGTGTTACCTGTGTTATGTTTAGGTGTTGGGGTGTTAGCAGTGTTATGTTTAGGTGTTGGGGTGTTGCCTGTGTTATGTTTAGGTGTTGGGGTGTTGCCTGTGTTATGTTTAGGTGTTGGGGTGTTGCCTGTGTTATGTTTAGGTGTTGGGGTGTTGCCTGTGTTATGTTTAGGTGTTGGGGTGTTGCCTGTGTTGTGTTGGGGTGTTACTGTGTTATGTTTAGGTGTTGGGGTGTTGCCTGTGTTATGTTTAGGTGTTGGGGTGTTGCCTGTGTTGTGTTTGGGGTGTTACCTGTGTTATGTTTAGGTGTGGGGTGTTATCTGTGTTGTGTTTAGGTGTTGGGGTGTTGCCTGTGTTATGTTTAGGTGTTGGGGGTGTTACCTGTGTTATGTTTAGGTGTTGGGGGTGTTGCCTGTGTTATGTTTAGGTATTGGGGTGTTGCCTGTGTTATGTTTAGGTGTTGGGGTGTTACCTGTGTTGTGTTGGGGTGTTGCCTGTGTTATGTTTAGGTGTTGGGGTGTTACCTGTGTTATGTTTTAGGTGTTGGGGTGTTACCTGTGTTATGTTTAGGTGTTGGGGTGTTTGCCTGTGTTTATGTTTAGGTGTTGGGGTGTTGCCTGTGTTATGTTTAGGTGTTGGGGTGTTGCCTGTGTTATGTTTAGGTGTTGGGGTGTTGCCTGTGTTATGTTTAGGTGTTGGGGGTTGCCTGTGTTATGTTTAGGTGTTGGGGTGTTGCCTGTGTTATGTTTAGGTGTTGGGGTGTTGCCTGTGTTATGTTTAGGTGTTGGGGTGTTGCCTGTGTTGTGTTGGGGTGTTACCTGTGTTATGTTTAGGTGTTGGGGTGTTGCCTGTGTTGTGTTGGGGTGTTGGGGTGTTACCTGTGTTATGTTTAGGTGTTGGGGTGTTACCTGTTTGTGTTGGGGTGTTACCTGTGTTATGTTTAGGTGTAGGGATGTTACCTGTTTGTGTTGGGGTGTTACCTGTGTTATGTTTAGGTGTAGGGGTGTTACCTGTGTTATGTTTAGGTGTTGGGATGTTACCTGTTTGTGTTGGGGTGTTACCTGTGTTATGTTTAGGTGTAAGGGTGTTACCTGTGTTATGTTTAGGTGTTGGGATGTTACCTGTTTGTGTTGGGGTGTTACCTGTGTTGTGTTTAGGTGTTGGGATGTTACCTGTTTGTGTTGGGGTGTTACCTGTGTTATGTTTAGGTGTTGGGATGTTACCTGTTTGTGTTGGGGTGTTACCTGTGTTATGTTTAGGTGTTGGGGTGTTACCTGTTTGTGTTGGGGTGTTACCTGTGTTATGTTTAGGTGTTGGGATGTTACCTGTTTGTGTTGGGGTGTTGCCTGTGTTATGTTTAGGTGTTGGGGTGTTACCTGTTTGTGTTGGGGTGTTACCTGTGTTATGTTTAGGTGTTGGGATGTTACCTCTGTTACCTGTGTTATGTTTAGGTGTTGGGGTGTTACCTGTGTTATGTTTAGGTGTTGGGATGTTACCTGTTTGTGTTGGGGTGTTACCTGTGTTATGTTTAGGTGTTGGGGTGTTGCCTGTGTTATGTTTAGGTGTTGGGGTGTTACCTGTTTGTGTTGGGGTGTTACCTGTGTTATGTTTAGGTGTTGGGGTGTTACCTGTGTTATGTTTAGGTGTTGGGGTGTTGCCTGTGTTATGTTTAGGTGTTGGGGTGTTGCCTGTGTTATGTTTAGGTGTTGGGGTGTTGCCTGTGTTATGTTTAGGTGTTGGGGTGTTGCCTGTGTTATGTTTAGGTGTTGGGGTGTTGCCTGTGTTATGTTTAGGTGTTGGGGTGTTGCCTGTGTTATGTTTAGGTGTCGGGGTGTTGCCTGTGTTATGTTTAGGTGTTGGGGTGTTACCTGTGTTGTGTTTAGGTGTTGGGGTGTTGCCGGCCTTGTGGTTTTTCTTAATTCTGTCCAGTAAGCTGAGGAACTCCTCCTCTGAGCTGGCTGAGTCCTCCAGCTTCGACGCGGCTGAGTGGGCCCGCTGTGGAAGGGGGGCCGGGGAAGGTGTGAAGGAGGAAGAGGGGAGAGGAAGAGTGCTGGGAGAGAGGGAGGGCAGAGGAGGAGGGGAGGACAAGGGAAAGAAGATGTTGTCCTCCTGGTTACTTTGTGGAACTTTGACCTTGTGCGTCCGTGACGACGGCGGCTTGCGCACAGGGTGGCGCGTCCTCCATGTGCTCTTCATCACGATACCATCATCTTCTTCATTGTCGCTGAGGAAAACTGGGGAGTCACACTGGGACAGGGGTCTTCTGACTGGGGGCTGGGAGGATGACAGCTTAGGGGTCTTCTGACTGGGGGCTGGGAGGATGACAGCTTAGGGGTCTTCTGACTGGGGGTTGGGAGGATGACAGCTTAGGGGTCTTCTGACTGGGGGCTGGGAGGATGACAGCTTAGGGGTCTTCTGACTGGGGGCTGGGAGGAGGACAGCTTAGGGGTCTTAAACGCACCTGTAGAAGACAGATCAAATGTGTCTTTTTGTTGGGACTGAATCATAATATATCCATGAGTTAAACAAAACAGACAGTGACTGTTGAGTAGGTAATGCTTTCAGCCTAACAACTCCTCTTAGCCGTGACAATATATCATTTTAACCAAGGCTTCCTGGGTATTACTTCAATTCTGGCTATGCAAAGAAAAGTCATCACAGTGCTGAACTGAAATCGAGCAGAAAGAACTTCTTAGAAACAGATTTCAGTTAATTACAAGCATGTATGATGACAGTCAATGTCTGAGTATCAAATGGCACCCTATTCCCTATGTAGTCCACTACCTTTGAATAGAGCCCTATGCGCCCTGGTCAAAAGTAGTGCACTACATAGGGAATAGGTTGCCATTAGGGATGCACTCAATGTTACCTTTGGAGGTAGGTGTTTTTTTCTTCTCGACAACAAAGTCATCATCAGAGGAAAAGCTGTGGACAATGAAGTTTCTGAGGCTGAGGACAAAACAGGAGATAAACCTGAGTATTTAACACACGATAGGGACCATAGTCATGGTAAGAGAGGTTGGAACCACTGTACCTGTCTTCACTGCCATGCTCTGCTTCCTTGGGCTTAGGCTTGGGAGTTTTCATATGGCTCAGGACTTCAGGGGCACCAGAGGAGAGACAAGGGAACAGTAAACATGTCATCCCCACGAATGATGCAGCCGCAGTTATACCTCTTCCTCTGCTGTTACTCACAAATGTCCGTTAATTACTATAGCTCCCGCCTTGGGTCAATCAGTGTAATTTTGTACATTTTGTAAATGCCGGATCTCTATGACAAGACGCATCATTCACCAGAGTTTCGTCAAAATCAGGCCAGTGCTGTGCTGTCTGAGATATCACGTGTGGCTAAGGCTAACGTAAGAACGGACGGAGACCGATCCACAGTCACCTCCCCGATTTCATCATGGGGGACAACGACATGAGTAAGGAGACATTGAAGGGACCTGGGCCCGGTTTCCCGGTAGCGATGGAATTTAGGCTTACGAGTGTTTTAATGATGCATCTTTCCTACAACTGCCTAAGATGTAACATGCGTTTCCCAAAACACCACGCAGAGAGAACATTCACAAGTTGGTCGTTGAGGCAAGTGTCGATACTGATAGGATCGAAAGAAAGGAAGCGATGCTCTCGGATCAGCTTTCTCCATTGAAATTTTACCTTAACACTATAATTATTTCACAATACCGATGACGGTTCAGCTCCTAAAGAGATTCTCACCTATGGCTGCAAATATTGAGGCGGTTTATTCTAATGCTTACCCTATAATAATGCACTAAATCAAGATGTGGTACGTTACGCTACACATTATGAAATATATTGAGGCAAAAATGACAGACAGTAGCCAAATAGCAAAATAAAACTAAATTGAATGAACATGAAATTGATTTCAACATCAAACGACGCATTTTGCTGTTCTACGAGTGGTTGAGCGCAGTCAGTAAATAATGAGCATTTTCAAGTACAACTATAGTAACGATGGTTTTGGGAAAAAGCTCTGAGATTTAACAATGCTCCTACGAAGATTCTAACAATGAACTTAGCCTTAAGATCCATTTAGGAAACCGGGCCCTGGACAGTCAGAAACAATACTGTTCTTTGACTTAGAAATGACACACCAAATTAGACATGACAAACACCCATTCGAAATGACATACAACATTGTTTCAATAAATAATTCTGAAGCCTCATTGGGTTTCAGAATATGACGTAGTAATGATCAAAACATTACTTCCCCAATGCAGAAGTCAAGACACCAGTATGGTACTTACAGTTTTCAAAGCTGTCATCACTGTCTGAGCTTAATACAAGGACTGGTTCACTAGAGGGGAGAGAATCAGAGAATTAACATCAACATATTTTGTCCAATTGAATGACTAGACAGAGCAAATGGGATTAAGGGCACTATTCAAGCAGTATCGCTGAAGTTCAGCAGTATTGCTGAAGTTCAGCATTACAGCGTGATTTAAATTTAAAGGCAACGTTCCCAGGTTAGTGAGTACTGCATTCACGGTAAACGCTGCATATGTCGGCTCAATTGGACAATACATTTACATTGCGCAATCTGTAATGCTTCAGTGATACAGATTGAATAGAACCCTAAGACTACAAGGCTATGTAGGCTGGAAGTTGGGCTGTGACAGTCATGGAATTTTGGATGACTGTAATTGGCCAGCCAAATGACAGCGTTCACCATAATAACCGTAAACATTTTTGGGACATTTTCTACTCTCCTCCGCTCCTGACTGCATGTGCTGCCATAGAATTTGAATTAATAGAACGGGTGTCCCCATTCAAGTCAATGATGGCATAATGTGTGGACTGGCGGCCATTGCGAGTGTACCCATAGGAACAAAGCAGAAAGTAAAATATTTGTTGATTCAACTCAGCTGACATTACAACAAAAAAACATTCCATTGCCTGAGCAAAATCAGTTAACATCATTTGAATGAAAATTCTACATTACCATGGAAATTGCATCACAATACCAGGCAGCCATTGCGAGTGTCCCCATGAGTTTACCACTCAAATAGCCAGGGTTAGAGGTTCCAAGTCTGTTCTATTCATTATATTTCTATGTGTGCTGCTGCTGCATTGTGGTTGGCATTGCCTAGGCAATGTTTCAGCAAAGAGCAAAAAAAGTGAGACACCCCACTCCCTCATTTTTTCTGGTTACATTACATTCAATTAACTAAGCAGACCAGACCCAGCTGCTATTGCATTGGTGTCTATGGGATAACCACCCCGTTAAGCAGACCGGAACTGACCACTTTTTTCAATGGTAAACGGCCTGAATGAACCATCTTAATTTATCCACCATCTTTGAAACGGACTCAACCGCACGAATGCCGTCCCATCTTCAGTCTTCAGTCAGCTGTTTATGTTTTTAACTGTTATGACGGTTATTTTATTTTCATGACGGTCTTCATCCATAACCGTTCGTTACACAGTAATTGTTCCAGCACTAGCTAGGTGAATCACTACTTTACCTGACTTTCTTAGCAGCAACGCAATGTTTCCGAGAAGCAGCTTTGGGTGTAGCCTGCTCCACAAGAACTACAGACAAGAAGAGCATGGAGATTCATTGATTAAACTACAGTATTTCAATGCATAGCTATCATGTCTTGGCACCATGGGTTGGCCAATGCACATACAGCTCTGGACCAGGTGTAAAGGAATCTTCCAGGTGAACAAAATGAGAGCAGTCGTAGGTAAATCAATCCAGGTTTAATATAGATTGCAACAAGGAGACACCCTTCAGCACAGAAGCAGAGAAAATGTCTAACAGGCCTTTTGGAGACAGGCCCTTTATATCCTAATAGACTAGCAACCCAACCCACTGACTCTCACTTACACTGGTCGAAATCATCTTCGCTGGACTCCATCAACACCTTGGTCCTGTAACTGTTGCCCTTGGAGACCTGGTTCTCTTTCCCTGAGCCTGCGTCATCCTCTTCCTCACTGTCTGGCAGATGCAGCCGGACTGGGGGAGGAAGGTCTTGAGCACCCCTGGAGCCGTGATTGCCTGTGGCCGGACGCCAAGTCTTACTGATGCTCTTAATCAGCTGCAAAGAAGATATGGGATGTGTTTGAAATGGCACCCTTTTCCCTATATAGTGCACTACTTTTGACCGGGGACTATAGGACTCCGGTCAAAAATAGTGTACTATTCATCTTATTCCATATATAGTGCAGTACTTTTGACCAGGTCAAATGAAGTGCACTACATATGAAATATTGTGCAATTGATTAACATAATCACTGGTGGTTCTGATTAAAGTGACCAAGTAAGTTAACAACAACATACCTGTTCTTCTGCTGTTTCCAACCCTCCCTTCTCTGACCACCCCAGTTTCTCTGCAACTCTTTGAAATAATCTGTGATTGTCGTCATCCATGGTCCTTTTCTCTGTAAGGGGGACAATTTAACTATTATCTGCTAACAACATGCTCGGGTAGCGTACACACCACTGATAGCTAGCTATGCCACTGAATAGCCCTATTTGGGCAATGTATACAAACAAGACACATTTTGATCTCACTACGCATTTCTATTTGATGCAATATTTGATGTTCGCGAATCTGGACATAACGTTACCTTTGAAGATTATGCTAAGTACTTTGTGCCCACGTCTCGGACAGTGACTGATAGCGACAAGCGAAAATTCAAAACTGCACACCGGAAGTTGTCATTGGCAGAACGAAAACGAGTAGTAATGACGTAGCTAGATGCGGAACTAGGCCGACGTAGAACAGATTATTGCGTTGTTCACAATAATAATACGAATTTGTAGACTTTTATTCTGCTCACAATGTCTAAACTACAGTTGCTGAACGCGTATGTTACTGAACGACTAACGGCGGCTGCTACAGAGATCTCCGTTGCCATAGAGACAACAGTAGTAGAGTTGCATGAAGAAATCTCCCGTTCGACGGAGGAGAATGATCGTCTACGAAGACTGCTGGATTTGGTTTTCAACCGACAGATAAAGTTACACAGAGGTTTGTATTGACGACTTGCAACTGTATTAACATATATCAATCATATGGCAACTTGGCAAGATATAAGCTTAAGTTAAGCTATTGTAAATATACAAGTACAAAGGCAAAGCTGCAATTGTAATGTTGAATCCCACAGCAGTATTCTCTGTGTACCAAAACCAATAAACAAGTTAGCTAGCTTTTTAACATTTTGTAGTTGCAGGTTTTAGACATTTAAACTTTGGATTTAGTTTTAGACAAAATATTTCCTGAATTATCAGCAACTTTATACACTACCGGTCAAAAGTTTTAGAACACCTACTGATTCAAGGGTTTTTCTTCATTTTTACTATTTTCTACATTTTAGAATAATAGTGAAGACATCAAACCTATGAAATAACACACATGGAATCATGTAGTAACCAAAAAATAAATAAAAAAATAAAAATATATTTGAGATTTGAGATTCTTCAAAGTAGCCACCCTTTGCCTTGATGACAGCTTTGCACACTCTTGGCATTCTCTCAACCAGCTTCACCTGGAATGCTTTTCCAACAGTCTTGAAGGAGTTCTCATATATGCTGAGCACTTGTTGGGTGCTTTTCCTTCACTCTGCTGTCCGACTCATCCCAAACCATCTCAATATGGTTGAGGTCGGGGATTGTGGAGGCCAGGTCATCTAATGCAGCACTCCATCACTCTCCTTCTTGGTAAAATAGCCCTTACACAGCCTGGAGGTGTGTTGGGTCATTGTCCTGTTGAAAAACAAATGATAGTCCCACTAAGCCCAAACCAGATGGGATGGCGTATCGCTGCAGAATGCTGTGGGAGCCATGCTGGTTAAGTGTTCCTTGAATTCTAAATAAATCACAGACAGTGTCACCAGCAAAGCACCATAACACCTCCTCCTCCATGCTTTATGGTGGGAAATACACATGCAGAGATCATCCGTTCACCCACACCGCGTCTCACAAAGACACAGCGGTTGGAACCAAAAATCTCAAATTTGGACTCCAGACCAAAGGACAAATTTCCACCGGTCTAATGCTCGTGTTTCTTGGTCCAAGCAAGTCTCTTCTTCTTATTGGTGTCCTTTAGTAGTAGTTTCTTTGCAGCAATTCGACCATGAAGGCCTGATTCACACAGTCTCCTCTGAACAGTTGATGTTGAGATGTGTCTGTTACTTGAACTCTGTGAAGCATTTATTTGGGCTGCAATTTCTGAGGCTGGTAACTCTAATGAACTTATCCTCTGCAGCAGAGGTAACTCTGGGTCTTCCATTCCTGTGGCGGTCCTCATGAGAGCCAGTTTCATCATAGCGCTTGATGGTTTTTGCGACTGCACTTGAAGAAACTTTAAAAGTTCTTGAAATGTTCCTTATTGACTGACCTTCATGTCTTAAAGTAGTGATGGACTGTCGTTTCTGCTTATTTGAGCTGTTCTTTCCATAATTTGGTATTTACCAAATAGGGTAAATATCAAATACCCACAGCGGTTGGAACCAAAAATCTCAAATTTGGACTCCAGACCAAAGGACAAATTTCCACCGGTCTAATGCTCGTGTTTCTTGGCCCAAGCAAGTCTCTTCTTATTATTGGTGTCCTTTAGTAGTAGTTTCTTTGCAGCAATTCGACCATGAAGGCCTGATTCACACAGTCTCCTCTGAACAGTTGATGTTGAGATGTGTCTGTTACTTGAACTCTGTGAAGCATTTATTTGGGCTGCAATTTCTGAGGCTGGTAACTCTAATGAACTTATCCTCTGCAGCAGAGGTAACTCTGGGTCTTCCATTCCTGTGGCGGTCCTCATGAGAGCCAGTTTCATCATAGCGCTTGATGGTTTTTGCGACTGCACTTGAAGAAACTTTAAAAGTTCTTGAAATGTTCCTTATTGACTGACCTTCATGTCTTAAAGTAGTGATGGACTGTCGTTTCTGCTTATTTGAGCTGTTCTTTCCATAATTTGGTATTTACCAAATAGGGTAAATATCAAATACCCCCCCCCCCCCCCCCCCCCCCCCCCCGTAACAACACAACTGATTGGCTCAAACGCATTAAGAAGGAAAGAAATTCCACAAATACGTTTTAAGAAGGAACACCTGTTAATTGAAATACATTCCAGGTGACTACCCCATGAAGCTGGTTGAGAGAATGCCAAGAGTGTGCAAAGACAAAGGGTGGCTATTTGAAGAAAATCAAATATAAAATATATTTTGATTTGTTTAACACTTTTTTGGTTACTACATGATACCATATGTGTTATTTCTTAGTTTTGATGTCTTCATTATTATTCTACAATGTAGAAAATAGTAAAAATAAAGAAAAACCCTTGAATGAGTAGGTGTTCTAAAACTTTTGACTGGTAGTGTATTTCTTATTTTTCCTTTATCAGATCCCCACCAGCTCACGCTCCCCAAATCTGAAGAGGAGGTTCCCCCTGTGCAGCAGCACTGTGAGCAGGAGTGGAGCCCCAGTCTGGTTCAGGAGGACCCAGAGCCCACACAGATTAAAGAGGAACAGGAGGAACTCAGGACCAATCAGGAGGAAGGGCAGCTTCAAGGACTGGGGGAGGCTGATCTCATAAAGTTCATATTTCCTCCTGCCTGTGTGAAAAATGTTTGTGATCAGGAGAACCCATCTCAGCCCTCACATCTTCACCAAACCCAAACTGTGGAGGACAGAGAGAGGGACTCTCTACTCACCTACACAACTGAAGAGATCAAAACAGAACCAGATGGAGAGGACTACAGAGTATCAGAACCAACCAGTGACTCTCCGCCCCTCTCTGCAGTAAATCCAGACTGTTCTGCAGCTCAGAGTGAAAACATGGAAAGTGATGATGAGGTGGAGAGAGGAGGACTACTGTCAGGGTCTAAGACACTCAAATCAAAGACAAAACAGACAAAGAATGGAGAAAGGTTCCATACCAGTGCTGGAGGCAGGACGGCCATAATGTTTCCCTGTTTGACATCATCTAGTCAAACGGATGCTGCTCCTTATTGTTGCAAGGTGTGTAGGAAGACTTTTGTTTCAAACGGTTTTTTAATTTATCATGTGCGAAAGACACACACAGAGCATAAAGAATGCCAGTGTGGTGTGTGTGGAAAATGCTTAAATTCTACAGAAAGTATGATGGGTCACCTACAAACTCATACTGAAGAAAACATTTCTTGTCATGTTTGTGGCAAATGTTTCTCTAAAAGTGGTGATCTCAAAACACATATTAGAAGTCATACAGGAGAGAAACCATATCAATGCACTCAATGTAGTAAATGCTACACACAGAAAGTACACCTTAAAAATCATATTAGAACTCATACAGGGGAGAAACCATTTAGGTGTAAAGAATGTGGGAAATACTTCACACAGAAGAATACCCTGTCCAATCACATGATGATCCACAGAGGGGAGAAACCGTATCAGTGTAAAACTTGTGGGAAATGCTTCACTGAAAGTGGAACCCTGAGCAGGCATATAAGAGTTCACACAGGGGAGAAACCACATCAGTGCCAAGAATGTGGGAAATGCTTCACTGAGCGTGGAAACCTGACTAAACATATAAAGATCCACAGAAGAGAGAAATCCTATTATTGCAGCTACTGTAGCATATGCTTTACTGATGAAGCAAATTGTAAAAGACACATGAACACTGTTCACAAGAGTGAGAACATATGACAGTGGAGTGGCATAAAACCTTCAGATATAAAATATAATGTATAGAACTGACATGATCCCGTGCTCTGCGCTACATGACAGATAAACATGTATTTTCCATACATTTCTTCTTCAGCATGTGGGAGTTTTCTACATCATATTTTCATCACATCTTCTACAACTCGTGGTCCTCTGTAGCTCAATTGGTAGAGCATGGCGCTTGTAACGCCAGGGTAGTGGGTTCGATCCCCGGGACCACCCATACGTAAAAATGTATGCACACATGACTGTAAGTCGCTTTGGATAAAAGCGTCTGCTAAAGGGCATATTATTATTATTATAACCCTACTCTGGATATGTGTGTATTTCTGTTAAAATGTTCTGTTTCTTTTCTTGCAAACTTAATTGTATTTCCATGTGAATTACCGGTATAAATAAAGGTTAAATGAAAAAAGCAATCAGAGTTCTTGCTCATCTATTGCAGATTGACATGAATGACATTTCAGCCAGACAACAGTCTCAACCAAGTTCTGCTTACACTTGTTTCATCTTGGGAAGATGTTGGTTATTACCTTTTCAAAAACATGAAAGGTTGGGTACCACGTATATATAGCATTAGACACATAATCATATTTTGGAGTTTAGATTTTTACAATGCTGCTCAGTAGAGACTACTTTTGTGTGGCCACACGATGGCGCCCACGGCCAAAGCCATTCGGTGAAGCGGAAGCTGTCATTTGCAGAAAGGAAACGTGAGAGATTTGATATCTCTTCCGGATAATATTTTTTTAACGTGTTTTGCAGGATATAATCAAAGAGTTTCTAAACCCAGACGCGCAACATCGCAAGCAGACCAGGCCGAGGTTTGAAAAGGCAATGAGAGAAGTGAAAAATTATTCCTTAGTTAATTTTCTCGAAATCCAAAGGCAAACCTAGATTCGAGACAAGTAGTGGAACATGTTATTACTCCAACCTCGTGAAAGTGACAAACTGACGCGTTTTCATTTTGCTCCCATTGGAAACGACAGACTGTAGTCTATCTTGGGTTAGTTATACAAATATTTGGTTGGACCCAATGATGTGTTTCTGCGCATGAGCTTGGCTAGCCAACGTCGCCATGACATCGCCTACAAGTCTTCATACTGTACTGTCTTTGATATAATATATAAGAAGAAGAAGAAGAAGAACAAGAACAATAACAATAAGCAGCTGCTTCCTTGCTACATTTTGACTATGTGAAATGTAACGTTGCAGGCTGAGCAGAATAATACGGACTTGTCTACTTTATTTCCGGGCAAAATGTCTAAACTACAGTTGCTGAACGTGTATGTTACTGAACGACTAACAGCGGCAGTTGCAGAGATATCCGTGGAGGTCGAGAGAACAGTAGTAGAGTTGTATGAAGAAATCTCCCGTTCTAAGGAGGAGAATGACCGTCTGCGAAGGCTGTTGGATTTGGTTTTCAACCCAGAGATAAAGTTACACAAAGCAGGTTTGTATTGACTAGCTACTGTATTAGCCAGAACAGATTCCGACCCTACACTTGCTTAAAGCTGCGCTGGGTCGGACTACCCCAAGACGCTAACTGCTGCTGTAGCCCAATTGATGATAATATCTTCTGGTCAGGGGACTTTTGTTAATAAGAGCCCTGACTCTCGTTCTTAACATTAAAACGCATCGCTTGCGGTACGGTTTTGGAAACATAAGGAACGTATCTTTAATATCAACAATAAATAATTTCCAAAATTACTATACACCATAGGGTTGGGGTTAGTGTTCCCACGGCCATATCTCCATGTTACAGCGCTTGTTTACAGAAGACAGATGGAAGACATAGTCGGCCACCTGTGCTATCTAGCGTGGTCCAAACACCTGTGTGTATGCATAACTGAGAAGGAAATGTAGTTTGTCAACTCTAGGCGCACACAGCGTATGGATCTGTGCAAAACTTTTTACAAATATGATTTCTTGCAGATCATGAAAGATAAGGGGCATAAGCATATGTTTCGAAAACCGTTTTGTAAGCAATGTTTTGAAATTTCTAAACGTTAAAACACAGTGTCGGAATTGTAGTTCACACACAGCCAACTGTGTGCAAAGCTAACCGCTGAAAACCCTGTGGATAATAAGAAGGTAATAAGAAGGGTTTTCAAGAACTAGGGTAGGACAGGCTTCTTGTTTAGATTAAGACCCCACAGAGCCGGCGTGAGATGTGGCTCGGGAAATGTATCGCAGTTCAGGGATGAGAAAAGCATTGTACTCCGAGTTGTCCCATTATCCCAGCTGTTACACCAAGAAGATTGAAATACTGCTAGTTGTTAAGTAGACTGCCCTTTTCATCCTCATGCTAGCTAACAGCAGCCATAGGCCTGTCTCTCGCTTCCGGGGCGGGACATCCGTTTTGGGGAAAATCTGGGAAATTCTATATCTGGTCTATGGCGTGGTGTTCTTTCAATAGAAATAGCGTAAACCTGTTGTAGAGTACCTCTGTTCGAAATCAAGGGGGGAAAACTGCATTATTTAAAGCCTCGCACTTTGAAGTCAACCCGAGGTGGGCTAACTCGAATTGCGTTTCGACTGCCTCTAGAATGTAGAAATTATGTAATGTTGCTAGCTAGCCAATTTTGGTTACAACTAGCAAGATATCTAGCTAGCTAGCAAGATGTTGAAGAACACATTAAATTCACCATCACCACGCTGTAACTAACGTTACCCCTTGCTAGCTAGCTAGCTAGCTAGCTAGCTAAACGGTTAGCGTCGTCGCTAGCATAACAGGCTAGCTAGCTAGTTTAATTCCTAACCTTGCTTGCCGCGGCCAGGTAGCCAAATGTTTAGCTTGCTAGCTAGCTAGCTAAACGGTTAGCGTCATCACTAACATAACAGGCAAGCTAGCTAGTTTAATTCCTAACCTTGCTTGCCATGGCATTGGCTACTAGCTGGCAGGCTAACCAAATACACCAGACACCTAAAATCCCTGCTAACTCACGTTAGATAGCTAGCTTGTTTCAACTCTGACTTGCAAGCTAACGTTAGCTAGCTAGCATTTAAGGGCTGACCGTTCTCAAACGTTTATTGTGTAGTGCAAAAATAAATGAAGGATCCAACTAAGTTGGTAATTCGTTAGTGATGGGGGAAAAAATAGATATAGTTACATATCACAATATTTGTTTTATTATATCGCATCGTTTTGACAATATAGCAATATTATTTTTGCGCTAGTTGGCCGTACCTTCACCAAAACTCCAGTATTTTTCCTTCATAGCTTTTCTCCGTCTTCTTTTTAAAAAGGGAGCCAATTAGTTTTCAGCACATTTATTTCCATGACTGATCATAACTTGTTTTTCTCATGTCTATCTCTTGTCCCTCAGGAAGCCTGTCCTACCCCAGTGCAGCTGTAAGCAAGTGGAGGGTCGGAATCTATTCTGGCTACCGCTGTATTAGCTAAACTTACATGAATCAAACGGATAGCAAGTCAATACAAGAAATTAGATTCAATTGTAATGTTGAATCAATAAAGCTGTTCTAATCAATATAATGGAAATGATCAAATAGCTAAGTAGCATTTTTAAAATGTCTTAATGTCATGTTTTAGACAGGACCCATAGAAGATAACTATTGATTAAGTTTTAGATTTAAAATGTCAAAATATTATTGAATTCTAAGTAACTTCTCCATCAGATGCCCAGCAGCTCACTCTCACCATATCTGAAGAGGAGGTTTTCCCGGAACAGCAGCACTGTGAGGAGGAGTGGAGCCCCAGTCTGATTCAGGAGGACCCAGAGCCCACACTGATTAAAGAGGAACAGGAGGAACTCAGGAACCAGTCAGGAGGAAGGGCAGCTTGAAGGGCTCTTTGATACCAAAGACTCCATATTCACTTCTCCCTTTATGGAAAGTGACTGTGATCAGGAGGACCCACCTCAGCCCTCACATTTTCACCAAACCCAAACTGTGGAGGACAGAGAGAGGGACTCTCTACTCACCTACACAACTGAAGAGATCAAAACAGAACCAGATGGAGAGGACTACAGAGTATCAGAACCAACCAGTGACTCTCCGCCCCTCTCTGCAGTAAATCCAGACTGTTCTGCAGCTCAGAGTGAAAACATGGAAAGTGATGATGAGGTGGAGAGAGGAGGACTACTGTCAGGGTCTAAGACACTCAAATCAATGACAAAACAGACAAAGAATGGAGAAAGGTTCCATTCCAGTGCTGGAGGCAGGACGGAGACCATGTTGCCCTGTTTGACATCATCTAGTCAAACGGATGCTGCTCCTTATTGTTGGAAGGTGTGTAGGAAGACTTTCGTGTCTGTTTTTTATTTAATTTATCATGTGCGAAAAATACACACAGAGCATAAAGAATGCCAGTGTGGTGTGTGTGTGGAAAAGGCTTAAATTCTACAGAAAGTATGATAGGTCACTTGCAAACTCATACTGAAGAAAACATTTCTTGTCATGTTTGTGGCAAATGTTTCTCTAAGAATAGTGATCTCAAAATACATAGGAGTCACACAGGAGACAAATCATATTGGCGTAAGCAATGTAGGAATTACTACACACAGAAAGTACACAAACCTGTTAACGCCTGGTGTGACATGGCACAGTGTCTTTAAACACCTGGGGCCTCATTTATCAAAGTTTGTGAGCACAAGAAATACTCAACCTAGCATGCACCAGTTTTCCCGCAAAGGTTGGCATTTATCAATTTTGAACTTAATGGGAATTTTGGCCATTTTGAACTTAGTGTGCTAATCTCCACCCAAATCTCAGACCATGCATATACACAACTTCTAGTGGTTGATCAACTGTATTGCAAGAAAATGTTGTTATTTTTGGGGAAATGGAGGTGTTTGATGAGAATTATAATAATTGAAGGCTGATAAAAAGAAAATGTATTCCTAGTGATAAAACTGATGCATTTGCCATTGGTATATCATATATTGATTTAACTTTTACTATTTAAAGGCCTAAATCATAATCATATTGGAGGACATGTCTATCTAGGACTAAATCATAATCATATTGGAGGACATGTCTCTTAAATAGGACTAAATCATAATAATATTAGAGGACATGTCTCTATCTAGGACTAAATCATAATCATATTGGAGGACATCTCTATTATCTAGGACTAAATCATAATCATATTGGAGGACATGTCTCTTAAATAGGACTAAATCATAATCATATTGGAGGACATGTCTCTATTATATAGGACTAAATCATTATCATATTGGAGGACATGTCTCTATTATATAGGACTAAATCATAATCATATTGGAGGACATGTCTCTCCTTTTCTGACATGACTGGTTTATTCCCGCTACACAACTAATATTAGGTTTTATCCATCACTCATCAAATAAAAATAAAATGTAATTTGTCACATGCAGTGAAATTCCCAACGATGCAGACTTGACTTTGAAAAGGAATAGAATGGAGTGATGTACAGGGAGTACCAGGTCAATGTGCAGGGGTATTTAGGTAGATATGTACAGGGTAAAGTGACTAGGCATCAGGATAGATAATAATAAGGTATTTAGGTAGATATGTACAGGGTAAAGTGACTAGGCATCAGGATAGATATTAATAAGGTATTTAGGTAGATATGTACAGGGTAAAGTGACTAGGCATCAGGATAGATAATAATAAGGTATTTAGGTAGATATGTACAGGGTAAAGTGACTAGGCATCAGGATAGATAATAATAAGGTATTTAGGTAGATATGTACAGGGTAAAGTGACTAGGCATCAGGATAGATAATAATACAGTATTTAGGTAGATATGTACAGGGTAAAGTGACTAGGCATCAGGATAGATAATAATAAGGTATTTAGGTAGATATGTACAGGGTAAAGTGACTAGGCATCAGGATAGATAATAATAAGGAATTTAGTTAGATATGTACAGGGTAAAGTGACTAGGCATCAGGGTAGATAATAATAAGGTATTTAGGTAGATATGTACAGGGTAAAGTGACTAGGCATCAGGATAGATAATAATAAGGTATTTAGGTAGATATGTACAGGGTAAAGTGACTAGGCATCAGGATAGATAATAATAAGGTATTTAGGTAGATACGTACAGGGTAAAGTGACTAGGCATCAGGATAGATAATAATAAGGTATTTAGGTAGATATGTACATGGTAAAGTGACTAGGCATCAGGATAGATAATAAGGTATTTAGGTAGATACGTACAGGGTAAAGTGACTAGGTATCAGGATAGATAATAATAAGGTATTTAGGTAGATATGTACAGGGTAAAGTGACTAGGCATCAGGATAGATCATAATAAGGTATTTAGGTAGATATGTACAGGGTAAAGTGACTAGGCATCAGAATAGATAATAATAAGGTATTTAGGTAGATATGTACAGGGTAAAGTGACTAGGCATCAGGATAGATCATAATAAGGTATTTAGGTAGATATGTACAGGGTAAAGTGACTAGGCATCAGGATAGATAATAATAAGGTATTTAGGTAGATATGTACAGGGTAAACGTGACTAGGCATCAGGATAGATAATAATAAGGTATTTAGGTAGATATGTACAGGGTAAAGTGACTAGGCATCAGGATAGATAATAATAAGGTATTTAGGTAGATATGTACAGGGTAAAGTGACTAGGCATCAGGATAGATAATAATAAGGAATTTAGTTAGATATGTACAGGGTAAAGTGACTAGGCATCAGGATAGATAATAATAAGGTATTTATGTAGATATGTACAGGGTAAAGTGACTAGGCATCAGGATAGATAATAATAAGGAATTTAGTTAGATATGTACAGGGTAAAGTGACTAGGCATCAGGATAGATAATAATAAGGTATTTAGGTAGATATGTACAGGGTAAAGTGACTAGGCATCAGGATAGATAATAATAAGGAATTTAGTTAGATATGTACAGGGTAAAGTGACTAGGCATCAGGATAGATAATAATAAGGTATTTATGTAGATATGTACAGGGTAAAGTGACTAGGCATCAGGATAGATAATAATAAGGAATTTAGTTAGATATGTACAGGGTAAAGTGACTAGGCATCAGGATAGATAATAATAAGGTATTTATGTAGATATGTACAGGGTAAAGTGACTAGGCATCAGGATAGATAATAATAAGGAATTTAGTTAGATATGTACAGGGTAAAGTGACTAGGCATCAGGATAGATAATAATAAGGTATTTATGTAGATATGTACAGGGTAAAGTGACTAGGCATCAGGGTAGATAATAATAAGGAATTTAGTTAGATATGTACAGGGTAAAGTGACTAGGCATCAGGATAGATATTAATAAGGTATTTAGGTAGATATGTACAGGGTAAAGTGACTAGGCATCAGGATAGATAATAATAAGGAATTTAGTTAGATATGTACAGGGTAAAGTGACTAGGCATCAGGATAGATATTAATAAGGTATTTAGGTAGATATGTACAGGGTAAAGTGACTAGGCATCAGGATAGATAATAATAAGGTATTTAGTTAGATATGTACAGGGTAAAGTGACTAGGCATCAGGATAGATAATAATAAGGAATTTAGTTAGATATGTACAGGGTAAAGTGACTAGGCATCAGGATAGATAATAATAAGGAATTTAGTTAGATATGTACAGGGTAAAGTGACTAGGCATCAGGATAGATAATAATAAAGAGGAGCAGAATATGGTAAGTGTAAAAGTGTGCGTGTGTGTTTTGTCGGTGTGCGTATGTAGTGCATGTGAATGTGTGTGTTTTGTGTGAGCGTGTCAATGTAGTGTGTGTGTGTGTGTGTGTGTGTATATAGTCTTGTGAGTTTGTGATGGGAAGGGGCTCTTTTTACTTACTCTGATCTTTGACTCATTCAGTCAAAATAATGAATCTTTCAACTAATTTCGTTAATTTGAGTCAGTAATGCCCAGAGCACACAGGACCCCCTACCAGCGAACGATGAACTGAAAACTCTTGTTAACGTTGTTCACCATAAGGGGCTTATTGGCGCTGTCATTTGTGACTGAGACTTGTAAAAGTGTGCTTTAAGCAATGTACTTTTGTTGATTGCTAGGCATACAAATACGATTATTTCTTGATACATTTGAAACGGAACCTGGTCTCGGAGCATTTTGTAATATTCTGTACTTAAATCCGAGACACTCCATTTAGTATGATACGTTACTTATGGTATGTATTCATTTGTGGATGTCCATCATCCATTTCGTATACTATGTTACAAATTACAATTTGTATGATATTTTACGAATTTGCCTAAGTAGTACAATATGTTACGAATTTGCAAAACATATGTAATGCTAATGTTAGCTAGCTGGCTAACATTATCTAGGCTAGGGGTTAAGACTTAGGTTAAAGGGTTAAGGTTAGGGGAAGGGTTAGCTAACATGCTAAGTAGTTGCAAAGTAGCTAAAAAGTAGTAAGTAGTTTAAAAGTAGCTAATTAGCTAAAATGCTAAAGTTATCAGTGATGAGATTCGAACACGCAACATTTGGGTTGCTAGACGTTTGTGTTGTACCGTACCAAACGTAACACATCATACTAATTTGAGTGTCCTGGATTTACATTTTTAATATGTTACGTTTAGTCAATGAGACCAGGCTGTGAAATGAGGTCTAGTTGTGGCCACAACCGGACTAGATTGTGTAAGACTCTTGGCAGAATGCATTGCTTGACTGCCGGGTGATAAGCATAATATCGTTTGTGAACTGCAGCACCCCAAACGGTTAGTTCTCGAGTTCGAGTTTGTTAGGCAAAGGCTGTGTGTATGTTTTGGTTCTACAAAGATGTGGCCATCACATTCAATAATCAAGTAATCGCATTAATTCTTGAACCATGCGATCAATCCGTTCTAAACATGTATTTGTCTTCTCTATGCTGCCTGCAACATCATCTATTTTTCTGCGCGCACATATGACAGACCGCTGTTGGTTGGAACACGTCTCTGGAGCCGCTGACTTGGAGGAGCATGTATTCATTCTGCCGTAGAATTCATTGTGTCCAGCCAGCAGGTCAAACGAACGACAAAAATGAACGAGTCACTCAGAAATACGAATCATGACTCTCCAGCCAGTAAAAAGAGACGGTTCAAAAATAACTAATCGTTTGCGAACTGCACATCACTATTGTGAGTGTGCATAGTCAGTGCAATATCAGTGGAGGCTGGTGGGAGGAGCTATAGAAGGACGTGCTCAATGTAATGACTGGAATTAATGTAAAACATGTGGTTTCCATATGTTTGATACTGTTTCCATTTACTCCATTCCAGCCGTTACAATGAACCCGTCCTCCTATAGCTCCTCCCACCAGCCTCCATTGTGCAAGATGGGGTCAGTGCAATGCAGATAGTCAGGGTAACCATTAATTAATTATTTAGCATTCTTATGGCTATTTAACAGTCTCATGGTTTGGGGGTAAAAGCTGTCTCGGAGCCTATGATATTGTACTGTTTGCCGGACGGTAGCAGAGTGAACAGTCTATGCCTTGGGGTTGCTGGAGTCTTTGGCCATTTTTCGGGCCTTCCTCTGACACCGCCTGGCATAGAGGTCCTGGATGGCAGGGAGCTCGGCCCCAGTGATATACTAGTCTAACCGCATCACCCTCTGTAGTGCTTTGCAGTCGAGGGTGGTGCATTTGCCATATCAAGCAGTGATTCAGCCAGTCAAGATGCTTTTTGAAGATCCGAGGGTCCATGCCAAATTGTTTCAACCTCCTGAAGGGAAACAGACGCTGTCGTGCCCTCTTCACAAGTGCGGTTGTGTGTGGGCCGGAGGATGTGAACGGAGTTGAGCGGTTGGAAATTCCACTCATTGCTCACAGAGCAGTCTTTGCTCACCGCTCCGGCGCTCAGCTTCCTTTCCCCTGCTCCGGTAAAAACCGCTCAGCGCTCACAGGAGAGAGAAAAAATGGTATGGCGGTTTCGGCGCCAAGATCTTTGTAAGGCAGGGTTTACATACAAGCACACACCACCAGTCCAAGTGAAGGGTTCAACCGGTTTATTACTATCAGGTTTCAGCAGCATTCCTGATATACCAAACTCAGAACAGACAGAGTAAACACTTCGTCACCAGTGGACGGTCCTCCAATCTTGGTTCTTCGGGGGTTCATAAGTTCCTTTCTTCCGTTAATCCTCCTTCTCCACCATACGTTCTGTCTCCTCACTAACCTCCTACTCCTTCACCTGCCGGGGTCAAAGAAAAGACAAACCAGGGCGCGGTTAAGTAGAGGCCCTGATTGGTTTCACCTGTCTGCAGTTTGGCCCTGATTGGTTTCACCTGTCTGCAGTTTGGCTCTGATTACAACTGGAGACAGGTGTGGCTGTTCTGCTGCAGTCTAGAAGTTTTCCCCTGAGCTGTCCGTGGTCCTGCCTCTGGGGAATACTTCACAGTGCTGTCCGTGGTCCTGCCTCTGGGGAATACTTCACAGTGCTGTCCGTGGTCCTGCCTCTGGTGAATACTACACAGTGCTGTCCGTGGTCCTGCCTCTGGGGAATACTTCACAGTGCTGTCCGTGGTCCTGCCTCTGGGGAATACTTCACAGTGCTGTCCGTGGTCCTGCCTCTGGGGAATACTTCACAGTGCTGTCCGTGGTCCTGCCTCTGGTGAATACTTCACAGTGCTGTCCGTGGTTCCCGGCAGCCAAAAAACAAAGAAACCTTGCAGGCACATAACGTCCATCCACCACAAACCCTGAAACCACCACAACCCCTGAAACCACCACAACCCCTGAAACCGCTACAACAGCCTTCACAAATTCACTCCATCTTTTGTTTAAAAATATAATTTAACAAACACCCAATCTACTTTTGTGACTATATACACCATTAGTTTTTTAAATTTCAACAACATGTAGGCTATTGAACCAGGATCTACATGATGATATGAGACCGCTGTGTTAACAAAACAACTGGCATTTTCTCTTATCTATTGAAGCTCAGATACTTCAGTTGTACTCCACTCCACGCTCCAGCCAAATTACACACGCTCCTCGCTCCACTCCAGCTCCTCTCCACTTACATCCTCTGGTGTGGACCATGTTAAGTCCTTAGTGATGTGGACGCCAAGACCCGCCCCACCACAGCCCTGTGGATGTGGATGGGGGCGTGCTCTCCCCTCTTTCTCCTGTAGTCCACAATCAGCTTCTTGGTGTTCCTGACGTTGAAGGAGAGGTTGTTGTCATGGTACCACACTGCCAAGTCTCTGACCTGCTCCCTGTAGGCTGCCTCGTCGGTGATCAGGCCTACCACCTTCGTGCTGTCAGCAAACTTGATGATGGTGTTGGAGTTGTGCGTGACCACACAGTCGTGAGTGAACAGGGAGTACAGGAGGGGACTAAGCACACACCCTTGAGGGGCCCCTGTGTTGAGGGTCAGCGTGGCGGAGGTGTTGTTGCCTACCCTGTCCAATCTTATCCAGGTGGAAGAGGGCAGTGTGAAGTGCAATTGAGATTGTGTCATCTGTGGATCTGTTGGGGTGGTATGCAAATTGGAGTGGGTCATTCAATAGCCAACAATGCTCGAAAGTAAATCGACCCGTAGCCTATTTAAAATATTTGACCGTATGGATATGCAACAGCATTGTTCTGCAATAGGAGCCTATTTAATCTCAGAGCCTATGCCAAGGCAGGAGATAGAAACACAATCATGTATTGATGAATAAAATATTGAACAACAATTTGTATTTTTCATAAGTGTGAGCTGTAGTATTTCCTCTTAAATTGTTCAAATATACAATCAGTCTTGCAGAATGCGCGGCCAGTGATTGGCACTAACTATAGGCAGCATGCATTTTTTGATTTAAAAAAACTACAGAAATGTGATCAAAATTGCCATTGCGTTTTCTTTTAGAAACTGTCACGGCCCAGTTCCAACATCTCCATATCATACAGAAAATTAGTATGGCTCTGATTTATCAATGAAAACGTGTATATGTTGCATGCGACAGTTTGATAAATCCCAATCATTTGTTGCGCACGCAACGCATTTTCAGACTGGTTGAACAATGACCATCTCAAAAGTAGTGTGTGTGTGTGTGTGTGTACTCTGGCTGGCTGTATTTCATATGTGTTCATCTTTTTTCAGCATGCTGCCCAAGAAACTTGCTTTTGCATTCATCACTGGTGACGACATTGATTGACTGCTAATAATAATAGTAACTAATTATGATAATAATGATATTGTATGATTGTTTTGTTAGGTCACCACAGGCCTGAACCAAGCTAATACAAGAGGACGTCCAGCTGCTGACACCATAGACCCTCCAAAGCCACCCAAAGTGCTCCGTACTGGAGTTAGTGATGAAGTCCGCACGGATCAAATTGAACACTGGCCAGTGAAGTGTGAGACCCGGGGTCGCTGCAAAGTCTGCCAGAAAAATGTAACAAATACCCTCTGCCAGAAATGTGACGTGAGACTGTGTTTCACCTTTGAGAGGAATTGCTACAAGTTGTACCACATGCCTTAGTGCGGGAAATAATGGCACACTGACAGGATAAACAACTTGTTCAATGTAACTTGGGTTTCAGAAGTAATGAGTTAGGCTTCATAATGAATGTTTACATTTCAATGGTTTTATTACATTGTATTGCTATTGTTGTATTTAAGCGCAATGTTACACATTGATACACACACTCTCTCTGTCTTCTGTCTTTATCAGAGTAAAATATGTTATATGAATTATTATTGAGATTTTGTGTATTTATGAAGATTTTGACATTTCTTTTGCATTTCAGGATTTAACTCAGGGTTATACTTTGTTCACATTTAAATAAAGCTGTAAGATTTGATAAACTGAGTGTTTTCTGTGTTTTGTATTTAAGAGACATATTGTTGAAATATGTTACAGTATATGTAATATGTTATTTGGGTCTTCTTGGGCAGTCCTAATCACAGTTTAATTGTCATGCAAGGAAAACTGTGTCTGGGTATCTAAGGGTTAAATGTCATTTGAGAACTCATACAGGGGAGAAATAGTTTAGGTGTCAAGAAAAAAATTTATTCGGTTTTATGAATGTTGAATTAATGTTTTTTTTCAAGAAAAAATTATACTGAAGAAAAATATAAACGCAAAATGTAAAGTTTTGGTCCCATGTTTCATGAGCTGAAATAAAAGATCCCAGAAATGTTCCATACGCACAAAAATCTTATTTCTCTAAAATGTTTACAAATGTTTAAAATTTGTTTACATCCCTGTTAGTGAGCATTTCTCATTTGCCAAGATTCTCCATCCACCTGACAGGTGTGGCATATCAAGAAGCTGATTAAACAGCATGATCATCACACAGGTGCAACTTGTGCTGGGGACAATAAAAGGCCACTAATCTTCATTATTAAGGTGATAATTGCACTTTTCTTCCTAACACAATACTGCAATTTTTTAATTTTTTAATTTTTATTTCACCTTTCTTTAACCAGGTAAGCCAGTTGAGAACAAGTTCTCATTTACAACTGCGACCTGGCCAAGATAAAGCAAAGCAGTGCGGTAAAAAACAACAACAACACAGAGTTACATATGGGATAAACAAAAACGTACAGTCAATAACACAATAGAAAAACTATATACAGTGTGTGCAAATGTAGTAAGTTATGGAGGTAAGGCAATAAATAGGCCAGAGTTCAAAATAATTACAATTATAATTTAGTATTAACACTGGAGTGATAGATGTGCAGAAGATGATGTGCAAATAGAGATATTGGGGTGCAAATGAGCAAAGTAAATAACAATGTAAATAACAATATGGGGATGAGGTAGTTGGGTGGGCTAATTACAGATGGGCTGTGTACAGGTGCAGTGATCGGTAAGCTGCTCTGACAACTGATGCTTAAAGATAGTGAGGGAGATAAGTGTCTCCAGCTTCAGAGATTTGTGCAGTTCGTTCCAGTCATTTGCAGCAGAGAACTGGAAGGAATGGCGACCAAAGGAGGTGTTGGCTTTGGGGATGACCAGTGAGATATACCTGCTGGAACGCATACTACGGGTGGGTGTTGCTTTGGTGACCAATGAGCTAAGATAAGGCGGGGATTTGCCTAGAAGGGATTTATAGATGACCTGGAGCCAGTGGGTTTGGCGACGAATATGTAGTGAGGGCCAGCCAACGAGAGCGTACAGGTCACAATGGTGAGTAGTAGATGGGGCTTTGGTGACAAAACGGATGGCACTGTGATAGACTACATCCAATTTTTACTGAGTAGAGTGTTGGAAGCTATTTTGTAAATGACATCGCCGAAGTCAAGGATCGGTAGGATAGTCAGTTTTACGAGGGCATGTTTAGCAGCATGAGTGAAGGAGGCTTTGTTGCGAAATAGGAAGCCAATTCTAGATTTAACTTTGGATTGGAGATGCTTAATGTGAGTCTGGAAGGAGAGTTTACAGTCTAACCAGACACCTAGGTATTTGTAGTTGTCCACATATTCTAAGTCAGAGCCGCCGAGAGTAGTGATTCTAGTCGGGCAGGCAGGTGCAAGCAGCGTTCGATTGAAGAGCATGCACTTGGTTTTACTAGCGTTTAAGAGCAGTTGGAGGCCACGGAAGGAGTGTTGTATGGCATTGAAGTTCGTTTGGAGGTTTGTTAACACAGTGTCCAATGAAGGGCCAGATGTATACAAAATGGTGTCGTCTGCGTAAAGGTGGATCTGAGAGTCACCAGCAGCAAGAGCGACATCATTGATATACACAGGGAATAGAGTCGGCCCGAGAATTGAACCCTGTGGCACCCCCATAGAGACTGCCAGAGGTCCAGACAACAGGCCCTCCGATTTGACACATTGAACTCTATCTGAGAAGTAGTTGGTGAACCAGGCGAGGCAGTCATTTGAGAAACCAAGGCTATTTAGTCTGCCAATAAGAATGCGGTGATTGACAGAGTCAAAAGCCTTGGCCAGGTCAATGAAGACGGCTGCACAGTACTGTCTTTTATCGATCACGGTTATTATATTGTTTAGGACCTTGAGCGTGGCTGAGGTACACCCATGACCAGCTCTGAAACTAGATTGCATAGCGGAGAAGGTACGGTGGGATTCTAAATGGTCGGTGATCTGTTTGTTAACTTGGCTTTCAAATACTTTTCGAAAGGCAGGGCAGGATGGATATAGGTCTGTAACAGTTTGGATCTAGAGTGTCACCCCCTTTGAAGAGGGGGATGACCACGGCAGCTTTCCAATCTCTGGGGATCTCAGACGATACGAAAGAGAGGTTGAACAGGCTGGTGATAGGGGTTGCGACAATTTCGGCAGCTAATTTTAGAAAGAAAGGGTCCAGATTGTCTAGGCCCAGCTGATTTGTAGGGGTCCAGATTTTGCAGCTCTTTCAGAACATCAGCTATCTGAATTTGGGTGAAGGAGAAGCGGGGGGGGGGGGGGGGGGGGGGGCATGGGCAAGTTGCAGCGGAGGGTGCAGAGCTGGTGGCCGGGGTAGGGGTAGCCAGGTGGAAAGTATGGCCAGCCGTAGCAAAATGCTTGTTGAAATTTTCGATTATCGTAGATTTATCGGTAGTGACAGTGTTCCCTAGCCTCAGTGCAGTGGGCAGCTGGGAGGAGGTGCTCTTATTCTCCATGGACTTTACAGTGTCCCAAAACTTTTTGGAGTTAGTGCTACAGGATGCATATTTCTGTTTGAAAAAGTTAGCATTTGCTTTCCTAACTGATTGTGTATATTGGTTCCTGACTTCCCTGAAAAGTTGCATATCGCGGGGGCTGTTCGATGCTAATGCCGTGCGCCACAGGATGTTTTTGTGCTGGTCAAGGGCAGTCAAGTCTGGGGTGAACCAGGGGCTATATCTGTTCTTAGTTCTGAATTTCTTGAATGGGGCATGCTTATTTAAGATGGAGAGGAAAGCACTTTTAAAGAACAACCAGGCATCCTCTACTGACGGAATGAGGTCAATATCCATCCAGGATACCTGGGCCAGGTCAATTAGGAAGGCCTGCTCGCTAAAGTGTTTTAGGGAGCGTTTGACAGTGATGAGGGGTGGTCGTTTGACCGCGGACCCATTACGGACGCAGGCAATGAGGCAGTGATCGCTGAGATCCTGGTTGAAGACAGCGGAGATGTATTTAGAGGGTCAATTAGTCAGGATGATATCTATGAGGGTGCCCATGTTAACGGATTTAGGGTTGTACCTGGTAGGTTCCTTGATAATTTGTGTGAGATTGAGGGCATCTAGTTTAAATTGTAGGACGGCCGGGGTGTTAAGCATATCCCAGTTTAGGTCACCAAGCAGTACGAACTCTGAGGATAGATGGAGGGCAATCAATTCACATATGGTGTTCAGGGCACAGCTGGGGGCTGAGGGGGGTCTGTAGCAATACTTATTTCTGGAAAGGTGGATTTTTAGTAGAAGCTCAAACTATTTGGGCACAGACCTAGATAGTATGATAGAGCTCTGCAGGCTATCTCTACAGTAGATTGCAACTCCGCCCCCTTTGGCAGTTCTATCTAGACGGAAAATGTTGTAGTTGGGAATGGACATTTCCTAAGCCAGGATTCAGACACTGCTAGAACATCAGGGTTGGCTGAGTGTGCTAACGCAGTGAATAACTCAAACTTAGGGAGGAGGCTTCTGATGTTAACATGCAAGAAACCAAGGCTCAACAAATGATAGCGCCTGGGGAGCAAGAGTGATACTAGGGGCTACAGGGCCTGGGTTAACCTCTACATCACCAGAGGAACAGAGGAGGAGTAGAATAAGGATAAGGCTAAAGGCTTTAAGAACTGGTCTTCTAGTGCGTTGGGTACAGAGAAGAAAAGGGGCCGATTTCTGGGCGTTGTAGAATAGATTCAGGGCATTATGTACAGACAAGGATATGGAAGGATATGAGTACAGTGGAGGTAAACCTAAGCATTGGGTAAAGATGAAAGAGATAGCATCACTGGAGGCACCGATTGAGCCGGTCTCCACGTGTGTGGGGGGTGGGACAAAGGAGCTATTTGAGGCAGTTTGAGAATGACTTGGGGTTCTATATTGAAATTGTATAATAAGAACTAACTGGAACAGCAATAGCCAAGGCATATTGACATGGGAGAGAGGCATAAAGCAATCACAGGGGTTATTAGAGAGAGCTAAGACAACAACTGGTAATGGTGATGAAAGTTTGGGCTGAGGCTAAACAGATAAACAGGACAGGGTACCGTGTAAAGGAACAGTCCAGCAGGCATCAGCTGTGCAGCTGAGTGATCATAAGGTCCAGTGAACAGCAATATGTGAGTCCGAGAGCAGTTCGAATTGGTGCTAAAGCACAGCGAGCAGGAAGCATGGCTGTTGTTTGCGTGTGCTAGCGGGCCGGGGCTAGCAGATGGTTCTTCGCGGTCATCGCAACGGGAAGCCTGTTGAAACCACAAACGATTACATCGGCAGACCAGTCGTGATGGGTCGGCGGGGCTCCGTGTCGACTCTAGGAGGTCCTGTCCGGTTGACAGAGAGGTAGATAGCCGGGAGTATATAAAGTTAGGATTCATGAGATACCCTGTAAGAGCCTTTGTGCACAAGCCCCTTCAGTGTCATAAATGTAAAAGATTTGGTAATGTGTCAAGTGTGTGCAGAAGGGAAGAATATCGTTGCCAGATCAAATCAAATGAAATTGTATTTGCCACATGCGCCGAATACAAGAGGCCTTACAGTTAAATGCTTCCTTACAAGCCCTTAACCAACAATGCAGTTTTCAAGAAAAGAAAACAGCAGCAGTAAAATAAAATAACAGTAGGGAGGCTGTATACATATATATACACAGGGGGTAGACCTTCTTCTCCCCTACCAACTCACACAGCAGGCCACCTTGTCATCCCCAGGTCCAAGCTCCAGAGTGCCTGTGACAGGGCTTTCTCCAGGGTTGCTCCTAGGCTCTGGAACTCCCTCCCTCCAGCCATCTGCGACTCAGAGTTCATCACCAACTTTCAGCAGTCCCTCCTAAAGCCCCACCTCTTTGACAACCAGCACCTAAACCAAACCCTACCCCTAACCAGGTCCGTATCCAAACCCCATCCCTCCCCATCCACTGATACATCACACTCTTTCCCTTCTTTGAGACCACCCCTCTCTTTATTCATGTTTTTGTTTAGTTTTTTCTTTTCATTTCTACAATTGCAAAGCAACTTTGTGTCCTTGAACTCACCCTCCATCTACCTCCATGGACTCACCCTCCATCTACCTCCATGGACTCACCCTCCATCTACCTCCATGGACTCACCCGAGCGCGGAATTGACTCACCACCAGCGCGGACGTCACACTGCCTGAGTCTGCACTTCTGTCTGATCTTTTGGGGTCCTCCAAACTTCTTCATGTCTTTACAGAAATCACACAGAGCGCAGTCCTCAGTCCTCCTGCACGGCTCACACTCCCCACACATACGGGTTAAACGCCTCACCTGCACACACATGGGAATCACACTGGAATCACACTGCAGGGTTTTTTTCTACATAACAACAAGTTTTGGGTGGGCTGCCTAAGCAGGTTTTTTTGGGCCCCCCCTAAATCCAAACAGTGCAACAACAACAAAAACTATTGGGATGGAAAAAGACTTTCAGTGAAAACTCAGCCATGGCAAAATACTGCTATAAATAAATAGACTGAAGCATGGGGTCTCCCATCTGCATTTACCCCAAAACACACAATGTAGCAAATGCTACTATAATGCATGCTTCGTTTGTAAATGATGTCTGAGTGTTGGAGCGTGCCCATGGCTATCCGTAAATTGACAAAAAACAAGAAAATTATGCCGTCTGGTTTGCTTAATATAAAGACTTTGAAATGATTTATACTTTTACTTTTGATACTTAAGTATATTTAAAACCAAATACTTTTAGACTTTTACTCAATTAGTATTTTACTGGGTGACTTTCACTTTTACTTGAGTCATTTTCTATTAAGGTATCTTTACTTTTACTCAAGTATGACAATTGGGTACTTTTTCCACCACTGGTAAAGTGAAGGATGTGAGGATTACGAGAGGAAGTTTGTTTTGATTTTTTGTACTTCTGTGGATCAGAAGGAATGTGTGTTGAGGCTCTCCTGATTTGAAAAGTTTGACGTGTCGTGTGTCTCTTCGGAACAGGGCACCCCTCAAGGGGATAATATCTGGAGTCTCGTGGGAAGTCAATGTTAAAGAGATGAAAAATATTCCTGGAGTGATTGATGCACATCGGATGAATCGAGTGGTGAATTATGAAAAAGTGAATAGTTGATCTGTTCTTTTGTGCAGTTGGGGTATATAAACTACAAAGTCAGAGCATTTATCCCAAAACCAATGCAGTGTGATCACTGTAAAGCTTTTGGTCATGTGTCAAGGGTTTGCGGAAGGGAGAAACCGAGATGTCCAAGTTATGGAAAATATCATTTAATGTGTTATAAAAGTGATGAAAAAGTGAAATGTTGCAATTGTGTTGGGAACCATGAAGCCACGTCTTTTGAATGCCCAACAAGGGTGAAAGAAAATGAGGTGGCCAAAGTTAGGGTTTTATAGATCATTTCCTGTGCAGCAGCGGTTAAAAGGGTTTGAATGGCGCTCCTGAAGAGTCCTTGGTGGTGGATGGGCCTTCAATGCAAGCTGCATGGGGTTGCCTTTCACCAAGATGATCCTGACATTTTAAACGTTAAAAAGGTGGATTTGTGGCCATTATCGCAACTGTGATTAATGGCACTGCCAAGGTGGAGAAAAGATCTAGGAAGATATAATTAATTGTGGTTGCGGTGGAACGGTTCCTGGGGCTGAAAGATTTCTCGGCAAAAGAGTTACATGGAATATTGTCAAAAACCGTACCACCATCTTAGGCCCTAGAGACTGAGAAGGGAGATATGGAGATTTAAAATAAGGAAGAAATTGAAGTTTTGTTTTGTCAATGTACTGTTTTATTTGGGTGGATTTAGTTAGTTTCCCTGTTATGTATTGAATTTATTTTGTTACATGGAATATTGGCAAAAGCCATATCCCTCTATCAGGTCCTAGAGCCTGAGAAGGGGGATATGGATAACTAAAAGAAGGAAGAAATGGGAGTTTTGTTTGTTTTGGCAATGTACTATTTTTATTAGGGTGGAGTAAATTAGTATATATTTTGTGGTTTCAAACCGTCCAGTTGGTGGCGGCAATACAACCTTTGGGATGTAGTCCACCATAAAACCCACAGAAGAAGAAGAAGAAGAAGTGAAAGGAAGACAGCGGACATGAAAATGCCCATACATTGGATGCCAACCGCCGTTAAACCCCATCGAAGAAGAATAAGTTTGGCACCTGAATGTGGCCCAGGTACAACAACGTTTATTCACCCCCAAAATGAATATTTATGAGCAATTCCCCAAACGTTTGCAGAGAGGAGAAGAGATCTTGGTTTGCACGCTATTTATATATTTCAATTGTATTTTCCCATATAACGTTACAGGTAGGGTGAGGAATAATACGAACATGTCGACTTTCATTCCGCTCAAAATGCCTAAACTACAGTTGCTGAACGAGTATGTTACTGAACCACAAACAGCGGTTGCTACAGAGATCTCCGTAGCCAAAGACACAACAGAGTTGCATGAAGAGATGGGCCGTCTACGAAGGTGGTTTGATTTGGTTTTCAACCCAGAGATAAAGTTACACAGAGCAGGTTTGTATTGACCAGTTACTGTAATTAGCTAGCCAAATATCTCACACGGAGTTGAACGCAGACTAAAGTTTTTTTTTAATGAACCTCCAACTCTCGAGTCTCTGTTAAGTCGATACTTCAAAATGTAAATTCTTAAACTAGGGACGTCAAACATTGAGGCTGCACAGACTCTATGGAGGCTAGTCTAGATCGCCGAGTGAGAAATAGATGTCATTGTTGCAATAGTTGGTGAGTGGGCAACATATACTATCATCTTAAATTGACATGTTTAATTATTTTTCCAGTTTGTGTTACTACCTTATGTCTAAAGTAATTAGGACTGACAGGGTTTTAGACCTATCATATGAAGTCACCGTCTCTTTTATTTCCTGACAGATAAACCATTAAATACAGTGAGCTCCAACAGTATTGGGACAGTGACATTTTTTTTGTTTGTTTTGGATCTGTACGCCAGCACTTTGGATTTGAAATGATACATTGACTGAGGTTATTAAAGTGCAGAATGTCAGCTTTAATTTGAGGGTTATTTTCATCCATATCTGGGGAACGGTTTAGAAATTAAATTACAGCACTTTTTGTACATAGTCCCCCCCATTTTAGGGGACCAATCATATTGGGCAAATTCAAGTTCACTTATGTGTATTAAAGTAGTAAAAAGTATTTGGTCCCATATTCCTAACATGCAATGACTATAAGCTTGTGAATCTACAAATTTGTTGGATACATTTGCTGTTTTGTTTTGGTTGTGTTTCAGATTATTTTGTGCCCAATAGAAATGAATGGTAAATAATGTATTGTGTCATTTTGGAGTCACTTATATTGTAAATAAGAATATGTTTCTAAACACTTGTACATTGTGGATGCTACCATTATTACAGATAATCCTGAATGAATTGTGAACAATGAGTGAGAAAGTTAGACGCATAAATATCAGCCCCCCAAAAATGCTACCCTCCCCTGTTATAATGGTGAGAGGTTAGCATATCTTGGGGGGTATGATATTATAGCTAACCACCCCTGTTATTATAATGGTGAGAGGTTAGCATATCTTGGGGGGTATGATATTATAGCTAACCACCCCTGTTATTATAATGGTGAGAGCTGGTAGAGCACGGCGCTTGTAACGCCAAGGTAGTGGGTTCGATCCCCGGGACCACCCATACACAAAAAAAAAAATGTATGCACGCATGACTGTAAGTCGCTTTGGATAAAAGCGTCTGCTAAATGGCATATTATTATTATTATTTAGGTTAGCATATCTTGGGGGGTATGATATTATAGCTAACCACCCCTGTTATTATAATGGTGAGAGGTTAGCATATCTGATGGGGTATGATGCAAATTGTAAAAGACATGAGGACTGTTAACAAGAGTGAGAACATCTGAGAGTGGAGTACAGTTAATCCTGCAGATGGATGATGTAAATCTGACATGATCCGTTCCTCTACATGACAGATAAACATGTACGGTGCATACGGAAAGTATTCAGACCCCTTTACTTTTTCCACGTTTTGTTATGTTACAGCCTTATTCTAGAATGGATTAAAATGTTTTTTTCCCACCTCATCAATCATTTACATTTACGTCATTTAGCAGACGCTCTTATCCAGAGCGACTTACAAATTGGTGCATTCACCTCATAGCCAGTGGGATAACCCCTTTACAACCATTTTTTTTTTTTCTTCTTTGGGGTGGGGTAAGGGGGGGTAGAAGGATTAATTTATCCTATCCCAGGTATTCCTTAAAGAGGTGGTGTTTCAAGTGTCTCCGGAAGGTGGTGAGTGACTCCGCTGTCCTGGCGTCGTGAGGGAGCTTGTTCCACCATTAAGGGTGCCAGAGCAGCGAACAGTTTTGACTGGGCTGAGCGGGAACTGTACTTCCGCAGAGGTAGGGGGGCCAGCAGGCCAGAGTTGGATGAACGCAATGCCCTCGTTTGGGTGTAGGGACTGATCAGAGCCTGAAGGTACGGAGGTGACGTTCCCCTCACAGCTCCGTAGGCAAGTGCCATGGTCTATCTACACACAATACCCCATAATGACAAAGCAAAAACAGGTTTTTAGAAATGTTTGCACATTTACTATGAGTATTCAGACCCTACTCAGTACTTTGCCGAAGCACCTTTGGCAGCAATTACAGCCTTGAGTCGTCTTGGGTATTGCGCTACAAGCTTGGCACACCTTTATTTGGGGAGTTTCTCCCATTCTTCTCTGCAGATTGTCTCAAGCTCTGTCAGGTTGGATGGGGAGCATCGCTGCACAGCTATTTTCAGGTCTCTCCAGAGATGTTTGATCGGGTTCAAGTCCAGGCTCTGGCTGGGCCACTTAGGGTCATTGTCCTTTTGGAAGGTGAACCTTCGCCCCCAGTCTGAGGTCCTGAGCGCTCTAGAGCAGGTTTTCATCAAGGATGTCTCTGTACTTAGGGATGGTGCCTGGTTTCCTACAGACGTGACACTTGGCATTCAGGCCAGAGAATCTTGTTTCTCGTGGTCTGAGAGTCCTTTAGGTGCCTTTTGGCAAACTCCTAGCGAGCTGTCGTGCCTTTTACTGAGGAGTGGCTTCCGCCTGGCCACTCTACCATAAAGGCCTGATTGGTGGAGTGCTGCAGAGATTGTTTTCCTTCTGGAAGGTTCTCCCAACTCCACAGAGGAACTCTGGAGCTCTGTCAGTGACCATCAGGTTCTTGGGCACCTCCTTGACCAAGGCCCTTCTCCCCCGATTGCTCAGTTTGGCCGGGCGGCCAGCTCTAGGAAGAGTCTCTTGGTGGTTCCAAACTTCTTCCATCTAAGAATGATGGAGGCCACTGTGTTCTTGGGGACCTTCAATGCTGCAGACATTTTTTGGTACCATTCCCCAGATCTGTGCCTTGACACAATCCTGTCTCGGGGCTCTACGGACAATTCCTTCAACCTCATGGCTTGGTTTTTGCTCTGACATGCACTGTCAACTGTGGGACCTTTATATAGACAGGTGTGTGCCTTTCCAAATCATGTCCAATCAATTTAATTTACCACAGGTGGACTCCATCAAGTTGTAGAAACATCTCAAAGATGATCAATGGAAACGATGCACCTGAGCTCAATTTCGAGTCTAAACCTGTTTTTGCTTTGTCATTTATGGTGTATTGTGTGTAGATTGAGGATTTTTTTGTTTGGTTAATCCATTTTAGAATAAGGCTGTAACGTAACAAAATGTGGAAAAGGGGAAGGGGTCTGAATACTTTCCGAATGCACTGTATTTTCTATACAATAAATGTCTTCTTTAGGAGCACAGCATGTGGGAGTTTATCTACAGTCTACCTGTTGTTTATATATTTTCATTACATCTTTTACAACCCTACTCTGGATACATGAGTGCATTTCTGTTTAGGACTACATGTTCTGTTTATTTTCTTGCTAAATAGATTTTTATCTCAGTGAGAATAACCTGTATAAATAAAGGTTGAATGAAAAATAGCAGCCAGAGTTCTTGCTCATTCATTGCAGGTTGACACAAAGGACATTTCAGCCAGTCAACAGTCTCTCAACCGAGTTCTCTTTGCTAACGCTTGTATCATCTTGGGAAGATGTTGGTTAGGCTACAGATTGCTTATTGGCCGCTTCAAAAACATGAACCTTTATTTTCCAGGGTATGTTTTTAAAAATTAAAAATAAATAACCTATTCAAGTTTGACTCCAATGTGAATGTGTCGAGATTAAATTTGTTGTTTGGCACATAAATTACGGCTGTTGCCGTTTCACATAAAAGTTTAAATAAAACAAAACAACATGAATACACTCAACATAAAAGTTGTAATCTCGCTATTCATCACTATTTGAAGATTAAATATTTGGTGTAAGAGAGGTTGGACACAACGTATAGTATTTAGAAAAAGAAACATTGGAGTTTAGACTTACAATGATGCTCAATAGAGACTACTTTAGTTTGACTACAAGATGGCGCCAACGGACAAAAACATTCGGCAGATTTAAAACTGGCGAAGCGGAAGCTGTCATTTGGAGAAAGGAAACATGTCTCTTCCGGACGGCTTTTTCAAATTAGCATCACGGCAGAAACATTAAGACTTCCGGCTTTCCGATTTTGCCTATAAAATAAAAGTGCGGTAAAACGCTATGTGTAGGATACGAAATCAATATTTTTTTGTGGCTTTGCATAGTCATAGTGCATAATGTTAAAATTATGTTACAAAATTGTTACTACATCAGCGAACAATTTAAACTAAAGAGAATTACTATTTTATAAAGATTATAAGTTGGAGCACATTAAGAAATGGCTATGTTTTTAATGTCATTTCATGTTATGTATATGACTGGTGCTATGCTTAAAATTGTTTCTTGGTTGTTAAAGATTCTATCACGGTTGAAATGTATTTCCTGTTTGCTTGAGCTATAGCCACATGTATATTATCCTAGTAACTCCCTCTAGTGGCTTCTAGTCTCATGTATACTGAACAATACTATAAATGCAACATGCAACAATTTTCTAAGATTTTACTGAGTTACAATTCATATAAGGTAATCAGTCAATTGAAATAAATTCATTAGGCCCTAAACTATGGATTTCACATGACTGGGAATACAATAGATATGCATCTGTTGGTCACAAATACCTTAAATAAAAAGGATCAGAAAACCAGTCACTATTTGGTGTGACCACCATTTGCCTCATGCAGCGCGACACATCTCCTTCACATAGTGTTGATCAGGCTGTTGATTGTGGCCTGTGGAATGTTGTCTCACTCCTCTTCAATGACTGTGCAAAGTTGCTGGATAGTTACTCTGTTCACAAAGTTGACATCAGAAAACTGCTCGCCCACATGACGCCATACAAGAGGCTGGTTGAACGTACTGCTAAATTCTGTAAAACTACATTGGAGGTGGCTTATGGTAGAGAAATGAACATTCAATTCTCTGGCAACAGTGCTGGTGGACATTCCTGCAGTCAGTATGCCAATTGCACACTCCCTCAAAACATGAGACATCTGTGGCATTGTGTTGTGTGACAAAACTGCACATTTTAGAGTGGGCTTTATTGTCCCCAGCACAAGGTGCACCTGTGTAATGATTATGCTGTTTAATCAGCTTCTTGATATGCCACACCTGTCAGGTGGATGGGTTATCTTGGCAAGGGATAAATGCTCACTAGCAGGGATGTAAACAAATGTGTGCGCACAATTTTAGAGAAATAAGCTTTTTGTGCGTATGGAACATTTCTGGGATCTTTTGTTTCAGCTCATGAAACATGGGACCAACACTTTACATGTTGCGTTTATATTAGTGTTCAGTGTATCTTATCCTAGTTCTGTGAAACCATAACGCTATGTGCTGTGCACAGCAGTTGTCTTACTATATTTTGCTAATAAATACAAATTATTAGGTTATTCAGAGTTTGTGACTATATACCCATGCAACAGAACAATGCAGTTCCCTGTATATGGAATACATACTGGACTGTAGAGGGAAAAGTTTACTAACTGTCTCAGCTAAAATGTTAGGTGGAAAAGACTCTGTAGGGTCTCTACTAACCAAATGTGTTTAGTTTTGTAAAGGGGATTGTGTCTACAGACTGTTGCTGGCTTTTTACTCCTCCCCCTCCATAGCCCTGTATTGGACCGCCTAGCACCTATCTCAGCTAAAGTTAGGTGGGAAAAGACTCTGTAGGGTGAGTTTGAACCTAAAGCTAAGTCAAAGGAAGTGTTGCTGGACTTTTACTGTTGTATGGTTCAAATTTGGCACTGTGTCATCGGACTCGTATATTTTCATTCCAAAATACCTTATAATGTAAAAGACAAATATCCTACAATCTTCCTTCTGGTGAACACTTTGGGAAAAAATACAACACATACAATGTGTCTATTCAAAAAGTCAAGAGAGATGCAAGTAAATTTGTTCCAAAAAAAGTATACTTTATTCATAACAGGAATAACAAGGAAGTTAGTTAATCAAATTGATCATCAACAGTTACACCGAAGTTTCAAATTAGTTTCAAGTTTTATTGTCACATGCACAAGTGAAGTGAAATGCTTACTTGCTAGCTCTTTCCCAACAATGCAGTATTCAATATCAAATAGTATAAAGTTGTTTTTCTTAACACGAGAAATAAGAAAAACATGAGAAAGTAAGCTATATACAGGGTCCGTGCCAGTACCAAATGTACAATGTGCAGGGATACTGGAGTGGTTAAGGTAGATATGTACGTGCAGGAAGGGGTAAGGAGACTGTGACTGGTAGCAGGATAAATAATAATCATCATCATCATCAATATAGCAGCAGCATAAGGGGTGGGAGGGTGGGGGTGTGTGTGTGGTGATGAGTGTGTGTATGTGAGTGTATGTGTGTTGGTGTCAGTGTGTGTGTGTCTGTGTATGTGCAAGAGTGTCAGTATAGGCGTGTGTGGGTAGAGACCCGTGAGTGGCAGATAGTCAGTGCAGATAGACTGTGGGTGAGGGTGGGCAGCCATTGATTTACTGTTCAAAAGTCTCAGTGCCTGGAGTCTTTGGCTGTTCAAAAGTCTCAGTGCTTGGTGATAGAAGCTGTCTCGGCGCCTTTTGGTCCGAGACCCAATGCTCTGGTACCGCCTGACGGACAGTAGCTGAGAGAATGGTCCATGGCTGGGGTGGCTGGAGTGTTTGGAAATATTTGGGGACTTCCTCAGACACCGCCTGGTGTCTCCTCCCCACTCTCTGTTTGATTGGTGTTTTTCTATCAATTAGTGTACTGTCTTTGACTGTGCTGCTCTGTGTCACCCTCATTTCCTATCTCATCACATATGGGTGACAGGCTCAAAGAGTTGGTCAACTCAAGCTGTTCCTCAATCTGATTAACAAGACTTTGAATGTTACTTATATTCTTGTTCCACATATTCCTAAGAATTTTGACACTACGATTAGTGACAATGGTCGTTCCAGTTGGCCATTGCAAAGTTTTGGCAACATCCCAAAATTGGAAATCAAATGTTTAATTATGCTGCGTGACAGCATGTATTGCCATTGGAATGGATGGAGTAAAAGTCCAGCAACACTCCGTATAATTCAGAGCCCCATGACGCCATATATACATTCTACAGACACTACTGAGTTTTCCCTACCATACTTTTACTGCTGCATCTAGAATAGTTTTTGCTCTATAAGCCAATATGGATTTCATGTACACTGATTTGCATTGGGGGCATTTATTTGACCTTGGAACATGTTTTATGGTAATGGTTCAAGAAGAAATGCTGGACGGTTCTGGAGTGGCCAGCGAAGAGTCCAGATCTGAATCACAGGTATAACTTATGGCGAGATCTGAAAACAGCAGTTGGTGGAGCGCACCCCAAACATTAAAGAATTAGAACAGTTTGCGGCTGTGCAACCATGTACTAGCTCAGAGGTGCCAATAATTTTGTCCATTCCATTTGTCTTTAATTTCTCAATTAAAATTGTAAACTAAAAATTGGCTCTGCAATGTTGAAAATCCAATAACAAGGTGTGGAGACCAAGAGTTACTTTCAATTTCAACTTATTTTAGAAGAAATAGGGAATTCTTTAAGAGAAGTGCAAGGGTGCCAATATACTTGGCCCAAAGCAATGCAATGGAGTTGGAGTCATGATAATGGCTACTATAGCAGGAGCTATTCTAATCAGTAAAATGGAAATGATAGCTAGCTAGCTTTTTTAACATTTCATATCTCTATGGTTTAGGGCCCAGTGAAGAGAACTTTGTAATCAGTTTTAGATTGGAAAATGACAAATTATTTATTAAATTATTATCAACTTTATACTATCTATTTTTACTTTATCAAATCCCCAGCAGATCAATGTCCATGTGGGCTGTGTTATTTAGGTTAAACCTCTCGTTCTCTCAAACAGAGAATTAGTGAACATAAAAATTAAAATCAGGAGAAACGACAGTCCTACCTTTTAGATGTTGTGGCATAGAGAAAGTGAAGATATCAAACAGGGGAGGTGATTTAAATATTACTCTGAGCAAAATATTATGTTTTGGGATTTTCACCCTCCAGACATTATTCCCAAAAGGTCATAATGATGAAATGCCCGTGCATGTTATGTTGTAACGTTAAATGTGAACATGAACTAATGCCACCACTTCAGATGACTGACGTTTTTTCTTGCACTGTACCCAATGATTTATGAAAACTTACTTGATAGGTCGATATCCTCGTTGTGGTTTTACAGACGTGTTTAATACGTTTTATCTACACACTTTATTAGAATACTTATGAAATGCACATTGTTATATTTGGTAACACTTTTATTTTCCCTCTAATCCAACCTCATTCGATGCATTGAACGGATGTGGGTGGAGCAATGTCTACATAAGGGGTATGAAAAATGTACGCACTCACTAACTGTAAGTCGCTCTGGATAAGATCGTCTGCTAAATGACTAAAATGTAAAATAAGGGTGCAAATTATGAACACTCACAAAGGCCCTGAGGCGGCTACATAAAGCTTAATAAAGAGCAGTGATACTAGCAACAGCAGTGTGCGGGTTTCTAGGCTTAGTTATAGTAAAACACGTCAATTATACTAGCAGCAGCTGCTGGTTTAGGATAAACTGCAGGCGCCTTATTTGGCAATAATCTTGGTAAGTGGAGCGTGCCAATATATTTTGCATGATGCTTCCTTGACTAGACTACTGACGTTACACAAAATTCATAAGGTACCACATTTCCGCATATTACCAAATTCTACGTTTTTTAATACAGTACCCGAGACCAATCTGTGAGTTAATTTGACCATTGGAAAAAGAGCTACTGCGTAAATACTGCAATGCGGGTTGGATTGAATTGAGCCCCTAATCTTCATTTTCAAGGTGATGAGTGCACTTTTCTTCCAAACACAATACCGCAATAAATGTGAGTCCATAATTCATCAATTTTTTTGCAGACGTCAGGAAAATGGCGCCTTACCACTGTGAACTAACTGTCCAGACCTGCATTTGTTCACGAGGACTGCTGGTGAGTATGCTTTAGTGAGAAAGTGTTGGGATCTGGGATCTGCGTTCAGTAGGACGCAACGTCTTGGAACGTTCAGATAGAAATAGCGTATGTAGAACAAACATAGCTCTCTGGCATGTAGAATAAGGAATCACATCAGCTCTATTCATGGCATTTCTATCTGCAACGTTCAATAACGTTTGGCACCTGAATGTGGCCCAGGAACAACTACGGTTACCCCACTCCCAAAATGAATTTTAAATGAGCAATTGCCCCCACCCACAATTTCTCACCTGAAGTCGTTTTTAAAAAAAAAAAAAAAAAAAATATATATATATATATATATATATATATATATATATATATATATATATATCAATGGCTTGGGCAAAGGCAAAAGCGGAAGGTGGGGTTGAGAGTTACCGTTTAAACGTGTTTTGCCAGAGAGGAAGAAGCTAATATTTGGTTTTGCACGCTATTTATATAGGCTATCTCAATTTAATTGTTCGTCCATATCAAATGTAACGTTACAGGCGGAACAGAATAATACGAACATGTCGACTTTCATTCCGTTCAAAATGCCTAAACTACAGTTGCTGAACGAGTATGTTACTGAACCACAAACAGCGGTTGCTAGAGAGATCTCCGTAGCCAAAGACACAACAGAGTTGCATGAAGAAATCTCCCGTTTGAATGAAGAAATCTCCCGTTTGAAGGAGGAGAACGGCCGTCTACGAAAGTGGTTTGATTTGGTTTTGAAACCAGAGATAAAGTTACACAGAGCAGGTTTGTATTGACCAGTTACTGTAATTAGCTAGCCAAATATCTCACACGGAGTTGAACGCAGACTAAAGTTTTTTTTAATGAACCTCCAACTCTCGAGTCTCTGTTAAGTCGATACTTCAAAATGTAAATTCTAAAACTAGGGACGTCAAACATTGAGGCTGCACAGACTCTATGGAGGCTAGTCTAGATCGCCGAGTGAGAAATAGATGTAATTGTTGGTGAGTGGGCAACATATACAATCATCTTAAATTGACATGTTGAATTATTATTCCAGTTTGTGTTACTACCTTATGTCTAAAGTAATTATGACTGACAGGGTTTTAGACCTATCATATGAAGTCACCGTCTCTTTTTTTTTCTTCCGCCATTTAGTAGTGGGTGGATTATTACACAATTGTGCCTCAGTGATCAGTAGGCCTGGCTACTTTCAAAATGGATATTAGAAATTGGTTTAAAAAATTATGCATAATCTGCTGCAACAAGTGTAGAAACCACTGCTACAGTTGCTGGCGATCATGGGTATGTGGCTAGGGTTTGGGTTAACCCACAGAGATCGCTAGCCTAGTCTCTGTCAACGGTAAAGCTAGCAGAGCCCCCCTCCCAGTCCCGCCACCAGCCTCCTTGCCGCCACCCAGCTCAGCAGCAGCCAGGGGTACAACTTTCACTGGGGACGGGGGGGACATGACCACCCCACATTCTGAAATCGCATTTTGTCCCCCCTGTTTTATCATTACATTGTCATACAAAAAAGTGCTTCGGTGTGCTTTAGGACCATGCGGACGCGTCAGAGTGGTCGGGTAGGCTGTTTGGTGGTTTCAGACGGTTGGATTTAGGACCTGGGCAGACACCACAGAGCGTGGGAACAGGGGCAGGTGTGTGTTGTGCACAGTGTTGCCGTGTTCGTAATTTTCCAGGCAAATTAGGCAACTTTGAAAACGATGTCGCGGGTGAAAATGTATTGGTGGTGGGTTTTTGGGCTACTTCTAAATTGCGCCGCAGCCGCCATTGCATTTCTCTTAAAAAATATACACAGTGCATTCGGAAAGTATTCAGACCCCTTGACTGTTCCACATTTTGTTACTTTACATAGTTCTTCTAAAATGGATACAATTATTTTTTCCCCTCATTAATCTACACACAATACCCCATAATGACAAAGCAAAAACAGGTTTTTAGGCATTTTTGCTCATTTATAAAAAAACAGAAAAACCTTATTTACATAAGTATTCAGACCCTTTGCTATGAGACTCGAAATTGAGCTCAGGTGCATCTTGTTTCCATTGATCATCCTTGAGATTTCTACAACTTGATTGGAGGCCACCTGTGATAAATTCAATTGATTGGACATGATTTGGAAAGGCACACACCTGTCTATATAAGGTGCCACAGTTGACAGTGCATGTCAGAGCAAAAACCAAGCCATGAGGACGAAGGAATTGTCCGTAGAGCTCAGAGGATTGTGTCAAGGCACAGATCTGGGGAAGGGTACCAAAACATTTCTGCAGCATTGAAGGTCCCCAAGAACACAGTGGCCTCCATCATTCTTAAATGGAAGAAGTTTGGAACAACAAAGAGTCTTCCTAGAGCTGGCTGCCCGGCCAAACTGAGCAATCGGGTGAGAAGGGCCTTGGTCAGGGAGGTGACCAAGAACCCGATGGCCACTCTGACAGAGCTCCAGCGTGTCTGCTAAATGATGTAAATGTAAATGAGATGGGAGAACCTTCCAGAAGGACAACCATCTCTGCAGCACCCCACCAATCAGGCCTTTTATAGTAGAGTGGCCAGACAGAAGCCACTCCTCAGTAAAAGGCACATGACAGCCCGCGTGGAGTTTGCCAAAAGGCACCTAAAGGACTCTCAGACCATGAGAAACAAGATTCTCTGGTCTGATGAAACCAAGATTTGAACTCTTTTGCCTGAATGCCAAGAGTCAAGTCTGGAGGAAACCTGGCACCATCCCTACGGTGAAGCATGGTGGTGGCAGCGTCATGCTGTGGGGATGTTTTCAGCAGTAGGGACTGGGAGACTAGTCAGGATCGAGGGATAGATGAACGAAGCAAAGTACAGAGACATCCTTGATGAAAACCTGCTCCAGAGTGCTCAGGACCTCAGACTAGGGTGAAGGTTCACCTTCCAAAAGGACAATGACCCTAAGCACACAGCCAAGACAATGCAGAAGTGGCTTCGGGACAAGTCTCTGAATGTCCTTGAGTGGCCCAGCCAGAGCCCGGACTTGAACCCAATCGAACAACTCTGGAGAGATCTGAAAATAGCTGTGCAACGACGCTCCCCATCCAACCTGACAAAGCTTAAAATAATCTTCAGAGAAGAATGGAAGAAACTCCCCAAACTTGTGTGCCAAGCTTGTAGAGTCATACCCAAGAAGACTCGAGGCTGTAATCGCTGCCAACGGTGCTTCAACAAAGTACTGAGCAAAGGGTCTGAATACTTATGTAAATGTAATATTTCAGTAATTTCTAAACCTGTTTTTGCTTTGTCATTATGAGGTATTGTGTGTAGTTTGAGGGGGGGGGGGGGACTATTTAATCCATTTTAGAAAAAGGCTGTAATGTAACAAAATGTGGTAATAGTCAAGGGGTCTGAATGCACTGTAGCTGCAATTGTATTGTTGAATCAAAAAGCTAGCTGTTCTAAATCCAATAAAACGGAAATGATAAAATAACTAGCTAGATTTTTCAACATTTCATAATTGCATGTTTCAGGGAGAAGATAACTTTGGATTCAGTTTTAGATTGAAAATGTCTTAATTATTTTTGGAATTATAAGCAACTTTATTTCCTGTTTTTCCTCTATCAGATTCCCAGCAGCTCACTCACCTTATATCTGAAGAGGAGGTTCCCCCTGAACAGCAGCATTGTGAGCAGGAGGGGAGCCCCAGTCTGGGGCAGGAGGACCCAGAGCCCACACTGAATAAAGAGGAACTCTGGACCAGTCAGGAGGAAGAGCAGCTTCATGGGCCCTTTGATACCAAAGGCTCCATATTCACTTCTCCCTTTATGGAAAGTGACTGTGATCAGGAGGACCCACCTCAGCCCTCACATCTTCACCAAACCCAAACTGTGGAGGACAGAGAGAGGGACTCTCTACTCACCTACACAACTGAAGAGATCAAAACAGAACCAGATGGAGAGGACTACAGAGTATCAGAACCAACCAGTGACTCTCAGCCCCTCTCTGCAGTAAATTCCGACTGTTCTGCACCTCAGAGTGAAAACATGGAAAGTGATGATGAGGTGGAGAGAGGTGGACTACTGTCAGGGTCTAAGACACTCAAATCAAAGACAAAACAGACAAAGCATGGAGAAAGGTTCCATACCAGTGCTGGAGGCAGGACGGAGACCATGTTGCCCTGTTTGACATCATCTAGTCAAATTGATGCTGCTCCTTATTGTTGCAAGGTGTGTAGGAAGACTTTTGTGTCAAATGTATTTTTTTATGTAATATGTATGGATAAAGAATGTCAGTGTGGTGTGTGGAAAATACTTAAATTCCACAGAATGTAGTGTTTCCCCTATATTCATTTAGCAGAGTTGCCACCAAAATTGAAATAAAATGTATTTTTAAATATTCATACATACAAACAAAAAAGTATGTGGACACCTCTTCAAATGAGTGGATTCGTCTATTTCAGCCACACCCGTTGCTGACGGGTGTATAAAATTGAGCACACAGCAATGCAATCTCCATAGAGAAACATTGGCAGTAGAATGGCCCGTACTTAAGCGCTCAGTGACTTTCAACATGGCACCGTCATAGGATGACTCCTTTCCAGCAGTCAATTTACCCAGTCAACTGTAAGTGCTGTTATTGTGAAGTGGAAACATCTAGGAGCAACATCGGCTCAGCCGCGAAGTGGTAGGCCACACAAGCTCACAGAATGGGACCGCCGAGTGCTGAAGCACGTAAAAATCGTCTGTCCTTGGTTGCAGCACTCACTACCGAGTTCCAAACTGCCTCTGAAAAAAATGTTAGCACAAGAACTGTTCCTCGGGGGCTTCATGAAATGGGTTTCCATGGCCGAGCAGCCGCACACAAGCCTAAGATCACCATGTGCAATGCCAAGCGTCTGCTGGAGTGGTGTAAAGCTCGCCGCCATTGGACTCTGGAAACGCATTCTCTGGAGTGATTAATCACGCTTCACCATCTGGCAGTCCGACAGACGAATCTGTGTTTGGCGGATTCCAGGAGAATGCTACCTGCCCCAATGCATAGTGACAACTGTAAAGTTTGGTGGAGGAGGAATAATGATCTGGGGCTGTTTTTCATGGTTCAGGCTAGGCCCCTTAGTCCCAGTGAAGGGAAATCTTAACGCTACAGCATACGATGACATTCTAGACAATTCTGTGCTTCCAACTTTGTGGCATCAGTTTGGGGAAGGCCCTTGACTGGCCTGCACAGAGCCCTGACCTCAACTCCATCGAACACCTTTTGGGATGAATTGGAACGGCGACTGCAAGCCAGGCCTAATTGCCCGACCTCAATAATGCTTTTGTGGCTGAATGGAAGCAAGTCCCCGCGGCAATGTTCCAACATCTAGTGGAAAGCCTTTCCAGAAGAGTGGAGGCTGTTCTAGCAGCAAAGGGGGGGACCAATGAGATGTTCGACAAGCACATTACTTTTGGTCATGTATCTGTATCTCGAGATCAGAGGGACAAGTTGCAATGCATTTTTATTTAACTAGGCACGACGCTGGGCCAATTGTGCGCCGCCCTATGGGACTCCCAATCACAGCCGGATTGTGATACAGCCTGGAATCAAACCAGGGTCTGTAGTGACGCCTCTAGCGCTGAGATGCAGTGCCTTAGACCGCTGCGCCATTCAGGAGCCCAATGTATATTAGTAGCATTTGTTTGTTTTGGGGTAAATGCAGAAGGGCAATTCCATGCTTCAATCTATTTACAGTGGGGAAAAAAAGTATTTAGTCAGCCACCAATTGTGCATGTTCTCCCACTTAAAAAGATGAGAGAGGCCTGTAATTTTCATCATAGGTACACGCCAACTATGACAGACAAAATGAGGAAATCTTTTCCAGAAAATCACATTGTAGGATTTTTAATGAATTTATTTGCAAATTATGGTGGAAAATAAGTATTTGGTCAATAACAAAAGTTTCTCAATACTTTGTTATATACCCTTTGTTGGCAATGACACAGGTCAAACGTTTTCTGTAAGTCTTCACAAGGTTTTCACACACTGTTGCTGGTATTTTGGCCCATTCCTCCATGCAGATCTCCTCTAGAGCAGTGATGTTTTGGGGCTGTCGCTGGGCAACACGGACTTTCAACTCCCTCCAAAGATTTTCTATGGGGTTGAGATCTGGAGACTGGCTAGGCCACACCAGGACCTTGAAATGCTTCTTACGAAGCCACTCCTTCGTTGCCCGGGCGGTGTGTT